AGGGACCTCACCAAGCATTGATACTCCTTTGCCGGAGATCCAGATCTCATCGTCCGTTACCACCAATTCGACAGGTGCTAACGAAACCTTGACCTATTCTACCGGTACGTATTTTCGGAGCCCATCTATCCTCGTTTGGACCAAGTCTTGAGTCTCGAGATATGTCTTGGGAATTTCTGCCCTGTAGAAGTGTTCCAAGCTCAATGCAAGCCCTCGATTAGGCAATACTAACCCCAATATTACAATCCACAGCAGCCACCCGAGATATCTCCATTACTTCTACCATAAAGACTTCAAACGGCTCTCAGAAAGCATCGTGGACCCAGAATTTGTCCTATTCCAATTTTAACGCAGTACGTATATTTTTGAGACCATCTCTCCTGTTTGACATTAAAATTGAGTCACAAGACATGTTTTGGGAGCATGAGGACCTTTCTACTTCCGGGACCGGTCTTGCAACTCCATTTTGTGCCTCGAGTAAGCAATGCTGACTCCGAAACCTGCGTAGTTGACGAATCAGGGATTTGTGCAGCTCACAGTCCAGAATACTACCGGCTCGGACCTCTCATCTAGTGGATACGCCAATACTTACAGCTACCCGTTAGATGTCAACTCCTCTTTCTCAGTCGACGCGGCCGGCGAAGTAGGCATCAATGGCACCCTGACCCGAGGCCTCGACTACAATGTCTATGGACCTTCCGTTTTCCCCTCAGGCATCCAAACCTTCAACATCACAACCCCAAGCTTCTTCAGTGCAGAAGGCGCCTTGACCCACCAGAAAATCCAGCTCTCTGCCAGTCTTCCCTTCTTCAGCGGCGCGCTTCTGTCCACCACCCAAGAGGGAAGTGCGGAGTACTTCTCCGGAGTCAATTCTTCCTACAGCTTCGGCACCACGACGCAGGACTTTGACTTCAAAGGTGCCGAGGTCAACACCCCGGACACGACCTATGAGCTCTATCACCGGCTCGTGATGGCTGTGAATTCCACCATCACAGAAGACGAGCAGACGCTTGCGGGGCAGACGTTCGGGGTCCCGGTCGCGCAGGCGGCGGAGAACGTCCCGGCGCCTGTTTTTGAAGGGTTCAGTGTGAGATCTTTGCTCGGGAGGGGGCCGGGGCAGCCCAAGGCGGGGTTGATGGGCGGGGGAGGTTCTGAGCAAGGATAGATTCGTTGATAACTCGATTATTTTTGACGTTGGATCCAAAGGCAGCTAGCTTGATAGGGTTAGTCGCCATCTTTCTCTTGGACTGGCACTCTTAAGCGGGATGCTGTCAAAACTTTTGAAATCTCTCAGACTCGTGATTTGGTCCTCTTGTATGATATGGAGACATATTCACTTCTATCAACGACCCTGCGAATTTTCCCCTCCGGCCTCTCAATCGCCACATTCCCCATCTCCGTTCGAACTTCATCCCTCCCATGCATCTCCGCAACGCTGAGTCTCCCACCAATCACGCGCACGGCTAATGTGTATTCAAACGTCACCGATCCATTTGCAACAGTTCCCGCGTCTAGCCCATCGTGTATATATATCTATATGAGATGATCGCCACACGACAGCTACCCCGCGGTGTCTAGAGCGTATAGAAGAAATCGGGCCTCATATCCCCAAGGGCCTGGACCTCCTCCTCCGTCTTGCCGTCGGCCCAGTGATCCCTGCGGCCGGCCCTCCTCTTGGCGTTTTCCCTCCTCAGCGACCAATACTGCAACAGGCTGCCTCCGAGCAGGAAGACGGTCAGGTAGGCGAGCACGATGCCGTGGCCCCGGCGGTACAGGGGCGCGTCTGTGGCTTGGTAGATGTTGGAGGAGACGACGCCGTTGAGGTTGCCCCAGCCGATGACGAAGCCCATGGTGATGCCGCGCTTGTAGACGCCTTCGGTGTTGTTGGAGGTCCAGACGATGGTGTTGGCGACGCAGGGGTAGATGCCGAGGGCGCCGAGGAAGGTACCGGCGTAGCGGACTCCGGGGGATGTTCTGATGGGGGTGGGGTTAGCTTGATGTTTTGGGTTTGTTGACGGGGGGGGGCTCGAGGGGGATGGGGGAACGCACCCAGCTACGAGCATCGCGAAGCCGGCCATGCCGAGGAAAGAGGTGCAGATGTTGCAGAGGGCTCTCTGGTGGGTTCGATCGGCGATGTCTTTGGGCTGTTAGCAGGTGCAAATTGTGTCGGAAAGCTGTCAGATTCAAACTCACAGCCGACTGTGATGGTCAGGATGGCGGCAGCTGCGTACGGGGGGACAGACAGGAGTTGGGCGGTGGTTGATTTGTAGCCGAGTGAAGCGATGATGGAGGGGAGGAAGAGGGAGAAGGCGTAGAGAGGGACATCACCTGGAACAATGCGTGTTAGTGTTACTGTATATAGCGACAGGATAGTGGCCACCTGCAGCCCATGTACGTCGCGGCAAAGACCCAGGTCTTCAAATCCTTGATCGAAGCCCAGAAATACGCCATTTTGAAGGATTCATGCTCCGCTGACGACTGCTTATCCGCTTTTAAGCGTCGTAGTACGCGCTGTCTGTCGACCGAGGAGAGGAAAGTTGCTTCATCAGGGAAGTCATAAACCATATAGAAGGATGCGAGACCGATACACACAGTAGCCAACCTATAGAAATCAAATCTGACGTTATATAAGGGTCTTTCCCAACCAACCCTTCCAAGATGAAGATCCAAGCCCATCCCTCTTTGCCACCAATACCGGCCATGTTACCAATTGCGGCTGCAAGCAAGCCTCCAAATGATCCCGATACTGCGGCAGCGGAGAAGAAGATGGCCGCTCGGATGCCAAGCTCATCGCGTTTATACCAACAGGATAGATAGAAGTTTATGCCCGGGAAAAGCCCAGCTTCGGCGGTCCCTAAAAACCATCGCGCCGCCATCATCCCTGAAAAGTTATGGGTCAGCCCCATTGTCACCATCGTGATACCCCATAGCGTCATGATAATGGGAATGAAGACGCTAGGTCGAAGTCGCTTGAGCAAGACGTTGGTAAGGGGTTCGAAGAGGGCGTAGGAGACGAAGAAGATGGACAGGCAGGCATTGTATTGGCCGCCGGTGATATGGAGACTCTTCTCTAGCCCGTCAAGTTTGGCATTGCCGATGTTGGTTCTGTCGAGAAAGGAAATGAGATAGAGGAGGCACAGCCAGGGAATTAAACGGAGGTCGAGTTTCCACAAGAGTTTGCGGTCCTATGTGAGGGCAATCAGCTATGAAACTCGTCGTATGAAGGGGATTAAAAGGTCTATCATCGAAGCTACATACGATGGCCGCCCTTTCTTCCGGGCTGAGGTGTGCATCTGGATCTGGCAGAAGTTCGCCATGTCCGAGGGTGTCGCACTCTCCTTGTCCTACAGCGATTCTCTTCTCATCATCGGAAGGTGAATGGCCACTATCGCTATCAATGTGCTCTGTAGATAGCTTCATCTTGAATCATAGACCTCGCGATGCCGAATGGTGGAGGATGGACGAGATAAAGGAGAATGAGCTTGAGTAGAGGCGAATGATGAGCGTCATGCTGGATTACCTGCCGCTTGTGATATGCAGCCTTGTGCGGGCAGGCCAATAGCACTTTCATCAGTGTGTAAAATCGGCATATTCTTCATCCTGTCAACCGTTTTCCCCGCGTTGCTTGGCACTCTAAGCCGAGCTAATTTCCGGCAAACCACATGTGGGGATCTGCCGTGCATTAGCGTGGCATATCTTTCTATTAGCTACATGTAAGGTAGGTATCTCATGTTGTAATTGCCGTGACAAGACTTGCAACGAAAAGACAGAAAATTCGACTATCCAATCCATGGGATGAATCCTTTTCACTCACCAGGTCCACACCCAACTTCAGGTACTCCACAAACGACCCAGCAAATAGGGCTTAAGGGAAGCAAAGCATCTAGAGAGACAGTGAAACCCACATCATCCTGTTTTACCCCTAATATCACGCCTCATTCCTCCAAATAGTTCTAAGGGGAAAAAGGGATTTTGTGGATTACGTGTCCAAGATTTCATCCGTCCTTGTCAATATACGCGTCTTAGGTCCTCCCTGTATTCGACATCTTACCTCAAACTCCTGCAGCAAGCGCTGGGCATTCCCTCACTCGTTCCCAGGTAGCCTCGTATCTTACAGCGCATCTCGTATTCATCATCCCTTCTCGTTCGTCTCTTATCAATAACTCTCACAACTTCCTACTCCTCGTCCTTACTGGTCATTGCCGAATAAGTCGCTCGCTGTATGAAACCCGACTTCTTCTCCATTTACCTCCCCGGGCTCCTCTACCTCTCAAGACACTATCTTGGTATGTCTCCGCTAGCTACCTCTTCCTTCATGCTTGAGGAATTCGTATCACATCACACGTCTGGCCCCCCAGAGTAAAACTCTGCTCAAGAGCGCCTATGGTTGAATCATCTTCCGTGTTAGTTCTAGGGAACACGCTGTGGTAGCAGATACAGAATCTTGTATCTCCATTCTCAGATTAGTCTCAAAACCTTGCATGCATCACCACTGGAACAGTAAGACCTACCAGCAGTATCTGTGGATATGGAAGCCGTCAAAATGCCTTATTTTCCTCTTCGTCCGCAATGGGCAGTCTCCAGGACTGATTCGCGCCCGTAGTCAATTTGGAGAGACGCGCCGAATTGCTCATGATCCCGACCTTCAGTACTTTAGAATTTCATGGCTCAGCAGCCGCTCCGTGATCTCGACAAATCATCTTGGCATCGTGTCTGATCTTAGCCTACCTTCAAAACATACATCCCAATCAGGCCTAGCGTAGCTTGGCACTACGTACTTCACAATACTTAGTATTCTATTCATAATGTAACACCACTACAAATATCAGTCTCATCTTACGTCCAAACCCTGACACTAACCTTGAACTGACTTGCATACAATGTTCAATTCACTCTCACATTGGAAGTCGGTCTTCCATCCACTTCTCTCAAATACTCAGCGAAATTTTTCCCACCTGTACTGAAGTTGGTCTCCTGGCGACTTCTCCCAACTACTCACCATGTCTACCGCACCACAATTTCTGCCAGTGTGGAATGAGGAGTCTGCAAAAGCTGCCGACGATCGCAAAGTAGAAGGAGAAGCGAAACAAACCCGGCAGGCGTGGAATGACTGGGGCGAACTACTAAGAGAAGGGACGCAGCGTCGTCCGGCCAAGCGTACTGGGGAGACTTCGATTTTTTGAGACCATTGGCCGTCAAATGATGACGGATTTTGCTGCATGATTGCATCTTACATGAGCACATCGGGAAAGACGATGGAGTCCATCACATATTTGGTAACGCGGATACGGTGTTGAGATTTGGCATCGGCGGGGGTATGTCTTCCCTTATGCTGTCCGTCGTGACAACTCCTGACCAAGTTTAGGCTCGGATGCTCCTCACTTTCGGCTCAAGCTCACGCACAAGCCGAGTGGACGGAGCGTCATGCTCTGTTTCATGGGATGGACGCGGAACCAACCACCAAACGCCGCAGAACGACCTGTGTACCAGTATCCTGAGACTCCTTCCGGGAGCCCGCATTCCTTCAGTATGCACCTCATCCATGTCACATGGGGCTACGTTCACAAATCTCCCGACATCGTTGATGCGGAGAAGTCATGGTCTTCAACTGAAGGGAGTTACCCCTTAGGCGTGAATTGGAAAGTCGATGAATCTCCAACTGGTATGAATATCACAACCCTTCTTTGGAGAAGGGAGACCTAAACGTGTTCAGGGAAAAACCTCAATGTTGACACGTCGAGGATGTCGACCGCGGCGGCGGCCAAGTTTGCAACGTTAAGGATAATCAAGACCAATGCAACGGCCATTTAACTGACTTTGCGCGGGCACAGAGGGTTAGAAGAATGTTGGTAATTCTTTGCCGCCCAGCCGTCTCCGACACCACCTTCGTGTTGGAGATACTCTGATACTATCGCGCAAATGGAAGTATATGAGCATTACTTCAATCACGTCTACTCGTATGATTTCGTCACCTTACAAGAGTGTGTGAAGGGTCTGACCGCGGAATCCAAATTCTTCATCCATTTACCGGTGAGTGGGCGTCGGCATGAGGGGTCCAGATCAGATATCGTCGATCCGTCCACATCGGAGTCGGCCTTTTGGCCACTTCTCCCAAATCCCACTCCCAACCTTAGAGCAGACAGGGGACGACTGCTAGCATCAGACGAAGCATCAGCGCCACCAGTGCCGGAAGTCGGCACCGATGTAACAATCGACTCGGAATTCGAGTAGTTCAAAGGATGAGTCATCTCTGTCGACAACAGTGTCCTCATCATGGAAGTTGTCAGAAGCCGCGGAACAGGTGCCATGATTCACAGCGGTCGGTCAGGACATTTCACGTTCAAAGACCCTGCAGCTGCATTCGTGGTAGCAAAAAAGGCCATTCAAAAGGCAATGTGGCAGAATCATCCATTCAACTGGTTAAAGAATCTTCTGCTTGCCCATAACAACAACGCAATAACTCTAACCAACCCTCCTTTTAGCACGGAAGCCTGGACAAGAAGTCTCTCACCTCTGAATACGCAACAGAATATAGCCTTCGCGCGCGTTGTCCGGCGGAGCCGCGAGCTGTCCGATATTGTTCTCATTCTCACGCCTCACACATACATAGGGCACATAGGTATGAGGTATCAAGTGGTTGGGCCGTCCCCGACGCCGGGATAACAGCTGAATAGAGGCCTGAACAGACGTATTCGTACCCCAGCGCCGAGAAAACTCCCATGCCTATGGCATAGACCTGGAGTGGAATGATAGCTAGCTATGTACAGGTGTGGGTGGGTAGGACAAAAAGTACGCAATGGCTCCGAAAGAGACGAAGTGGGATGAAGAGCCATTGACAGGTGCAAAATAGGTGGCTATATAGCTCGTATTGGACACCTATCCCTAACCCCTTACGGGGATATTAATAGGGGTATCAATAGGGCTATGATATCATAAAATCCACTAACCCCCAATCCCACTATAGCGATTAGTATTTTTATTCTCACATCTTATATATATATAGGATATATAGATATAAGATATCAAGTAGTTAAATCGTTCTCGACGCCGAAATAATAGCTAAATAGAGATTTAAATAGATATATTTATATTCTAATATCGAGAAAACTTCTAAATCTTAAGACGACGTTATCGAAAAAAAAAAATTTAACGAGAATCGCTAATATTAACGCTAAAGAAAGAAAGATATTAATATTAATATAAATCTATTAATTATAATAACTAAATAATCTTTAATTATATCTACTAAATAGTTTTATAATTATAATATCTAAAATAGCTAAAATAATTAATTAATTTTATAATTATAATAATTAAAATAGCTATAATAACTAAAATATTTTTATAATTATAATAATCTAAATAATTAAATAATTAAGATATCTTTATAATTATAATAATTTAAATAATTAAGATATTTAAAATATCTCTATAACTACGATAATTTAAATAACTAAAATAATTAAAATATCTCTATAATTGCGATAGTCTAAATAGTTAAGATAATTAAAATATTTCTATAATTATAATAATTAAAATATCTCTATAGCTATAATAGTTTAACTAATTAAAATTATTAAGAAATCTCTATAACTACGATAGTTTAAATAAATAAAATAATTAAAATATCTCTATAGTTATAATAATTTAAATAATTAGAATAGTTAAGATATTTTAATAGCTGCGATAATCTAATTAGCTGAAATAATTAAAAAGAAAAATCTTCTATAACTGCGATAGCTTAAATAGTTAAAATAATTAAGATATCTTTATAATTATAATAGCCTCGATAATTAAAATAATTAAGATATCTCTAAAGCTATAATAACTTAAATAATTAAAATCGCTAAAATATCTTTATAGCTACGATAATCTAAATAATTAAAATAATTAAGATATTCTATAATTGCGATAGCTTAATTAATTAAAATAATTAAGATATTCTAATAGTAACGATAATCTAATTAATTAAAAAAATTAAAAAATCTTTATAGCTATAATAATTTAAATAGTTAAAATAATTAAAATATCTCTATAATTATAATAATCTCGATAGTTAAAGTAATTAAGATATTTTTAAAATTATAATAATCTAAATAAATAATATAGCTAAGATATTTCTATAGCTATAATAGTTTAAATAGCTAAAATAACTAAGATATTTTTATATTTATAATAGTTTAAATAGCTAGATATAGCTATAATAATTTAAATAGTTAAAATAATTAAAATATTCTTATAGCTATAGTAATCTAAATAGTTAAAGTAATTAAGATATCTTTAAAATTACGATAATCTAAATAGCTAAAATAATTAAGATATCTTTATAGCTATAATAATCTAAATAGCTAGAATAGCTAAAATATCTTTATAATTACAATAATCTAAATAGCTAAAATAGCTAAGATATCTTTATAATTATAATAACTCAAATAATTAAAATAGCTAAAATATTTCTATAGCTGCGATAATCTAAATAGTTAAAATAATTAAAATATCTTTATAACTGCGATAGTCTAAATAGTTAAAATATCTAAGATATCTCTATAACTATAATAGTCTAAATAGTTAAAATAATTAAGATATTTTTATAACTACGATAGTTTAAATAATTAAAATAATTAAGATATCTCTATAATTACGATAATTTAAATAGTTAAAATAATTAAGATCTCTCTATAACTACGATAATTAAAATATTCTTATAACTACGATAGCTTAAATAATTAAAATAATTAAGATATCTTTATAACTGCGATAATCTAATTAGATAAAATAGATAAAATCTCTTTATAGCTATAATAACTTAAATAGATAAAATAATTCAGATATCTTTATAATTATAATAGTTAAGATATCTCTATAGCTGCGATAATTTAAATAATTAAAATAATTAAGAGATCTCTATAGTTACGATAGTCTAAATAGCTAAAATAGCTAAAATATTCTTATAACTACGATAATCTAAATAGCTAAAATAATTAAAATATCTTTATAACTACGATAGTCTAAATAGTCGAAATAATTAGAATATTTTTATAATTGCGATAGCCCGATTAGCTAAAATAATTAAAATATTTTCTCAATTACGATAGCTCGAATAGCTAAAATAATTAAAAAATATTTTTATAACTATAGTAGTCTAAATAGCTAAAATAATTAATATATTTATATAACTATAATAGTCGAAATAGCTAAAATAGTCATATAGCTATAGTAGCTTAAATAGCTAAATTAATTAAAATATTCTTATAACTATAATAGTCTAAATAACTAAAATAGTTAAAATAATTAAAAAAATTTATATAACTATAATAATTTAAATAGTTAAAATAGTTTCTTAGCTATAATAGCTTAAATAGCTAAAATAGTCGAAATATTTATATAATTATAATAGTCTATATAGCTGAAATAGCTAAAATAACTAAAAGTATTTATATAACTATAATAGTCTAAATAGCTGAAATAATTAATATTTACATATCTATAATAGCTTAAATAGTTAAAATAGCTATATAGTTATAATAGTCTATATAATTAAATTAATTAAAATATTCTTATAGCTATAATAGTCTATATAGCTAAAATAATTAAGATATTTCTATATCTATAATAGTCTAATTAGTTAAAATAGCTAAGATAACTAAAAAATAACTATATAATTATAATAACTAAATAGTTAAGATAATTAAAATATTTATATAGCTATAGTAATCTAAATAATTAAAATAATTAAAAATATTTATATAGCTATAATAGTTTAAATAGCTAAAGTAATTAATATATTCTTATAATTATAGTAATTTAAAAGGTTAAAATAGCTATATAGCTATAATAGCTTAAATAGCTAAAGTAATTAAAATATTTATATAGTTATAATAGTTTAAATAATTAAAATAACTAAAATATTTATATAGCTACGATAGTTTAAATAGTTAAAATAATTAAAATAACTAAAATACTTAAATAGCTACGATATCTAAGATAGTCGATTTAGCTAAAATAGCTATATATCTATATCGCTATAATAGCTAATTATTTTTATAATTATATAATTTTAATAGCTAGAATAATTAAAATTTCGATATAATTATAATAGTTAAGATAAATAATTATAGATAGAATAGTTAAAGTATATATTTAAATAGTAATAATATAATTATATAATTATATAATTATAAATAGCTAATATAACTTTAATAGTTAAATAATTATATAATATCTATATAACTATAATAGTCTTAAATAGCTAGTATACTAGATAATTTCATATAATTAAAAATAACTTATAATCGTATAACTATAATAGAATTAAAATAGAATTAAAATATCTATATAATTATAGTAGCCTTAAATAGCTGAAATAGCTAAATAGCTTTATAGTCGTATAGCTGAAATAGTCGAAATATTCTTTTATAATAATTGATAAAAAGTATATAATAGCTCTAAAAGAGATTAAATTAAATGAAGAGCTATTGATAGATATAAAATAGATAACTATATAGCTTATATTAAATATTTATCTCTAATCTCTTATAGAAATATTAATAGAGATATTAATAAGATTATAATATTATAAAATTTATTAATCTCTAATTCTACTATAGCGATTAATATTCTTATTTTTATATTTTATATATATATAGAATATATAGATATAAGATATTAAGTAATTAGATTATTTTTAATACTAAAATAATAGCTAAATAAAGACTTAAATAGATATATTTATATCTTAATATTAAGAAAACTTTTAAATCTTAAAATAATATTATTAAAGAGAATATTTTTAGCGAGAATCGCTAATATTAATACCAAAGAAAGAAAGATATTAATATTAATATAAATTTATTAATTATAATAATTAAATAGTCTTTAATTATATTTACTAAATAATTTTATAATTATAATATTTAAAATAGTTAAAATAATTAATTAATTTTATAGCTATAATAGTTTAAATAGCTAGAATAGTTAAAATATTTCTATAGCTATAATAATCTAAATAATTAAGATAATTAAGATATCTTTATAATTATAATAATTTAAATAATTAAGATAATTAAAATATTTCTATAACTATAATAGCTTAAATAATTAAAATAATTAAGATATTTTTATAATTACGATAATTTAATTAATTAAAATAATTAAGATATTTCTATAACTACGATAATTTAATTAATTAAAATTATTAAAAGATCTCTATAGCTACGATAGTTTAAATAAATAAAATAAATAAAATATTTTTATAATTATAATAATTTAAATAGTTAAAATAATTAGAATATTTTAATAGCTACGATAGCTTAATTAATTAAAATAATTAAGATATCTTTATAATTATAATAGTCTAAATAGCTAAAATAATTAAGATATTTTTATAATTATAATAGCCTCGATAATTAAAGTAATTAAGATATTTCTAAAACTATAATAATCTAAATAATTAAAATTATTAAAATATCTTTATAGCTATAATAGTCTAAATAATCGAAATAACTAGAATATTCTATAATTATAATAATCTAATTAGCTAAAATAGCTAAAGAATTTTAATAATAATAATAATCTAATTAGTTAAAATAATTAAAAAAAATTTATAATTATAATAGCTTAAATAGTTAAAATAATTAAGATATCTTTATAGTTACGATAGCCTTAATAACTAAAGTAATTAAAATATCTTTAGAGTTATAATAGTTTAAATAGATAATATAGCTAAAATATCTCTATAGCTATAATAGCTTAAATAGCTGAAATTATTAAGATATCTTTATAATTATAATAATTTAGATAGTTAGATATAGCTATAATAATTTAAATAGCTAAAATAATTAAGATATTTCTAAGACTACGATAGTTTAAATAATTAAAATAATTAAGATATCTCTATAATTATAATAATCTAAATAGTTAAAATAATTAAGATATTCTTAGAGCTACGATAATCTAAATAATTAAAATAATTAAAATATCTTTATAATTATAATAGTTTAAATTATTAGAATAATTAAGATATTTTTATAATTATAATAATCTAAATAGCTAAAATAATTAAAATCTCTTTATAATTACAATAACTCGATTAATTAAAATAATTAAAATATCTTTATAGCTATAATAGCTTAAATAGCTAAAATAATTAAGATATTTTTATAATTATAATAATTTAATTAGTTAAAATAATTAGAAAATTTCTATAATTACGATAGTTTAAATAGTTAAAATAATTAAGATATCTTTATAGCTATAATAGCTTAAATAATTAAAATAATTAAAATATCTTTATAGCTACGATAGTCTAATTAGATAAAATAGTTAAAATCTCTTTATAGTTATAATAGCTAAGATATTCTTATAATTACGATAGTCTAAATAATTAAAATAATTAAGATATCTCTATAACTGCGATAGTCTAATTAGATAAAATAATTAAAATCTCTTTATAACTATAATAGTTTAAATAAGTAAAATAGTTAAAATATTCTTATAGCTATAATAGCTAAGATATCTTTATAATTACGATAGCTCGAATAGTTAAAATAATTAAGATATCTCTATAGTTATAATAATCTAAATAGCTAAAATAATTAAAATATTTCTATAACTACGATAGTCTAAATAGTTGAAATAATTAAGATATCTTTATAGTTACGATAATCTAAATAGTTAAAATAGTTAAGATCTCTCTATAGCTGCGATAGCTTAAATAGTTAAAATAATTAGAATATTCTATAATTACGATAATCTAATTAATTAAAATAGCTAAGATATTCTAATAGCGACGATAATTTAATTAATTAAAATAATTAAAAAATTCTTATAATTATAATAATCTAAATAGTTAAAATAATTAAGATATCTTTATAACTACGATAATCTCGATAATTAAAGTAATTAAGATATTTTTAAAATTATAATAATCTAAATAGTTAAGATAACTAAGATATCTCTATAGCTATAATAGTCTAAATAGATAAAATAATTAAGATATCTTTATAGTTATAATAGTTTAAATAGTTAATTATAATTATAATAATTTAAATAGTTAAAATAATTAAGATATCTTTATAATTGCGATAATTTAAATAATTAAAGTAATTAAGATATTTCTATAATTATAATAATTTAAATAATTAAAGTAATTAAGATATTTCTATAATTATAATAATTTAAATAGTTAAAGTAATTAAGATATTTCTAAAGCTACGATAATCTAAATAGTTGAAATAACTAAGATATCTTTATAGCTGTAATAATCTAAATAATTAAAATAGTTAAGATCTCTCTATAGCTGCGATAATCTAAATAGTTAAAATAATTATAATTTCTCTATAGCTATAATAGCTCGATTAGCTAAAATAGTTAAAATATCTTTATAATTATAATAGCTTAAATAGTTAAAATAATTAAGATATCTCTATAACTATAATAATCTAATTAGTTAAAATAATTAGAAAATTTCTATATTTATAATAATCTAAATAATTAAAATAATTAAGATATCTTTATAACTACAATAATCTAAATAGTTAAAATAATTAAGATATCTTTATAGCTATAATAACTTAAATAGATAGAATAATTAAGAGTTCTTTATAACTACGATAGCTAAGATATTCTTATAATTGCGATAGTTTAAATAATTAAAATAACTAAAATATCTCTATAGCTATAATAGTCTAAATAGCTAAAATAATTAAGACTTCTTTATAGCTATAATAATTTAAATAAGTAAAATAATTAAGAGTTCTCTATAACTACGATAGTTAAGATATTTTTATAATTACGATAGTTTAAATAGCTAAAATAATTAAAATATCTTTATAGCTATAATAGTTTAAATAATTAAAATAGTTAAAATATCTTTATAACTACGATAGTCTATATAGCTAAAATAATTAAGATATTTTTATATCTACGATAGTCTAATTAGTTAAAATAGCTAGAATATCTTTATAATTACGATAATCTAAATAGCTAAAATAATTAGAATATCTTTATAGTTATAATAGCTCGAATAGCTAAAATAATTAGAATATATCTCTATAACTATAGTAGCCTAGATAGCTAAAATAATTAATATATTTATATAGCTATAATAGTTAAAATAGCTGAAATAATCATATAGCTACAATAGTCTAAATAGCTAAATCGACTAAAATATCCTTATGGCTGCAATAGTCTAAATAACTAAAATAGTTGAAATAACTGAAAACATTCATATAGCTGCAATAGCTTAAATAGCTAAAATAGTCCCTTAGCTGTAATAGCTTAAATAGCTGAAATAGCTGAAATATCTATATGGCTGCCATAGCCCACATAGCTGAAATAGCTGAAATGATTTATATGGCTGCAATAGTCTAAATAGCTGAAATAACTGATATCTACATGGCTGTAATAGTTTAAATAGCTGAAATAGCCACATGGCTGCAATAGCCCACATAGCTGAACTGACTGATATCTACATGGCTGTAATAGTTTAAATAGCTGAAATAGCCACATGGCTGCAATAGCCTAAATAGCTGAACTGACTGAAATATTCACATGGCTGCAATAGCCCAAATAGCTGAAATGACTGAAATATCTATATGGCTGCAATAGCCCACATAGCTGAAATAGCTGAAATGACTGAAAAACATCCACATAGCTGCAATAATCAAATAGCTAAGATGACTGAAATATCCACATAGCTGCAGTAGCCTAAATGGCTGAAATAACTGAAAATATCCATATGGCTGCAATAGCCCAAATAGCTGAAGTGATTGATATATTCTTATGGCTGTAGTAGCCTAAAAGGCTGAAATAGCTATATGGCTATAATAGCTTAAATAGCTGAAGTAGCTAAAATATTCATATGACTGCAATAGTCTAAATAGCTGAAATCATTAAAATATCTCTACAGCTGCGATAGTCTAAATAGCTGAAATAATTGAAATAACTAAAATACTTAAATAGCTGCGATGTCTAAGATAGCCGACTTAGCTAAAGTGGTTATATACCTATATCGCTATAATAGCTAACTATCTTTATAGTTATATAGCTTCAGTAGCTGGAATAATTGAAATTTCGATATAGCTGCGATAGCTGAGGTGAATAGTTATAGATAAAATGGCTAAAGTGTGTATCTAAATGTTAGTTATATGATCGTATGGTTGTACGGCTGCAAATGGTTGACATGGCTCCAATGGCTGAATAGCTATATGATATCCATGTGACTGCAATAGCCTTAAATAGCTGGTATGCTGGACAATTCCATATGGCTGAAAATGGCTCATGGCCGCATGGCTGCAATAGGGCTGAAATAGGGCTGAAATATTCATGTGACTGCAGTGGCCTCAAATAGCTGGAATGGCTGAATAGCTTCATGGCCGCATGGCTGAAATAGCCGAAATATCCTTTCGCAATGACTGATAAAAAGTATGCAATGGCTCTGAAAGAGACGAAATTGAATGAAGAGCCATTGACAGGTGCAAAACAGGTGGCTATATAGCTCGTACTGGACACCTGTCCCCAACCCCTTGCCGGGGTACCAACAGGGGTACCAACAGGGCCATGATGTCATGAAACCCACTAACCCCCAGTCCCACTGTGGCGAATATTGTGACCATGATCCAGGGTCCACCAGGGACTGGCAAGACTAGGCTTATCGGCTTTTGCGTGCTTAATTGTGTCCAGCAACAGCAGCGGTGGTTACTCACCGCAGAGACGCACTATGCGGTTCAAGTATGCGCCGATCGAATCTACGCAAATCTTCAAGCTGTAGATGGTAACTACAATGGTATATGGCTGATCGAGCGCGCTGATCTCGACAGCGCTGCTTTTACTGTCTCTTCTTCCGACTTCCCAGACGACCAAGCGAAGATTTCGGAGTTGACCCGAACGAAGATCATTCAGCGCCTCCGTGGCATGCGGAGCCCAAACGGTTCTCTCTTACCTCTCACATCTCAGATCGCCTCCGACTTTTCCGAGACCAACAAAGAATGCGAGCCGACGAGGCTGCAATTCTTAGAGATCTCAATGTACCATAATTGGCCCTCGACCACTTTAGTTGTGAAGAGGATGTCGGTGAGTGGAAGAGGATATACAAACAGTTCGATAAGGTGTGGGAAGACACACAAGAGTATTACATCAGAACCCAAGCACTTGGTATTATTGTCACAGCGGCAACTGCAATGACAAAGATGCTCCGCGTCTTCAGACCACAACAAATCATAGTCAATGAAGCGTCGCAGCTTACCGAGTTCGCGACTGTCGCTGTCGTTTCGAGGTTTTTTGAAAATCTCAGGAAGGTTCTCATCGTTGGGGATCCGTGCCAAAAAAAGCCCTTTGTGCTCAACCAGAATTCCGAGTTCGTGAATACAACTGAAACAAGTCTCATGGTCAGGCTCTCAAACTCTGGTGTTCCGATTACTAGACTCCGCGAACAATTTCGTATGCATCCCCACATTGCTCAGCCCGTCTCTTCCCTATCCTACGAGGCAACATTAATCAACTCACCGAGCGTGCTTTCGAGACCAAAAGACAGGATTTGGCAAACCTTCCACGGTCAGACTCTACAAGAATGTGCCAAGCGACACTCCATCTTTGTCCACGTCAAGAATTATGTGCCGTATCGGCTCAAGAAGACACAATCAATGTTAAAACCCTCGCGCCTGGCCATCGTACGCGCGCTGATAGATCGGTAAGGGCCGCTGGTGCCAACGACAGACAAATCTCCGTATTGACACCCTAGCAGGGTCAATCGCGTTGGCTGAGAACCTGGGAGACAGCAGATCTCACTATGGCCACAACTGATTCGGCGCAGGGCAAAGAGTACGACTTCGTCATACTCGATTTGGTAAGCCCCGGTGGAAGGCAGTACGCGCTTGGGTTTCGGACAGACCCGAGAAGGATGTGCGTTGCTCTGTCAAAGGCCAAGATTGGGCTTCTCATCATTGGTAACAAGAATAAGGCCAATGTTGCATACCCTGGGGCAGGCACCAGAGCATGGAAGCAGCTGATCGATGACCACGTGACCAAGGATGCAGTGTGCGAAAAGGATGCATGGGATTTTTCAGGGCAGGTGAAGGCATTGATGCGAGAACATTATATTCCAGGTGTTTTGTATGAAGAGGCACCAAGACGGGGTTACCTGATAGCTAGGTACCCATATTCGACTATAGCTAAAACGCTGGCAAATATACTGCTCGAAGGCGCGGACATATCATCAATCCTTCTCTCGATGGGTATGAAATTTCACCACTATAACGATAGACTACGGTGCTATATTCAGTTTTTTATGAAAAGAACGTCTCGTTTACACTACTTGTGCTTCTTGACGTGACAACGGAACACTCTAGATTTATTCATTCATGTAGAGGGAGTTGGTTTTATGCATCAGGGCTATATAACATCCAAAGATGATAAGTATCTCAGCACCATATAGCCATATTCACAATTCTCTCAAGGAAGTTCTACAGAATGGCGCGTTCAGTTCTCCTACCATCAATCACATTGTCCCATCTCCTTTCTACTAAATCAACGCTGTCGCTACCCACCTCCTTCTCCTCCTCCTCCTCCTCCTCCTCCTCCTCCTCCGGTCTGAGCCTGACGTCCTCAGCGACCAATCCACAAGGCAACTCGACTCAGTCGCCCTCCGGCCACCCGAACGGATAGACACCGTTGTGGATATCGGGAGATGGATCCCAGATGGTGCCTGTCAACGGGCAACCTCACCCAACGCATCTACAAGTCGAACTGACCCTGCTGAATGCCAGCACAGTCGGGACAAACCGACAAACCTCACGGTCTCTTGGCTGCTGCGAACGGCCACTCTTACACTTTTCGGCTTCGCAAACTACCACGGAGCGGTGACCCCTGGATCAGGTCTCGCAGATTTGGTTTCCGAATGCGAAATCGGGCTCTGTGGCTGGGTAGCGGCATCGGGGCTCGACGTGTGGATGATGTATCCACGGGGTAGGTGCGTTTGCGATGGGAAGCTTCGCGGCATGGTTTGAATGGGTCTGGTCGATGATACTGTCGGCTGCGAAATGGCCTAATGGGATCTTGCGTTCCTGATCAAAGTCCTTTATGATACCGAGGGCGTTAAGGAAGAAGCGCCGTTCTTCGACCTCAACCTTCAATGGTACCGCCGCGAGGAGTGCCCAGTAGCGTAAACGGTAGCCATGCTGAATGAGTGAGCGATGGAGACTTCTGTTCGACCGGAAGGCGCGGCCTTTTCATGTATGAGGTCTGCAGGCCGAGTGAGCTTGTTTAATATCGTACATACACAATACAGTCTCTTGGCCCGTCAATTGCGAAAAGCAACTTAAGGATTCTCTCGTAGGTTACAACATCAAGAGGTCCGTTCAACATCGACTGTGTCGCCGTAATGAACAGTAAGGTCGGACGAACCCGGTGGATAGATGAACCGTGTACTGTTCTCCGCAGGGGAGGTAGCGCTCAAACAGACAATTAGGAAAAAACTTGGAATTGGAAATGGGAGGATTTTGAGCCTTCAAGTGCAGCAAAGGAAACGTAGACGGTAGACGACTTGAAGGATTCTACCTGGGCTAATCCGTAATGAGGATATACTCCATCGACGATGGAGCTTGAAAAACGAAAACGGAAGACACCCTATCTTTTGAGGTTTCCGAATCCCACGCAAGAAGACTGGAAACACGAAGATTGAATTAGATAGGTAGGTTCAATGCAGCGCATGGATCGTGCAGGTGCTCCGCAGACACAGCCTTGTCTCCCTCGTCCCATGCGACATTGCATGAAGGGGCTGGGGCCATCTTGGCATTGAAAATCCTTGCGCAGCGTCTTTATCGTGGAGTTCTTCTTATTGTTCTGGGGGTTTTCCCCGCTCTATAGAATATCTCTTTATCTTTGAGGGTTCCCTTCAATTGTAGGGATCCCTTTACGTTAGAGCTCTGTTGTTAGAGGTATTTAGTTCGTATTAGGTTCGATTCCTAATGGCGCTGGTACAATGGTGTTGCGGTGCTTTTTATTTTCTAGCTCGCGCGGTGACTCTCACACTTGTGGAACCGGCGCTTCACCCTAGACCTAATACGGGTTGAGGTTCGCAAAGCACGTGAGGGGATCTGCCGTATTATCTACAGTAGCGTGGCATGTCTTTCGGTTAATGTAAGGTACTGTACCTTGAGGAGTAACTGCCCGAGAAAGCTTGCATCAAATGGTACTCCGGCGTACGCTTACTCCTTAAATGCGTTTCTTACTCTGGAGACAGGCTGCCAAATCTCTTGCAGCGTGCCTACTAAGAACAACACCTGCATACTCAACCATGGCTCCCTCCTTCAGGAGTCTTGGGGCTCAACCCGTCTCTGCACAGTCCATGCTTTTCGAGTGGTATCCGAACTGCTGGGCTTATACGACTCTATATGCCATTGGGTGGAACGAGCTTCAAGGCATTCGCTCGAGACCAGGCTGAACAGCAATGGCTTAGTGATGGTGCTCCACCAAAAGCCTCGCTCTTCCTTCTATCGAGCCTACGCAGATGCTCGAAGACTTGTTTTCCTGACTTCTGGTGGTCGACACATCTGTTGTAGGCATCATTCGTTTCGATCTTTGTCTGCATGGATCCTGCTACTGGTTCTTCCAATTGACGACCTGAACTCACAGAGACGGGCGAAGCTCCATTGTGCCGTCTAGATCCACACGATCAGTCACAAATGAGTGGTACAATGCCGTTGCCTGGCATACATCTTATCTTCTACCTCACGTGGAAACCTTTCAACACTTCCTCTCAGCAGCTTAGAAGATGAAAGGCACATTCCACTTGAGCTTCTGATCGAGGTTTTGTCATTCGACTCTACATCCTGCCCGCCCTTCTCGTCCCACTTGATAAAATCGTCGGCGCCAGTAAGTACATCAAAACTGCTCACAAATCCTTCATTTCCCGCTACGTCACCCCTGTCACCCTCGTCTCTTGTCTCTTGTCCCCCTTCTGTCGATTTACACCATTCTTCGTCCTTGCAATACTCATCTATTCGACCCTCATCTTTGCTCCGCCATGATTACTTGTGGACAGCTTTGGACAGCTTTTATCATCCTCATCCTTCACCGTTCTCTCTAATTTGCTGCGATCAGCGACTTCGAGAAACCCTTGGGAGCTCACGGACTTTTTCCGTCTCTCGAACTTCCATCTTTGTCTTACCTACCTTCTCTAGCCGCGCTACTCTCTTGTGAGTTAGTCCCTCACTGCCGCCCCATTCCGAGACCAGCTATAACCTACAGCCAGCAGCAGTCATACTAGGCTATTTGCTCAGTGCGTTGGGATTTTCCCACCCACCAACCATCATTTCGTGCCTTATTCCCCTACAGCTGTTGCTCCATCTCAATCTCACCAACCTACTTCGTGCGGTGCGTATTATCTCTCACCACCTCAGAATATAGCTCATCTTGATTTTAGCCATTTCCTTGATTGTCACCCCACCTTCGCAATGGGTGCAACCCTTTCTTACCTCGGCTACGCATCACATCAGCAGCCTCACCCAGGTTTTTATGAGCGTGTTTCCCGGCAGCTGCACCAAGGCTTCGAACCAACTCTCATCTTCGGCAATAAAGATGCAGTTTCACCCTCCATCATCGACCTCTGTACTCGTCTTACCGCTTTGGAGAAAGATCTTCAGATTTCTCGAACGGCAAACACCAACAAAGAGGCTGTCATTCAGTACCTTCTGCAGTCCAGCGTGAGCAACGCGCGTGTCAAGGAACGCACTGTAAAGCTCAAGGAGCAGCTTCTAGTTCTGAAGACGACCATCGACCAAACTCACAAGGAGAAGAAAGAAATCAAGGACAAGCTGAGGAAAGCTGAAGACACTATCTTTGCCCTATCCAGGCCCAATGTTCCCAATTCAATGTCTCAATCTATCTCAACAAGCTTCAGCAGTCACAGCGATTCCCCACCGAAAAGCGAGATAGTGACCGAGGATTTGATTGATCTGCTAGACTGCAGCCAAGAGTTCAGCAGTGCGAAATTAACGAAAGGGGGCACCACTTTGCTAGATAAGTTCTACGAAGACGAGTCAGATACTGAGGGAGTTTCCAACAGTACTACGCCATTTCAGTCTCTGCAACAGTCTTCTGATTCAGATTTCGAAGGGTCCTCGTACATTGTCCATTTCGCGGACAGCGATGAAGATACGAAATCACAGGACGCTGTTAAGGTGTCTACAAAGGTATTGCGCCGAGGAGCCTTATACTATTCCAGTTGCTAATTAGCCTTTTAATAGAAGGTCAGGGTGCCTCGCGGCTTATCAGAGTCTATCACACCTTCAGAGCAGCAGAACGACATTCTTGTACTTTCCGAAAAGGCCGATGAATCTTCTTCGGAGGATGCATCCTCTCTGAATGGTCCTAATTCCACAGCAACCTCCTTTACTTCTACGAGCAGTGGAAATTCGCCGCTCAACGCCAAGCTCCTCAATGAGGAGTTTTTGCAGCTGAAGGCCTTGCATTCTGAAGGCGGCAATTTGGATAAATCTATGGCTATAGTCAGCACATTAGCAGACAAACTATGCAGTTTCGGCACGCTCAATCAAGACGAGCCATTTCGGCCAACCGCCCAAGCCCCTACGGAATCTCGAGATCTGCAGACCTCAGTCAAGGGTGATACCACCGAGCCACGTTGGAGCCCAGAGAGAATCTTTGAGTCTGTTCAAGATCGCAAGACTGCCGTCTTAATCAACGGACGTAGTGCTCAGACTGGAGCAAGAGATGTACCCTATCCAGACTTCTTCAAATATGGTATCCGCTATGTTCCCAAAACCTACGAGCAGGATGTCTATCGTACCGTTGCAATCTCGGGACTCCCGCCATCTGTCACAATGATGGCTCTTCTAGAGAAAGTCCGAGGAGGCATGCTCGTCGATGCAAAGCTTCTGGACACAGCCAAGATTACCGGTAGTAACACGGCATTAGTGACTTTCTTACACGAGCGTTCAGCCATGGCATACGAGGATCGTGCGAAAGAGCATCCCATAGCCTTCAACAACGTTGTGGCCCAGGTTGCGGTAATCCCAACTCCGACGTGGCCCATCCCGGTTAACCTTCGAACAGGCATCGAAGAATTTGGACGCACGCGCTGCTTCGAGGTACATAACATTCCTCGCAATCTCTTTCTGCCGACTTTGAGACAAGAACTCACAGCCTCCCCTGTCATGAAGTCAGACAGCCTGGAGTGCATGAGGCTGGGAGCGGACGGGGTTCTGGGACTGCGCTTTTCATCCATCAGAGCCGCCGGACACAGCTCTGCTTTGTTCAGCAAAACCCTGCGCTACCGGGGATGTACCGTCCAATGCATCCCAGATCCGTGCGCTCAGCCTTTGGAGACTCTTCTTCAACCACGTACAGACATGTCCGAAGTTGTCAAGGAAGTCACCCCAGAGCCTTCCTACAATTCGGAGGCCAAAGCCGCTGCCGATGAGCAATCTGGTAGGCTCACCAAGGTCGACTAGACAATCGATTCAGAGCTTCGTCGTGGCCAAGGGTTTGAAGACCGAGCCGATTCCGCCCTTGATAAGACCGTCGAACTAGCCGGCCACAGCATCTTACTCAGCAGCGTCAGTACTAAGGAGCCTCTACACCAGCAGACAGCAGCCACAATAGCTTCTTTCGCAAAGTCCCCTTCTCCCCCGAAATAACTTTGGCTTCCCTTTACAAGCTATTGTGCCCGCGGGTCTATCGTTCACATCGATTGCCAGTTTTCATTTGCCTCGATCTTCAATCTTCAAAAGCATTGTTTTTGGCTCAAACACCGCTCGCTTATGCTATTCTGGTGAGGTGTGAGCCAACTCTGGATCTTTATTTGTATCTATCAGCACGTCTATGCAACCTTTGCCGTTAGTTATTGACGAGACTCGTCGCAGCCTTCGTCGTCTTCATCACACAGCGCGCGGAGATGGAGACTTCGGTTGGATACTCTGTGGAAGCGTGAAGCGCTGGAGGTCGTGCGGGTGGAAGGTGCAGGCCGATCATCAATGCTTCTTTCGATGGCTACGAATTTCCATCATTACAATGATAGACTACTTTGCCATATACCATTTTGATAGAAAGGAAGTCAACTACGCTGCTCATGCTTTTGAACGTGACATCGGAACAGTGAAGACTGATCCATTTATGTAGAGGGGGTTGGTTTTGCCTAATTCCCATATCTGGTTATACCAAAGACGCCTTACCGCTGCAAAGGATCGATCATGGCCCCATCTCCATCGCTCCCACCACGTATCAACACATCACAAAAAGTTCAGCCTCCGCTTATTGAACGCCCTTTGATCCTTCATCCAATTCCTATACTCCTTCACGCTCCCAATCTTCTCCCCGTAATAATCCGGCACGGGATTCGCCGACGACCCTCCGGACGGATCGACCCTATGCTTCTTTATCCTCCTGTAAAAATCCCTCTCCTTCTATCCATCGCACACACCACTCATCAGCACCCGTCCCTCGAAAACGCACCCCTCCCCCCGCCTTCACCACAACCCAGCCAAACACACACACATACAGAGACGCAAAACTCACCTCGGCAATCTGCCCCCCCACCCTCCGATGCGCCACCCCGAAGACGGCATTCCCCACAAACGGCCCCAGCAGCCATCCCACGGCCCCGCTGCCCGCCGTCAGCGCCGCGAGCACCAGGAACGGATCCAGCCCGAAGACGTTGACCTGCTCGAGGTTGAGCGTCGCGAGGGCGGACACGCCGCCCGCCGTCGTGAGGAGCGAGCTCAGCAGCGACGAGGCGAGGTTGTAGCGGCGCCGCGTCTTGCGCAGCGAGAGGTAGGCGTTCCAGGGCAGGGGGTGGAGGGGAGGGGGGGATGGGAGGGGGGGCGGCGGCGGTGGTGGTGGTGGTGGTGGTGGTGGATTCGAAGCGGAGGGGGGGCGTGCGGTGGGTGGATGGGTTGAGGAAGGGTCGGTGGGTGGGTTTCGACGACGATGTCGATGTCGACAGTGACGCGCAGCATGGTGTGGTGAGCTTGGGTTGGAGTTTCAAGCTCGTGAGTGCGGAGCGCAGGTGCGTTGAGTGGGGGGGGAGCATCTTGGACGCAACTTGGGGAGAGGCGCTGTGGGGGGGGGGTCTGGTCTGGTCTGTGAGGGAGGGTAGTGCACACGACTGGAGCTTTTGATGGTCGGGATGTAAAGTAGGTATGTAGGGCTGTTGGCGCCGTACGCGCTGTTGGCGTCTATCTCTGGCTTGGCACTGCTCGTGGAGTTTCGCAAACTTACTGATGAACAATTCAGTCAACTGTATGTAGTCAGCCAACACGCTCATTTGATTTTTTTACCTTTTGATCAGAGAGATACCTTATAGCTAGCAAATGGTATGCAAGACAAGCGTCGATGTTGTGAGAAGAGTTGCGAATAGGGGTGTGTAACTAGTGTACGGGTCGAGTAATGTTCCAGGACGCACTCTCGGTATTGTTGGAAGTCCAGACGAGATTCGAGAATCAATTGAGGATCTTTGACCCGAGCAATATGCTATTACAGTAGATTTATATAATGGGCCAAAAGGAACGATCAGAAGGGTGGTCTGCCATAAATGTAAGAGTTTGTAGCAAAAGTCATGTCGAAACCCCTTCATGAAATTGGAGCAGTCCGACAGTTGCCAAAAAGTAGTTGACGATTTCCATAGACTTTTCCTTATAAATTGTCATTGTATATACGACGGAGAACTTATAGAAGTCCTAAAGGTTAGGCGCAGTGCCAGAAAATAGTAACAATTTTCGGCAGAATTTTCCTCCAGGACCATCACTTTACCTGCAAGGGAGAATCTGTAGAAGTCGTATAGTTGAAGTATACTACCCCCCGAAAAATGACAGTTTCGCAACCTTTCTCGGAAAATCGTTGTTTTATCTGCGATTCTTGATGTATTATATTCAATCCTTCCTATTGTGAAATGATAGTCCCCTACGCGAGACTTTTGGTACATTCTCTTACTGTAAATTGTTCGGAGTTCCTCCAAGTAACCTTGTTATTCAAGCATACGAGGCTTCGAATGTTGCTCAGACAATCCTTCAAGAGCTTTGGTTTTGCGCGAGGAGAGTAATAGTCTTCGCTGTTTCGCACCGTTAACCCTATAATAACAAGCCATGCAACCATTTATCCTCCGTTGAATGCACGTCTCTTTTCTGCCGCCAAATGATATCTCAGAAGACGTAATCCAGAGCAAGAATGATGCTCATGCTCATGCTCATGCTCATTAACAGCCTCATCGGACGCCGAAAATCATAACTTGAGGAAGGGTGCCGCGTACCAGTTGCCGTTTCCAGCTCAGATACAACAGCCACCAAATCTGATGACTGTGGCAGCGCTAACAGAACAGCACGACACAGCGTACGAAAGTGAGAAAAGGACCAGTTAAACTCGCTGACCCTGATTCGGTCCCTCTATCCTCAAAACGTCAATTGAAACTCCTGCTCTGCTTCCTCTCTTAAAAGCGTGTCCAACCCATGCGGATGATCGCCTGCAAAGATCTCCTCCAAACTTGGCCCCTCATCCTCATCGAAGCATCCCGCGGCCCTACAGCGAATCCACATCTCGCTACCGACTCGGGGTACACCATAACGCCGAATGTACTCCGCTGGCGCCAACGAAGTATCAGGTATCTCATTTGAGCCAGTCTTGACATCTTTCTTTGGCACCACAGTCTTGCGGAGCGTGGCAGAAGTGGCGCGACCTTTCGAGTAGCCCATTGTCGTCTTCGAGGCTGCTACTGCGGCGTTATGACGCATAGGTGAGGGATTAGTTGGCGCAGGTGCGTTCTTGGGCCGGGCAACGAGGGAAGTTGTAAGACGGGGTTTAGCGGGTGCAAAGGTGGGCTTTGAGGCGGTCTTCGACGCAGGACCAGATTGTTTAGGCAGAGACAATGATGCTGCAGCGACTTTGGATTTGAGGGTGGATGGTCCCTTGGTTGGAATCAATTTTCTGGTAGCTGGTGTAGTCTCTGCCTCAATCGTTGCTATGGTCTCATGATACTGCTCCTCTGCTGCTTTTCTTGCCTCGACTGTATCTTTGCATGTTTCGGTCGGACATTCTGGATAGTGCGTGCATGGAATAGGCATACTGTCAATATCTCGTTGCATAAGAGCCTCCATTTTCCTGTCAGCTATGTCATAGATCCTTTGCAGTCGTTGCTCCTCTCGCTCGGCATGACTTAGTCCGTCAGGCCCTTCCCTAGTCATGAAATGGCTCCAGGCCCCTCTCATCCTGTTCTCTCCTTCGAACATGGATAGATTGAGTTCAACATGATCGTCCGGATAATCAGGTAGATCTAAAGCCGATCAGCGCCGCCCTCAATTGGTAAAAGCGAGATGCTAACTTTTCGCCTTTGGTGGCATGTACTCGATCTCCCTTTCTTTCAGTACATCCTTGTCACCCAAGACCTCCAACTTGGTCATCTCAGCATGTGAAATCCTCGGCTTTGCCTTTCGCGCTGACACACTCTTCTGATTAGTCTTGCCCAGATCATTGTCAGCCGGAGGTGGAGCGGGCGTTTGAAAGGCTTTTGCGTTGGTTGTCTTCATGCCTAGAGGCGCTCGAGTTCGCGGGGCTGGATCACGGATACATTAGCTTGACCGTATAGCCAGGCGAGTCGAATATATTATACCCATCGGTGTAACAAAGGCAGTCTTGTCTCCCAGGCCTCCCTTCTTCGCCCCAAGGATCATGTTCTCATTGCCCTTGCCATGGGTCTTCAACCCTCCCTTCCCCCCTCCAAGAGCCCCAGCATTGTTTTCATCGTTCAATGGAACCTTGAAGGGTGTCTTGGGTGCTTTGGCCGGAGTCTTTGGCGCAAGCTGTCTGGCTCCTTGATTGAGCGGCTTTGAAGCCGCTGCTGCTTGATGACCGTGGACCAGGTTCTCTTGGTCTCGCGCCGCAAGCATACTGAATTCAGGAGATTGGTGATTCAGTTCGTAAAAGTCCCAATCATTGATAGTCTTCAGTATTTTCTGTAGTGTAAATGTGTACAGTACTGTTTACTTTTACATGTTGCCATTGGCGACTGAGACGCGGCTAAGAGCCGGATTTAGACGCTTGCGGCGTGGGCACCATGGGCAGATCTTTATCATTCAGGTCCCACGTAAGCTCCACAAACTTCATAACTCTTTTCTCCCTCGAAAAACCTCTCTCTACATACTCTGAATCTCTTGCAACTCCACTAAACTGCCGCCTCCGCTCTGCCTTGCTCAATACCGCCATCATGTCTCTCGACACTATCAAACAGGTACGAAACGCTACTTTCCCCATATCTGCCCCACCTTAGTTTGCGTCGAGGCTAGCAAATGCTTTTGATCACTCTGTGACTGCAATCAATGCTTGTAATGTATGTGGGAGAGGCTAGAATGCTAAGAATTCCTCTAGAAAATGAGTTCCCTCCGCGTGCAGCAAGAGGAGACCCAGGCCAAGTATGAAGAGCTCCAAGGCAAGGTCAAGACGTTGGAGCAGGAGAATCTCGCAAAGGAACAAGAGATCACTTCATTATCGCACAAGAACCAACTGTTGGAGACCGAGGTCGAGAAGCTAGAAGGTGGCATCAAGGAAGCCAAGGTGGCTGCGGAGGAGAGCGGCCAACACGGCATTCAGAATGAGAGTCTACAGAGGAGACTGCAGCTGCTGGAAGAGGAAGCTGAGGAGTCGGACAAGAACATTAGGGAGACAAATGAGAAGTATGACCAAGTCTCTTGCGTTACTGCTAGCGTAGGAGAAACACCAAGCTAACGTCTCCTTTCTCGCAGGCTACGTCAAACCGACGTCAAGGCCGGCCACTACGAACGCAAAGTCCAGGCTCTCGAAGCAAGCCGTGATCAATGGGAGGAGAAGTATGAAGAGATGGCCCAGAAATACAACGTGGTCAAGAAGGAATTGGAGGACTTCCAGCTTGAGATTGGGAATATCTGAGCGGCTGGAGTACTCCACTTGAGTGTTGCATTTGAGCGTTACTGCGGTGCTGCAATGGTGATTTGAGGCGGGAGAGCGCCGAGCTTGCGAGCTGTAAGATGACCAAATGTTGTGCAATAGACATACTTGCATCCTTGGTCGGAAGGACTAGCTATTCAAAAGATGATCATGCTTTTTATTACACTGTTTATTGCTGCCGCTCAAAGGGTATCATGACGCTCATGCCCTTCCTTTGCTTATCATTCCCTTCTGGCCTTGGCTTTCGCTTTGTTGCCCGATCTTTCCTTGTATCTTGTGGCCTTCCTCTCAGCTTTGTTCTCATAACGGAACTTCTTTTTCCTTTTTCTAGGGCCACTTGGGGCCTCTTTGGTCCATACCCGCTTGCCCTTCTCGGATCCTGTTCTTCCCTGCAGAGCCGTAGTTCCCTGTGGTTTCCCATCAGGTCTGTCGGTGCCCGAGGCCTCGCCTTCATTCTCTGCATCTTGAATTGCTTTCTGTAGACCATCCTTTGAGACATCCACAGCCTCGACTGTGACAGTTGTAAACCTATCGTCGTCCATGTATTCGTCCTCATGGTCCACTAGAGGGTCATGATTATCCTTGATCCCATCCCATAGCTCTCCCTCACCCTCAACCCCTTCCTCGCTAGAGTCTGAAGCTACCCCATCCGCTTCCCTTATCATGGAATTTACGGCTTGCACATGCTTCTCCAGATCTGCTTTCCGCCCTTCTCGTAGCTGTAATCGTCCAGTCAGAACCGCAGGGAAGCAGGAACAGATTGAGGCATACGATCTTCCTAGCAGCAAGTTTGTCTTCGCGGTCTTTCTTGGCAGCTTCCTCCTTAGCATGCTTTATTCGTAGCAGCTTGCGTTTGTGGAATCCAGTCAGGTAGTCTTCTCGGGCACTGAAGTCGAAGGAGATCTCTTCGATGGCTGACGCTGATTTCCGCTTCTTCCTTGGTGGAGGCACAGCTTGGAATGCTTTACGTTTACCCAGCATCATGACTGATGTCTGAAGGATGCCAGAGATTTTCGAAGGAGGGGAATCCTCCGTAGATGCGCCGCAAAAACGTTTATCCTAGCGCCAAACATGTCGCCGCATGTCAGGCTTCAAGTGGCATCAGCACCTGGAAAAGCAACATACAGGCAATGTTATCAATGAGGATCTGGGCATTTGCCCTGGGTGCATGCGTAGTCAACGCCTTTAAAGACACATCGCCCTTCTTCCTTTTCTCAACCTCTGAGTAATTCCAAAACTCTGGGCGAAGCCGAGCTCCACTAATCTACAACTTCCAGACTCCTCGCATCCTCCCCAGATCTTACCTCCGCAGCGTCTCTCAGCAAAGTCATCATTCCAGAACTCGAAGCATGTACATCAGATACCTACGTCGTCGTATCGCAGCCGGGCGTCAATGCAGTTGACTACCAAAACCGAGCGTCGCCCTATCTACGGATGAAAGTACTGGGGAATGATAAGAGTATACGGTCAAGTCTTGCGGTCAAGGAAGTGATGGGAGAGATTAGCGGGGACCACCTGAGTAAAGTCATACAAGAGAAGTGTGGGGCAAGACATTTGAGGGTGGATGCGTCAAGTAAGAGCTTCTGGGGCTGGGAACATGCACTGGAGATTATTCGCTGACATATGGCATCATAAAGCTGGCTCCTTTGAAATCTCTGAAGACGCGAAACCCAGAGTTATCAATCTCGATTTCCCCGCTCTTCCTTTCGGTAACGCCAGGTCCCAGAGATTGCTTGAAAACGGTATGGAGAAAATCACTGTTCGACTATGCAATGTGGAAGCTAACATAAATTAGACGCCTTCCTCGCGTCTGTCCTTGACCTACTCTCATCAAATAAGTTCACTGTCATCTACACTACTACGCCTCCCAACGCTGCTCATCAACCAGCCTCCACTGAGTCCGAGTCGTATGAGATGGATGCTCAATTCCAAGCGCCCGTGCACATGGACCTCAAACGAGACTTTTCGAATGAAAAGCGTGCATCTGATGGCAATATTACACTCCCAGATGGTCCTTTGTTCGAACGATACCAATATCTTAGCCCAGGTACTTCCCCTAGGACATGTTTACTTGTGAGACAGCATACTGACTACTCTGTCCAGGCCTTTTTATGGGCTTACTCGTATCCTTCATCCTTATATCGATCCTCTACGTCGGTATCAATGGTGTTGCCAGCCTCCAAGTCTCTTATGCCGCTTTCGACAAGGAGATGGGCCCCGCGGCACAGAAGAAGCAGCCTCAGTAATGTGTTCATGGATTGTAAATTTACGAGATAGTTTGCTTGTATATTGATAGGCTACTAGGGACCCAATGTATGATTTATTGGCTCTCCCATAGCTGAAGTAGCTTGACAAGCAAGATTCAAAGCCGGCACTCGGAGCTGAGAACACCTCTCGCCGCCCAAGGCGTCTGACCTGCATCCATACCGTATTATCTATTCGAAGTACAACAGTGTGATCTCCTAAGATGTAAGGAACGTTGGGTTTCCATGGCTGTGAACACGTGCATTGGCGACCCTGCTGAGCACCTTTCCGACTAACTTATGCCATTCCCGCAACTTTTTCCCATAGACGCATCTTTCATAGGTTAGGGGCCCGACTTTCTCTTTCGATTTGCCTCCATAGTAGTCACGATCGATCATGACTACAAGAAAATCACCTTTGCATGATGCAGGTTGCGAGCAATCGTAGCATCGCGTGGTGAATATTGAGGACCATCAAACATGATTCGTTAGCTTCTTTCAAAATTCGGAATACAGCCGTTGACACACTTCGGTAGGTCACTGAACGTATTCGTGGCAGAGAAAGATTCGACCGCAGAGAAAGACTGTCTAATCTAGGATGAATGCTGGCCACTGAGTTGGTGAGCCGGAGCAATCAATTTTCGTTGTGCAGGTGGTTGTTTGCCGGTGTAGTAGTATATTAACCTGGCCAGTTCGCCTGTGTTACACAAAATGTCCACGCCACTCTCTTCCCCTCCCACCCTCATACCCAGAGAGAAATGAACAGTATGCAGGCCTTAGGTATTGAGGACGATGTCGACCATGATGCGTGAACATCAGAGTGGTATTGGACTCTTTGCGTGGCATGGCCTTGAGTGGTTAGGAAGCTTCGTTTCAGTCCTGACAACATCCGAGTAGGATTCAGACTAGGCCGAAATGACAACGCAATTTCCTGCAATTGCCTCCTTGGTGTGGTAGGCAGCCTCATTGATCATGCATGAAAGCGTTTTTGCTCATGGGGCCTTTACTGTCTTTCGATGGCAACTGTATGGTGAGTTTTTCCCTTCCCCTCACTGAGGAGCCTGTGAGTGAAGCTCCCTCTTTGCCACCCAGCTAACCCGTTGGGCTGCAGGAGTCATGCGGCCCCAAGTGGAGCTCGCCATATGCTGCTACTACATTACATTGGATCATTCAAGTTGTCTACATTATCGTGGATGTCATGGAGTCAAAGCGCCATAGAACGATACGTTGCTGGCACCATCAGACTGGTTGATCTGCTAGGTTACGTTCTCGTGGATCTGGCAGCCTGAAACCAGCACAGAACATCACGTCGTTTGCACTTAGGGGATTGGACGACGTCTTTTGGCGCAGTTATCGTGGACGTGACTGGCACTCGTACTTGGGAGCCATACAATTCTCTACGGAAGATGACAAAGAGAATGGCTCCAGGTATATATATACCGTGGTCTGTCTTGTTCAGGGTGCGTTGGTAAGTAGCATTCATTGCATTCTCCAAGAGACTTCTTTTTTGACTCCGAAGAAGAAACAAGACGACAACAGACATCAACGCTAAAGATGTCTTCTAACAACTTCTCCACCTCCGCGCCCAAGTGAGTGCCTCCCTCCCTCGAACCATCGCTACTATATGTGCGGATGCTAGTCGTACCTGATAGCAGTGTCCTTCTGCTGCTCGTCTCAAGCTACGAACACTGCAAACTCCTAAGCCATTCGACGTGTTTGGCCAATAGACTCACGCTGACACAAAAACTTCATAGTTCACGGGCGCCAGTCCTGCCACAGACCCTCGTCTCCCTCGCAGACCCTCCGCTCCTTGGCGGTGATGAGCCGTTGATCTTCGATGAGCTCACCGGTCCCTATGCCATGCCCCCCAACGACTGGTATGAGTGGGAGGATCCCATGCCCACGGTCACCTCTGTCCCAGGTCTGCAAGCATCGCCTGAGCTTTGGGTACCCGTCGATGCTGTAAGCATTGCTCCGAGGCAAAGGCACCGCGCGCCGGCACCGACCAGGCAAGAGACAGAGGCAAGGCACCCGGAGCTTGCTAACAAGCCAGAACCAAAAAGGCGCAAGGCTCCCCCCGTTAAAGGGGTCTCCGGTCGGGTCATCGAGAAGAAAGTGGAACAGGCTTGTATGCGGTGCCGGTAAGTACTTGGCTCCTTTCCACAAAGGAACGCTCGATGAGCTGACTTTGAGCTTTCTAGAGCCGCAAAACAGAAATGCGACGGCGAGAAACCCCACTGCAGGCGGTGTACAAGGAGGAACCGAAGGTGCTCTTACGTTCCCACCGAGCGGCAGATCGAATGGGCTCAGAAGAAGGCGGCGGGAAGTGCCAATACACCGCCTGAGTCTGTCGAGCAACCTAGGACAGTTGCAATGACACCGCCGGAGAATTACGTCCTTACGGCCCCGGGGCGAAGACTTCTACCGCGTCCTGAAGCACCAGAAGCGGCGATGGGAGGGTTTACAGCAGGCGCAGAGGCACAATTACAAGATCCTGAATATTTTGATCGGGCTTTGGAAGATTTGAATACCATGACGAACGGATACTCACAGTATCCTCAACAGCCTTGCTGGACGTCTGGGGAATTAGATCTCTGGTCAACTGGAGCTTTACAGTATCCCCCACAGCCCAACTTGGCTTTTCGAGGGTATTTGTCTCAGCCAAGCAGACCCTTGCCATTTCTCGGAGAGCCCAGTCTCACGTCTGAAGGGTCAGTTGGCCAGTCCACCGGGTTCTCGCTATACACAAGAGATCCTAGCATGGCATCTGATGGTCCAACGGCTTTTTCAGAGAACTCAACGCATCAAAATGAACCTGGAATGGGATTCATGAATTACGACTTTCCTCAAACAAGCCCAGAGGGTGGACAGGATCTGACGGGATCCAACCATTTTGACGGGCAGGCATGGACCCTCGCCCACTTCGCAGGACTGGATGCGATGGACCTGCCGGGAAACCGAAGGACGTGAGGCCAGGAAAAAAGCCAACTATATAAGAGTGATGGTCAAAAGTTACTACAAGAATTTAGAAATAGAATATAGATTTATAGAGCATCGCAAGTCTCAAAACTCATTCTACACCACTTCCTCTGCTCCCAAAGATTCCCCAAAATTCTCGCGATGTCATGAAAAGTATCTGTCCCTTCAACTCTACCCCCACAAATACAGGCACATGGGAAACGGCAGACAACCGTGGGCCCTGGGCTTTCCCGGGCACGTTTCTTGGCGCTGCGTAAATTAAAGGGATAAGTACCGATGCACTGCAGCACTACAAATATCTGCAGTGAAGGTCATGTGCATAACCTCTAATTGCTTCCCAAGAGACCTACATATCTACGGAAAACGGAAACAATCAGTGAGTATCATTGGCGCGCTTTACAAAGTATGCCAATGAGTCTGACGTGCTGGACAGGAAACGTTTGCTATGCTACTACTTCCCCTCTCTGACAACACTTGTGTGGTGGTGGTTTGCTATCATGGCAATTCGTTCTTGATTGGAAGATCTTCACTGTAACCACTCAAGAATGTATGAGATAGCACAGCTGTCTGAGATCCACAAAGTCCATCACGGATGCGTCTCGGTAGATTTGGGCATCGGCTTGTTTCATCTTACTTGACTTTAGAAGGGTCATCGCTGGGATGATAACACGGATATTGGCAAAGACGAAGCTCGTGCTTGTCTGCAATCACCCAACGCTATTTGCCCCCCACCAACCTCAACTTTCGTCGTCCTCTTCGCTTGACACCTCTTTCTTTCCCAGCAGAGGCAAATTGCAGTATTTTACTTATTATTCCCCGATCGGATTTGTAGTACCTTGCTTCCACCAGGGTCCGCTTACGCAACAACGAGCACCCAGAAAGTGTATCAGAAGCACCTGTCTATGCCCTTTCCGTGAAGACGGTGCCGAGTCAACGGACGGCATGGAAAGTAAGGGTCTATCTCATCCTTGTCTACACTTATCTAACACTCTCTCCCTACCGGTGGCCTTTCCAGTCTTTTCCCCTTCCCTCTAAAAAGGCAAATTGCATGATTCTGCCGATCACTTCTGCTTCAGGATTGCTCGGTATCATGTGACATAGTCAAAGCCGTCTTTTGCAACGGAAGGTCTTCCGAAGATGTATCAGAAGTGGCCGCCTTGACGGTGAAAGCTGGCGCTAAGCCAGCGCACGGTGCAGAAGGCTGAGCCTATTCATCTTCATGGATGCCTGCAAGTCATCCACACCCTTTCCCCACCATATCCGCTCTCAGATGTACCCCGGCTTTTCGACAATCCACTCACCGTGGTCGATCGATTCTGCTTCAGAAATGCAGTATCACGCGATCCCTCCCACACCCTGCTTTTACAATAGGACCCTTCCGAAGACGAATCAGAAGTGCCTGGCTTTGACTTATACGAAAGATTAGCGCTAAACAAACCGACAGCGTGGCTCGGCCGTCCGTCACAGGAACGTGGTGGTTTTGACGGGGACGGGTACCTGGCGATCAAAACTACCCGGACCTAGAGCAAGGGTGGCAGTACGAGTGCTTCCAAATCTGGCTGGATCATCAGAAACTACCCCATGACTGGCAGTACAATGCCCTCGACGCTATTTGTTGCAACAATAACGAGCCCGACCGGCTCTTGAGGAAGGGGAGCAGTACGAAAGCCTCAAATCAGGAGGAAGATGACAGAGCTGCGCCTGGGCCTTTCCAAGTGACGGTGCGAAACTGACCGCGGCACGGCTGTAGGTTGACAAAGCCTATGGCAGGCCGCGTGGTAGCTTTGACGTCAGCAGTTCTAATGAAACACAAGATTCACGTGGATCATCAGAAATGGTAGCTATACGAGCGCTCCCATTGCGTGCCCATGAAAGAGAAGGCGAAGCTCTAAAGTCAAACTAGTCAGTAAAACACTGAGTTACCACGCTCTCAGGGAGCCTTAGTAGTGTGGAAGTTCTGGAATCAGATGGTGGCAGTGAGACATAGCCTCGAAAACATTGTTCTAGCCGCCAAGGGACTGTGGAAGCAAGCAACGGCATTGCTTTGGTAAGTCGAGAGACCCGGTCTATGATGCAACGAGTGTCATTTCTTAATCACCTCATCAGCCACCAGTGACAGATATTGTGCAGCATCTGATAGCGACTTTGCGATTGAAACACAATCCACTGGCTCTCACGGAGCGAAAATAACAGGGGTACCCTCGAGGTGGAACATGTTGGGATCATGCACTGAGCCGATGCAGTGCTGGTAGCCGCCGACAGATAGCAGAGTAAGCACGTGCCCTGCTTTCGCAAGTAAAGAGCCTGCTTGAGAATGAATGAGTCTAGTCGGACTTGCTTTAGCAAGCCGAGATGTCCGATTGAAAGTGTGTAGGTCCATCCACCTCGTCTCAATCTCGTCGCAGGAGATGATCCGTGCCGCTAATCTTCGACGCTTTCAGATGTCTGATTGACCATGTATCGAGCTCTGACGGCTCCTTTGTGGCAAGCGCAGGCATCTAATTGACCAATTTCTCCAATCTTATCTCCATTGTCCTAACTAGGTCAAAAGGAGGGCGCCTGGCGCTGATCTTTGTCAATTCGAGATATCTGCTTGACATTCCACTGTGTCTCACCTGTTTTACTTTGGCAAGCCGATATCCAGGATGGACAACACCCTCACTGCTCAGCCTCGTCTCGGTTTCGTCGCAGGCTTCGTCTCCTGGCGCCAGGGCAACTCGAGGTATATCAGTCCTGCCTGCCCATCATGAAATGTATCAGATTGACAACAAATCTTCTGAGCATACAGGATTCCCCCTAGACAGACATACATCCTACACCTTGGAACAAACACGAGTTCTTCTCTCAAACACAGACAAGAAACCCAACCCCCTCGGCAGCCAACCACCACAATGTGCAGACAATTTTACCGCCACTGCCGCGATTGCCACGAATTGTTTCCAATGTCGGAGCCCGAAATGAGAGAACCATGTGAAGCATTTCAAAAAGCGCGAACCATCAAACGTCATTTGAAGTCATGTCCAGGGGATGAGATCCCAGTCATCAGACCCCTGTCCGGCCATGGTGTGAAAGTCTGCGGAACATGCAGCAAGAAGAATCGGAATGAACAACGGAAGCGAGAGAACGCCCAAAAGAGAGCGAGGCGTGCAAAGCTGAAGAGAAACAAGATGACAGCAGGGATAGGGGCAGGCAATGTGGTATGGACTCCGCCGAACACCTGGCCATCCATCGTCGTGGATTCGCAGACTTTGGCCCTGCACTCTCCGCAACCCAAACCTCTCAACGACTTCAACGTGAGGTCAATGACGCAGGCGCTCCAACATGGGCTCAACGGTAGCATCAGCACAGCAATGATGGCGCACAATCATGTCAGCGTCTCCCAGCACGAGCGCGGAGTCTACTCCCAGTCTCATCAGGTGTTTGCGGCAACTATGTCCAACGCTCTGCAGCTACAAGAGGATGGTCATGACAGGATCGCAACTGAGATGCGAGACGACGTTACCTTGCACCACCAGTACAAATTTGAATCGCCAGACCTTCCAACAACAATGCTAGATGTCCCGGTGTATCAGGAGCAGCAGTGCCAGCATGTTGGTCCCGGCATTACCATGGCCGATGATGCCAAATGGAAGCAGAGCCGTACCGAGACCTGTACCTTCAGTGAATGGAGCTTTCGAATGGAACTCAACGAATGGAGTACCGTGTTTGACGACAATGATGATCCTGATGGTGCCAAGGAGCTTTGAGCAAGATTTAAGAACATCTGGATATGCAGGCGTATCTAGCCAGGAGCCCATTCGGCGCCTCGTGGTCTCAACGCATTTGCTATGGAGATGGAGTATTGATTTCTTTAGTGCACAGGGAAGAGATTATTTGTTCGAACTGGCCCATCTACCCAGCTTGCATTCACATCCACTTGGCTTTTAGAAATCACGCATCGGCGAGCAGGCTCTTCGACGACGATGATGCATGCATACTGTCGACTGCGTCGAGCAACTCGCATTTTCCTTTTGTTTTTATTAGCACACACTCGTTGTGGTCACATTGTCCTTCGCCTATCGTCTGTGTTATGGCGTTATTGGCTTATCGACAATCTCAGATAGATGGTCATGCATTCTATCGTCATTGCTATGTTGGTCAGACACTCAAAGAATCTAAGTGTGCTCCAGAGCCTCGACTAGATTCATGCAAGTAGTTCTGTTGCAAGCTCAAACCAGCCCAGTCGAAGATGAACGTAGTATCCATGCCATTCATCCCAGTCCTGTTGGCATGGAAGTAGTACCCATGCCAAGTCGTAAACGGTTTGATGCAGGCTCTCCAGCACAGACATGCAATTTACCTTGCTCCGCCCAAGAGAATCTGGTCTCGGCTTCACTCGGCTTCGGCCATTGAGCGGCGGGGTTTTGTTTTGATTTTCGCAGGCAGAGAGCTAGGGCCGTGATCTAATTTCCCGCTTCGAACATGCAGGGCCATCCGTCTCACTCTTCTTTCATTTCCACCCACTTTTCCCAAATACTTCATCAACGACCTAACTCTCCGACCATGCTGCACGACTGACGATCTGATCTAGACTCGGAAATTTGATACGCAGGTACATGTGACTCCACTGCATACGGGAGACACGGGGAAGCAACGCACTCCGGACTTTATTCGCGTGGCCCAATGATGTGGGAACGCTTCTACCAGCTTTGACGAATCCTCTGGGATCAGCATATCCTTCATACCCATACAATTGTGCAAACAGACGTGCTCTAGACCCGGGAAGGACAACTACACAGACATGACAATCCACGAGGAGCTTCAGTTCACTCCTAGTCCACTCTGACAGATGGCAGACAGCGGGACAAGCATCGAGACCTCTAGAACCCCGGGCTAACGGCGAGTGATGGCATGATGCAGGTAAGCCGTTTAGGCACAAGGCCCGCCCTCGGCCCCCCAGAAACTTTACACTCGCTCGGTCATGGTCGGGTTTGACCACTCGTTCAACCTCGACTAGCAAGATTCCTCCGTGCAGACAATGACATGGGATTCTCCGGCCTAGGCCGCGATTAGTGCAGCCGCTCAGGAGAATAAAGTCAATTCCGACCAGCCATGCAGACCATGCGAAAGTCCAACGTTGCATCGATATGCAGGCGACGAAACGTCTAGACGGTCCACTCCGTCGGGCTCCATGGGACGGATCAAATTCGATATGCAGGATCTTTTCGCCGAGGATTTCGAGGCAATTGAGTTTGATTTGGAAATAATTGCAGGGTTGGAGGGTATGCAAAGGTACACGGGCCGGACGCGATATGCCCCATGTTTACCTACCTACCTACCACAGCTGCTCGTTCGTTTGCACGTGCGCTTTTCATGCATGGCACCACGTTATCCACCGGTGGAAATGCAACATAAAAAGCCACCAGCAACCCCTCCCGCTGTGATTCTAAATCAGCGTCTGTTCCCGAGAATCAGGGGGGCTATACACTTGCCTAAAGAGAGCATCATTAAACGTTGCAGGAAAGTATTCGAGGCTTTTATTCTCAGGCGCTGGATTCTCACCCTACGCTCTTTATCGGCTGGCCTTCACAGACCTCATCGCTTTCACAATAGCAAAACAATTTTCACCCATCCCTACCCTTTCCTCTCACGATGTGTATCCAGTGGTGTTGCAAAAACTGCAGCGACAAAGTCACAATACTCCCCCACATGTGGGCGCGTGAACGTTGCAACGACTTTTTCATAGAGCGCTCAAAGAACCGAAACCTAACGGACTGCCCCAACGGACCATTGGAGCTGCGACGCGCATTCCATAGACACCCTTACAGAGGTGCTCAGAAGTGCGACGCTTGCAAGAAGGCCAGCCGGAAAGACTCCAAGCTCGTTCAGTCGGCCCGGCAGAAGGCCAATGTGGCGCTTGGTGAACGACCAGAATATGTAGGAGCGCTGTTCCTGGGAGAGCTGGAGATCCCGGACGAGTTCCACGAGGCGAACCAACTTCGACGCGGCGAAGTGGATGCGATGAGGTCGAGCTGGGAAAGCTTCAGTTTGGCCAACGGGCATCTGCCATCGCACGAGTTGGAACGGGAATGGGCGACCCGATTCTCTGCATTCAACGTTGGTCTGAACGCCGGAGTACGGACCCAGTCATCGAAGCTTGCTCCCACCTTCGGACAGCGGATGAGTGGAGAAGATGATAATCGAGGCATGACGGCTGCTGCGGACGAAACCTCTCGAAGCCTGCGTCAGGAAACCAGTACAACCGTCGATGAAGCAGCCTCTCAAGACACGCACAACCAAGACTTTTACAAAATCAGCTCATGGACCAACAACAGCACCTACACCACTGCTGAGGAAAGCGGAGCTCCTCAAGAGCCCCACCGCGAAGTCCATGACAACTCCAATGACTCCAATTCAGCCACGGGCTCCTCGTCATCTCAATCGACACGAGCAAGACCATGGGATCTATGACGCCGGCGAGGTCAGTGCCAGCCTTTCAACCCCTCAAAGCGCCCGAACAATGACACTTTTGAAGGAAGACACCAACAACAACGATAGAACATGGAAAAAAGCGAACCGCAATGACCTCGATTTGCTGAAGTCTCTGCTCTTCGTGCCTCGCAGATATCTCGACCGGAATTGAAAGGTATAAGAAATGCCAAAGACATACATACAGCGAGGACACTTTTTCACGCATGCATGCTCTATGACCCGATCCCCCTCACCATCACCATCGCCATCGCCATCGGCACAAAATGGCCCCCAGCGGCTCGCCACCTTTCCATACATCCAACCTCCAATATCACGCACAGCGCATAAAGACGGAACGTATCCTATGAGGACCCTCGAGCATTCACGATCAACAAGAAAATCCCTCCCAACCAAATGCTGCACACCACACAGTCCAAACCCTCACCAACAGCACCACCGCTTCGACCCTCGTCCCATCATCCAACATCGGAAGTATTCCACGTTCCATCACAGTCAGCCTCTGATATGGTACCGTCGTCCATCGTTTGCCTCGCACCATACGAGTCACACACGCACAGTCTTCGACCTCGATGTGCATGGCACGGGATTTGCCATTCCGCTACGCTCTCCTCATGCGCAACTTCAAGCGTTGTGTTTGCACCATCCGAGCGAGCCACACGACCATGGTCTCCGAAATGGAATCTATGACCGCCAAACGCTGCAAGCTACCACGATGCCCACGACATGGGCCTGGCAAGCAAATCGTATCCACGCGGTATCGGACCAAGCTTCGTCATCACTACCGCACCAGTTCAGCGTTCAACGGAAACACTATCCGCATAAACCCCCCATTGCAGTGTTTCGCAAAGACAGCCGGTGCAGGCGAGTATACATCATCCGAGCTCGCCAGCGATGCAAGCGAGGCATGAGGATCGACATTTGTCTTATCAACCGTGAGTCCTACCTATCATTCTTATACTCCAGTCCCTGCGCCGTGACACGCGACTCTAATATCCCGGTACCTGTGCTCCACCCTGAATCAACATCCTACCAACAAACAAAGTCGCAAGAGCTCCCTGCGCTAACATCTTTTGACGAATGTAGTTCATACCCTCAGATACCGCTTTCCCAAATCCAACCAACCTCCCGCTGCGCGCCGACAGGACAATGCCATCTGCCCTGCTTCTCTGTCTCGGGAATTTGGAAGTGCGTACGCGCTCGAGAGTGAGGACGGTCTCGCCTACTCCCTTTCGACATGCGCCCTCACACCCTGCATCCGAGCGGACTGCTACATAGGGTGGCGCAGAACCCGTCATTTGGAGAGTCTGAAGACGATACAAGTGGCTTCGATCGCGGTGGGGGGATCCTCTCTCCTTATTTCGGGTCTTCGGCAGAGACGGCCGGCGCGAGTATGTAATCCTAGAACCACCACTACCACACTACCCTACAACATTTCCAATTTTATTTCGGAAATATCTCAATCGCGACAGGCGAGACCATTGGGGATTTAATCCGTAGACGGTGAGGTCAGTGCCCACGTAATCAACACACCCATTCCGCAGTGCGCACATACTGACACCGTCCAAGATGAAGCGTACTGGACATATGGCTAGGAAGGGGTCGGATGACCTGGCGTTCGGAATGGGCGAATTTCCGAAAGGACTTGGTACGAGGTGGAGGGCAGAATATTAAGATACTGAGAGGGAGATTATGAAGCAAGGCAATGGACGGCGGTGTTTGGAATCGGTACCGGAAGGATGGATGATGGTGATTTGACCGCAGTGGATATACATTGAAATTGCTAGCTTTTGTGGGGAGGAGTATTGAGCGTATAATACACGGTGTATATTCCCGAGCGAGGCAAGAAAAAAGCAGTGGTGGCCCTTTTGGTACTCAGGTGAAGCTGAAGCTTCGCCAGTACGGGTTCTCAACCGGCCCATTGACGTTCTTTGACTGTTTGAGACTATTTGCATCAGAGGTCAGTCACCCTGTCGCGTCCATCGACGGCTGGGTGTAGTACGACGGCCTGCTCCTGCATCTTCTACTCGGTATCTTGGACGTCTGTCTCCTTCCCTTCCGGCGCCTTTGCGTCCCTCTCGTCGACGATTGCGCAGTCATGAGCAACATGCGGAACATCCTTATGACTCCGAGGGTCAGTCACGGCTTGCTCTTCGGCCTCTTCTTGCTTCCTCATCTCCTCCTCCCAATCGTCTACGACGACTTCGCTCTCCTTTGCTTTCTTCATCTCCTCTTTCTTTTTCTTTGCGTCTCGCAGCTTGCTTCCCAGGACTGTGTATACACTCTTCTCTCCGACGACGGTTTGCCTAGGCGCCGTCCTAGGTGCCGCGGCTTTGGCTGCCACCTGGCTCCATCCGCCGTTGTTGGCGGGATCATCCATTTCTCGTCGTGTGATGTTGAGTGAGTTGTCCAGTGAGCAAAGTTGGATCGAAGTTGCAAGATGCTTAGAGGAGATGGAAGCCGAGAGCGATGCTTTCAACGCTTTGATGGCGGCCTCAATTGCGGAGGATGAAATGACTGTCGAAGACGAGGCCGGTCGAGCCTTGATGACAATCTCTTCGCTTGGTAGAAATGAAATGTCGTATGATAGGCCGGGCGTTGAGTCCAAGCTTGCAGCACAGTCTGCGCGCAATTCTTCTAGCGTAAGACCAAACCGCGGATTACTTAACAAAAACCCGTTGTAAGTTTCGTTGTTAGCTTGCAACTTCCTTTGAGTCTCTGCTACGGGATTGCTAGAAGCCTCTGCGGAGCTACGAATGCGGACGGACTCAGCGAGAGTCTTCATAGGTGCCATGACGAATCGTGGTGTCTTGAACACAGCAACGTGGCGGTGTGGTTCGGGATCCATACTTTCGCTGTCAAAACCAAAATCGACGGAAAGAGAGTGTAGGAAAGCTCGCTGATGGGGTGGCATTGGCTTGAAGCGTAGCCGTTTTTCAGCCTCATCTGCAGCAAATACTCTAATTTCCCTCTCCTGCGTCTGGCCCCATTTGACATTCTCTCGGAACATCTTCAAAGTGTCATTGGAGTACGGGATGTGGTCGTCCTTATGGGCCTCTGGGTCGATGTTGAGCGCTAGGGCCAGCTTATGATTTCTGGCAAGCCTTGCGCACTCATCGTCACATTCCAGACTCTTCCCGGTGTTTCCTTCGCTCGTCTTGGAAGCATTACACTTCACCTCTTGCTTCAAATGTTGACATTCGCATGTAATGAACATCCTGTTCTGGCAAGGCTTGTCTTCGCGGCAGGATGAAGGGGCATGGCACTGCTCTTCACAAGGGTGGCCACATGCCTTCTTTGCTTTACCGCAAGCTTGCTGACACGTTTTTACAACATCTTCACACTCCCCAGGTCGATGGCACTGTTTTCGGCAAAAGTGGGAACCACATTTCAGTTTCCTTCCGCAGACCTCCCCACATCGGACCTCCGAAAGCCAGCAAGGCTGGTTCTTCAGCGTCTTCTTTCCACATAAGCAAGGTTTCTGTGCGAGAAAAGGACATTTGGGGCAAGTTTCGTCGTCGCCATGGCAGCTGTGTGGTACCCTTGGATGACCACAGTCCCTCGGACGCTCACAGTCAAATCGGCAGGGAGGTGGGGAAGTTCCACAAGGCAACGGAGGTTGAAGTACAGTCTTGCCACAGTGACAGCTAATTTCATCGAAGATAGCTTCTCGACAACTCCCACATGGTCCCTTATGACAGAGCTCTGGACAGGTGTGATTTCCGCACTTCAGCATCCGCCCACAAGAGCGAGTGCAGATATGCTCGGCTTCGATACCCTCATCAACAATGCGCGAAGCTCCTAGAGGTCGAAGTTTGCGTTTCGTAGCCTGGCGTTCTGCTGCCTTCTTTTCGCCAGAACAGCATCTCTCGCCACACTCATGACGACCACAGTTCATGGTGGCTCTGCAAGCTCTCATGCATTGCGGTCGCTCTTCGCTTCCTTGATGGCATACAGTGGAGGATTGGGTGCGGCCGCAGCGACACAAGATCTTCACTGTCATGAGACAGGGCATACAATCATCTGCATGGCAAGTCTGCAGACACGAGTGACCACAAGGAAGCTTCTTCAAACATGTCTTGTCGCAGTTCGGGATTGGATCCTCGCATGTCTCTCTGGAGGCGCAAGACACGTCGTTCAGCAAGGTCTTTCCACAGGGGCAGTGAGATACGACATCTGGGGACCGAGGACAATGTGGCGTTGTGAGCTCCTGCGGATGGCATCTCTTTTGGCAGGTGTGTTTGCCGCAATCGTATTCTCTCTGACACCCATTCCCACAATTGAACGTCCCAGTCCACTCCTCGACGTTCGTAGAATCATCTCTAGCCTCCAGTATTCGCTTACTTTTTCTTTCATCACCGCGTTCGCAACAGACAATCGTTCGCTTGTCCTTACCACAATAGCAACGGCAGTCCATAGGAACCTCACAAGCGCCGCACAAACCCTCATGACATGGTTTCCGGCATGTATGCTCACCACATGGTAAGAGATCCCCACATACCTCCCCACAACTCCAGCCTGTGTCGTAATTCGTGTCCACGCATCTCCTCGAGGTTGACCTTTTGCCGCAAAAGCAACTTTGCGGAGGACCTATGTGTGAACAAGGAGGACATGGACCGGCATGACACAGTAGCTCGCAGGGATGAGGGCATTTCTTCGGTAGAATTCTGTGATTGCCACAAGTTTGTCCACACGAGTGAGGCGGTATCCCAGGAATGGGTTGAGGGTCCGCTTCCTTCGTGCACCAACATGTGTAACTAGAGGGCAGAACATCCTTAGGCAAGTTGCATCCAGGGCATCTCCATTGTCTTGGAGGAGGAAGGTCTCCATTCTCGTTACGCCGCTGAGCTTGGGTTGAGCCTTCGTTGGTCGACCATTTCTTGATACAACTCAGATGAAATACAGTCCAGCATGTCTTGCAAGACCAGACCTTGGAATTGCGAGCTACCTCATTCGTACATATAGGGCATTCGTAGATCCCGTTTGCGATATCTTCGTGTGTGCGTGTAGCAATATCGGGAGCCGTGGACTTGGGGATTGACTGCCTCCTTGCACGCGGTGCTTTTGTTTGAGGCTGGCGTTGGTTGGGTTGGGCTGTCTTTCCACCTCTAGTATTAATGAGCCGTTGTTGATGTCGTTGACCTGGGTGAAACTCTGGTGCATCTGCTTGCAAGGTAGATACATTCTGCGTTGATGTGAGCTCCTCCTGGGTCAATGCTCCGCGAACATGTCTACCAGACCCGAGGACTGTTCCCTGGTTGTGTCCATCGCGCAGCCCATCATGACCGTAGCCCTGCCCATTCGCATTCGTTCCAGAAGCATCTGCAGGCGCTCCGCCTCCACGGACTTCTCCTCCTCTGCCTGTTCCTCTCCCTCTGCCTCGACCCCTTGGCCCCCGCCCTCTTGCATTGCCTGAATGACCATTTTCATTTGTCGAAGCTTCAGCACTTGAAGGCTCGGTAGAAGATGGTATCGAAGGTGGTGCTACAGAAGCTGGTCTTAGTGCCAATGATTGGTTGATTAGTCGAGAAGAAGAGCCGTTTGTCTCTGGGATTTGAGTGATCCTGCCCAGATTCTGTCCACCTCTGTGAGCCGACGGATTGTTGCCACCCCACCTTGGCCTCCTGCGTTGCGGTGTTGGGTTGGGCAAATGTGTGATAGGTGCTGAATCAACTGAAGCCATGACTGGAGTACAGATTGGCAGGTGGCTATGCTGTAGGTGATGAATGGCGGGCAGCAAGCACCAATATCGGGTCAAGTGTGCTGCTGGCCAACAGAGATGTTCCAAAGGAGATGTTTACTATAGTTATTTTGAGGCTTCATGAATTCAGTCTTACTGACGAGAACACAAGAAAGGGAGTCCCGGTGCGGGAGATATCGTCGTGGGAGGAACTGGAGTGGCACAGGCCCCGTTTTTCATCGCTTTCCGCTAAATTGGATGACGCATCAAACTCCTAATCTTCTACTTACTTTACTCTATGAGTCACATGCTGCAACTGCATTTGTTCTTTCCTCTACTACTTATTATTCAGCCAGTGGCTGAGTCCATCACTTTGCCTGAGGCTTCATCCGTTGAGCGGAGGGGTCCAGATTCATTACACATTATATGACTACAATCAATTCATCGAGTATTCGCCTCGTTCTGTCTGCGTACAAGTTGCGCTACCGCGCTGTCGACTCATTATGTTCACTGCTTTAAGTCTCCTCCTGAACCAGTGCCTGATCACAAGGACAAGAGAAATAAAGACAGGACTAGGGTATCAAAATAAATCAGTGTCCCCCAATGCCTTCTCCTTGATGAAGTCAAAGATGAACTGGAAATAATCTGGCTCGGCCACTGTATTGTTGTGAGAGCCATTGGGTATGGTGCGCCAAGTTATGCTTTTTGCTCGGCACACGGATAGGAGCTTTTTCATATGAGATGGCCTAGACGATAAGCGACTCGATCAGCTCCAGTCTATTGAATGAGCTGTCCGTTTGTGGAGGCTGCTTACGGAATGATCTCGTCCTTCAAACCACTAATAAACAGGATGGGGACTTCGGTAATCTGAGGGAGAATATCTTCGCTTGGCCAATACTGATGGCATAGCCAAGCAATGTATTTCGCGGGTGGAAAAGCACTACATACAGTCAGCAATGGTGGCAAGGAGACAGCGTGGAGTGACAACCTGGGGATTAATTTTCTTATCGAAGTGAAAGTGTTCTCCAAAATTAAACCAATCACATCATGGGCCTCTTGATTCTTTGCCACAAGTTGAATCGCAACAGCTCCACCCAGGCTTTGGCCATAGACCACGATCTTGGTACCCTTAATGTCCTTTCTGTTGCGGATATAATCAAGAGCCGTTTGTGCATCGATCATCAGACCTTCTTCATTAGGAGTTCCAGTTGACATGCCATAGCCTCTGTATTCAAGCATGAGAACGTTGCAACCGACATTCTCCTCCAAGATCTTGGCGATGGGAACCCGATGTCCAATGTTGCCAGCATTCCCATGGAACATGAGAATTGTGACATTTTGCGCAAGTCCTTTGTTGGAGGGTCGAATAAAGAAAGCCCCAAGAGTCTCTCCATCCGGCGTAGAAAGCCGCAGGTCTTCGTACTCAGAAATCCCAAACTGTGTCGGACGTGGGACACCTTCATCAGTATTCGCACCTGATGGCAGATACCGTGGATATATAAGCTCGTTTTGCTTGTAGTATAACAGTCCGCTTGCTAAAAAGGCGATGCCAGATGATGCCATTGCCGGCAAACGCAAATATGACAGGTAAGAAGCCATTTGAAGGCTGAGAAGAATAGTGCACGGACTTCAGCCACTGAGAAACTGATCGAATTAAAATCGATGTTTGCTTTACAACGGTTTAGCGACTTCCCAACGAAGAACAACAGGAGTATTTCGTTCAGAGAAGTAATAATGCAGCTTAGTTGTTGGTGCGGGCCTAGTCAAACATGGCATTACTTTTCCAACTAACGCCAGATCTAGTTCCTGATCACAAGAAGATGAGGAACGAGAAACGAGAAAGGCAAGTCGGTCAGTACATATCACTACCCAAGAAAGTCGAGAACAAAGCCAAGGAGTCCAGTTGCCGCTGAGGAGCACGCGCGCTAGCCGCCAAGCGCCACCCGAAGCTTCAACGCGTCCAAGCTGCCTGGTAGAGGTTGATTTCCGTTTCTCAAAGTGCCACACTTCAAAATAGCTGACTGATTCCATTTTACTCATAGTCTATTATAATACTTGACCAAGCCCCGTACTCGAGAGACTGTTCTTCACCATGGTGATGCCAACGGGGACGCTGAGCGAAGGTGCTATCTCCGAGCTTACTTTAAGACCTGCAGAATGAAGCTGACAGCTCTAATTAGACGGCATACATATCGACATGAATCATCTAAAGACAGGAGAAGTAAAGTCAGCACTCCGACCCCTAACCTCCCCACCGCGCATCACTAACCCCTCCTCTCCAGCCTCGGAACATCAATGTACTTCCCCATCTCCCCCCTCCCCCTCCCCTCTCCACCCTCCTCTAATCCCCCCCGTTCCAACCAGCATGGCCATCACCTTCTCCCAAGGCGTCATCCTCGGCGCCGACTCCCGCACCACCACCGGCGCCTACATCGCCAACCGCGTCACCGACAAACTGACCCAAGTGCACGACACGATCTGGTGCTGCCGGTCCGGCTCGGCCGCCGACACGCAAGCCGTGGCCGACATCGTCGACTACCACCTGGGCATGTACGGGACCGCGAACGAGGAGCAGCCGACGACGCAGACGGCGGCGGCGTTGTTTCAGGAGCTGTGCTACGATAACAAGGACCAGCTGAGGTGGGTGATGCTTGGAAATGGAGGTGCGATGGAACGAGAGAGAGCTAATTCTGGGGACTGGAATGCAGTGCGGGGATGATCATTGCAGGCTACGATCCGAGACATGGAGGGTCGGTTTACAGTATCCCTTTGGGAGGCAGCTTGCACAAGCAATCGTACGCTATCGGTGGTTCGGGAAGTACATACATTTACGGATACTGTGACTCGTATTGGAAAGAGGGCATGAGCGAGGCAGAAGGGGTGGACTTCGTGAAGGGGGCGTTGAGGGAAGCGATAAAGTGGGATGGATCCTCAGGAGGCGTAATAAGGCTGGTGGTGCTGACGAATGAGGGGGCGGTGAGGCATCTGTATCTACCAGATCAGGGTTACAAGGGGCCAGGCACGAAATGACGTGGACGAAAGCATAGGAGCTTTAGACATTCATCTCAATGATTGATTTGTGCAAACCTCCTCTTCGACATTTCCTAATGTCCTGGAGAGATATGCTCCAGGCGATATGTTTTCGCTTTCCTTCTCAGTCCTCTCCTAACTGTCTGGTCTCACGGAATTTCGTCTATGTATTGCTCGGATATCTAGCTTCCCTACCCCACCCATTTTGAGCGATTCACCCAGTCGGTCTCGCGAAGTCGAGGACCCTAGGACGTTCCGCCCGGCCTCTCTGTTGCACAAGAAATCCGTCAGACTTTGGCAATATGCTGCATGACGAGAACTGAATGCCTCATCGTTAGGGTCCCCTGCTCCGATGACGTCCTCAATGTCGTCACTCCAAAGCCATCTCAGCTTAACCCAATCCAAAAATAAGATAGGAGCGATCTGCTTCAACGTCTCCTCCCATGAAGTAGATCCAACTGATCTGTTGTCGAGACGCGCGGAACTCATGCTGATTTCCTTCAACGTTGTGCTGTGACGTCTGATGAAATCACTCATAATTTCCTCGGCAGTATGCAAGACCAAAGGCGAAATATAGCCAGATTAGGTAGATTCAGTGTCGCGAATACCTGTCCCGTGCGGGGAAGCGTTCCCCAGTTTGCATCACCAAAACCTGCCCCATCATCAAGCTCCTCATAACACAGAAATGTGAGGTCTAGCAGTCGAAGTCCTGGAGCTGCTCCAATAAAATTGTTGGCTGAAGGAGGCATCAGACCCTGTAGAGAGACTTCAAGGTCGTAAAACCCAACCACAAATTGGACGTCTAAGCTCTCTAGATACCGGAAAGCGGCATGAATATGTGACCGCACACCATGCTCAAATCCTGAAGGACCTTCTTGCTTCCAGAAACTCCGAGGGATCCGACGTAATTCTTTGGTCCGTAGCTGCCTTCGAGCGAGTCCCAGACCGGAGATTAATGGGGCTAGCGGTCGTGCGGTTCCGGGCTGTGTTGATAGGGAAAGGTCAATGAAAGGCGTTGGCAGGAGTGTCTCGGTCTGCAGATCCGACAGTATTGGGACCCAATCCTTCTCATGGCCTGCAATTGAATCGTAAGGCGTGGCTACAGCTCCATTTCGAAATGCTTTCTCAATCGACTCTATTGTTCGCAAGTTTTGCAACATGGGAAGAGCTGCTGACAGTACTATGAGGTCCATCCGGCCATGGAAAAGTGCCCTTTGCGAGGCAAGAAGGCGGCAAAAGTTGGTGTGAGAACGATCCAGGTCCGCCTGCGAGCACTGCCATCGTGCTTCTTCAGGGTTCTTTGCCCGTGTGTCTCCGGTAGTTGCGAGCTCGCGCGTGTCGATAGTCGCTTCCCAGGTCTCGTACTCCGCAAAAATTTCATCGAGGATGTCGCGGTCAAAGTAAAGTGTACGGACATGGAACCGTAGCGTAGGGTGAAATGCTACCTCTGTAGACTTGTCAAAATATCTCGGAATGAATTTGAGGCAAAGTCCTTTCGAACAAGTATTGGGCTGCAACTTGGGCGAAGATAGTGTTGACAAGGCGAATCTTCTTCAGTGACCTGATATCAGAAAGACTGCAGACTTGAGCCATGAGTTCGGGGGGTAAACACTCCATAGTATGGATGTGACTGTGGACTAGCTCCGCCTCGAGACCTGAGACCGAGATCGTGACTCTTCGATGTTAAGGAAAGGGAAGGAAAGGTGTCAGACCTTGTAATTAGAATGTCAATGTCGGAACAGTCTTGTGGGTATCTCAGAGTTGAAAAAGATGAGCTTAGCTTTCGAGACGGAGATTGCCCAGCTGACAAGGTGTCCGCATTTTTCAAGGGTGGAATGATCACTTCACCAGAAAGCAGGCGAAAAGAAGTCCTCACTACTGTGCGTACGTTCCTTGGGTCGATAGGCTTGATTACATGATATTATCAGTCGATGCTTCAACCAAAACTCTGGCGTTCATCGTCACCATCTTTACTGAACGAGCTTACAGCTGAGAGCCAATCATCTCATGACAAATTATCCATCTTATCATTGATCTATGATGGCAAGCGGCTCTGGCTCGAGCGTTTTAATAGATATCTACCTACCTTAGTTGACTCTTCATATCCTAGCGTCGTCAGGAGGAGTAGAAAATGACCGCTCGAGCTCTTGTATGCTTTTGGCAGCAGAACGCACGGACAGAGGCTTGAAGTGCTTTATGCATACCTCACCCAAAGTACAATTCATTGGTGGTGGTGCGCTGTTCGGTGACGGTGAAAGCGGCGACTGTAAAGGCGAGGTTGTACGGTCGTTCCCATGCCAGCGTTGCCAAACGGGAACCCTGAAATTGGTGAAGTCGACTTTTAATTTCGGCCTGCTTGCTATTAATATAACGGCTTAAGAAGTAATTAGACCGCTTTATACACCTTCACTTTCTCCATACCAGGTAAATTCAACGCTTTGTATCAACTGATTGCCTACATATCTATATTCTCGAGCAACGGGCGCTCCAGGCATGCTCCTACAGGTGAGAGTGAGACGGCAGCTTTCTTCCGAGTCTTGATCCTCCAGTCCAGACATGAGCTCGCTCCGCAAGGAGCTCCAAAAGAGGAAGTAGTGTTGCGCGATCTCCTTCTCAGCCTCAAGCTTAGGAGAGTGATGCAAATGTTGCTTCGACAATATGATCGTTCCAACTTCTGCCCATCCTTAGCACTTTGTGTGTTGTTCTCGTCTTTTGGTCTTCGTCACCCCTACACCTCGTAATACGGAGTACATGCCAGCCTTTCGCAGAACCCAAGCTGACCTTGAACATGGCACCATCAGCGAACTCATATCCGACTTTGTGCCCTTGCCCTCGGTGATGGCATCTGGAGACGTGCATCAGATGTCTTCAGCGATATCTAACCCCTTCCGAACCCCGTCACAAGTCTCGCATCTACAAAATGACCCTACCGCCACGCCCTCTCCCACCTCGAATAGCAGATCGTCTCATACCCTCCAACCTACTTCACCAGCGAACGTCCGATCAATACCACACATTGACGGGCCTCATATACATTGGCGAGGTGCCCCACCCCAAGAGCAACAACATATCAACGACGGCAATCACCTCATGCCGCAAGAGTCTCAGTCCGAGGCAATACCTCCACCGTCACCACGCCTTGAGCCTACACACCGCTCAACGTTGTCTCTAAATGGGTCAACGGTCAATTCGCCGAGCCGCATCAAGGTTCGAGATCTCGGCCACATACAAAGCTTCGCCAGTGAGGAAGTCCTTACCCGGTCACGCCACCCATCCAGGCATTCTCTACGAGGGAGGATGGATGGCGGGCAGCAGTACGAGATCAGTGGAATGCCGGTCACAGATGTCATTGAGATGGTAGCCGGACTCTTGACGAAGATCATCACTACAAATGATCGCCAACATGAGAATCTACATCGGAATATACCGCCTCCAGAAGGTACGACGGCGCTCAGTCCGCAAGCTACAAGTGTGCTCGCTTTCCATGGAAAAAATGTACCCAGCATCACCATCGCAAGCTATCTCAGCCGCATCCACAAGTATTGTCCGACTACATACGAAGTCTTTTTGAGTCTGCTGATATATTTCGATCGCATGACGGAAATGGTCAACAGTGGAGCACTGCCTAGATTGCCAGGCGATGGGCAGCATGGCAGGGGCCATTCGAGAGTACCGAGTGGCGTCAGCTCTAACGGCTCGAGCGAGACGGCGGTCAACTCTTCGCCAGGCGGAGCGGGAATCGACTCTTCGCCCAGAGCACCAACCATAGTTTCTCCTCCTGGTTCCGATAGTTCAGACTCTCAGGACTCAACCATGAGGCCTTCGCCCTCGATGCCCTCCGCGATACCTGATTCCGACGCCTACGACCTTTCGCACTATTTTGTGGTGGATAGCTTCAACATACATAGACTCGTCATTGCAGGAGTCACTTGCGCAAGCAAATTCTTCTCCGACGTCTTCTACACGAATTCCAGATATGCCAAGGTGAATTCGCTAATACCTTGTTCCAAAATCCCACTAATGTGTTGCAGGTCGGCGGCCTACCATTAAACGAGCTAAACCACCTGGAATTACAGTTTCTTCTCTTGAATGATTTTCGTCTTTCTGTACCCATAGTCGAACTAGAGGCGTATGGAACCATGCTGGTTGAGTTCTATGCGCGCGAAGTCATTTCTCAACAGCAGCAGGCCAACCATATGGAGGGACTGTACATGCAGACACAAACCCCTACGCCACCACCGTAAAGGATCTTCGACAGAGCGCAATTTTGGGGTTCTAATCTGCGGACATCGCCAACCTGCAGCGAACGCCCCAAGGAGCACGTCTCAACAATCGGCGCCTTTCTTTTCAACAGTATACTTAGATCTCGCATAACGCTACCAGGCGGATACCCATTTCCGTTACCTTTTTTTTGATGAGCCATGACGACTTCCTTTTGGGGTACCTTGATGACCAGAATGAAATGGTGGTATGTTGCATCTTTAGAGGCGTTCAGGCGGTTCATGTCGTGGGAGATGAGATCACGTGTAGTGAGTGAATGACCTACGGATCATTTTCTTGCGATACCTCCTGGTGGCAGATACATCTGTGATTTAATACATCGTTCCCTAAGGATCATCCTCTCCGACGTAGCAAGGGTGCATGCAAGCTCTACAAGGCACTGGCAGACTTGATAACTCAACTGCTGACTGCCAAAGATCCGGGGTAGCTGCCTCCTGGACGGCAGATCACCACACCTGATACAATGCCAAATACAGCTTCTGCGACCATTGTCAAATCCTCTCAAGCAACCCTAAGCAATCTCCTCAACCTCATCCAAAACCTCCTCCATAATCTCCTCAACAACCGCCCCCCCTCCATCCTCCCCATCAGCCTGCTCCTCCTCCTCAACATCCTCCTTCAAACCCAACTCCCTTCTCTCCGCCTTCAATTCCTCCTCTTCCTTCTCCCGCCACGCAAGCCATTCACTCAGAACCCTCCTCCTCTCCTCCACAATCGCCCCCTTCTCTTTATCTTCCTCGATCCGGTCTTGCTCTTCAAAGTCTTTCGAATACTCGCGGAGGTTTTTGCGGATGGTTTTTTGTTCGTCTCGTGATAGAAGGGTGAGAGGGCGAGGGCGCCAGGAGAGTTGCTTGAACTTTTCAATGTGCTCTTCGCGCAAGAGCTCCCCTTTGAAATCGTAGAGGTGGTAGCCGTTTTCCATCTTTGATCATGTCAGCGTCGCGGTAGCTAGACGTAAAAAGAAGAGAGGGGAGGGGAAGAAGTGAGCTTACGGTATGTTTCCAGACACTAGCACTCGTTACGCAGTAGCGACCGGTAGGGTCCCAGTCAACGTCCGTAACTCCGTAATGGTCTCCTGTGTTCATGAGCTGCAAGTTAGCGGTGAGGTCTTTATCGCTCTCGGGCTTCTCGCCCTCGAAGTCTAGATCCCAGAAGTCGAGGTCGAAGCTCTGCTGTGAGTGCACTGTGGCTACAATCACGAAGCGGCCTTTAGGTGACCAGTAGATGGCGTTGCTGTTCTTCTTCTCGATGGTGCGGATGTGTTTGAAGTTTCCTACACCGGCGCCCTTGATCTTTTCGGGACAGAAGAACGATACTGCGGTCTTTGGGGGTACCGCGGTGGTCATGACGACCTCGGCAGTGGTGATGAGAACGAAGCGGTCGCCTTTCGGTTCCCACGCAAAGTTGATGACGGTGTCTTTGATCGAATCGACGACTTCGACGGGGACACCCTTTTCTCGGACACGGAAGATTTCGAGATTGGTCGCCAGTGACTTCTTTGATTTTGAGTGCCTGTCCACTTTGACGCAGACGTAGGCGCCTTGTGATTGCCAGTGGAGCTTGGCATCCGTAACGTTGAAGAGATTTCTTGTCCGTACTATTTCTTTGGACGGTATGCTCATGAGGCCGACTTTAGCAGGGTTGCTGCCGATTTCCGGGGTCCAGAAGCAGAAAAGCTGCTCATATGTCTTTACCGAGTCCCGCTGCGGAAGTGCAGGCGACCATTCGAAGTCCATCACGCCTTCGATTTTGATGGATGTTTTGTCCATGAGAGTCATCTTGGGAAGTTCATAAACAGATATTGATTGACCCTCCAGCATGCGAGCAACGAATTTGTCGTCGGACGACCATTTGAAAGCGGGCCACGGTACCTTCTTCTTGACGGGCTGGCCGGTTTCACTCTCAGGAGGGGTTGGAAGGTCGTGCATCTGGAATGACCGTAGCGGTCTTCCCGTTGCGACGTCCCAGATAATGTAATTCTTCCCATCTTCCTCCTGTGACAAAATCGGGTCGTCTTCTGAAACCTCAATCGGCTTGAAGGACCATGTTGTAATGTATGTCTCCCCGGGCGAGAAGTCGATCAGATTGCACATAGGATGTGGAAACCTCGTCTGCCGTGTCCAATTCGGTCCGCCCCATAACTGTACACCCCGAGCATGCATAGTAGCGAGATATGTGCCCAAAGGCGACCACTGCACATGTGACTCTGTCCAGTGCATCCGATCGACTATATTTTCAGGCGGGTCCTTCTTCTTGTTCCAGAATACCCCAACATTGTCCCCTCGCAACATGACGAATTGATCTCTGCTGTTTGGGTCCCCCAACCACCACCTCAGGTGCTCTTTTTCTGCGAAGTCATCGATCTTAGGTGGTTGGTATTCATCATCGATGCGGCCTTCCCTTCCATATCTTTCCACGTCTGTGATCTTGTTTATCGCGAATGTATGTCTTTTGTCGATGGCGGTACCGTGGAGTTGCTTGGTAGCTGCGATGGCTTGCTGTGGTGTTTGGTATTCGACGAAAGCATAGCTAGACAGATAAGCTCATGTTCCTGCCCCTCAATGGAGGGAGGTCGTACCCTTCCGTCATGCCCTTATTGTTGGTTGGCATGAAGAACCCATCTTCCTTGACTTTTCCCGCCTTGTTCAGCTGCTTCACCAAGAATTTTACCAGCTTCGGTTTGCTGTCTTCCGGGACCACGGGCAGGCCATCGACGACCACGAAGGCATCAAGGCCTTGTTCGAGTCGGACGTCGTATTGTTCCTTGAGATCTGGCAAGGGGACTGATTAGCAGACTGGTGGTTAGAAATGTATAGCGGAGTTTCGCGAACCTGAGAAGTCTATCTCTTCCTCTGAGTCATAGGTACCATTGTCCTCGGTGAGGTTATCAAAGCTAGGTGCCATTTTGTTTGTAGGAAGAAAGGTAGAGGAGCTACGAGTGGGCCTACTTTTGCTGTGGTGTGGTGGTAAAGTTCGAGCCTTGGCACAATATTTCGCTTAACTAAGCCGATCACGCCTAACGCTTTCTGGATGTACCTATGAGTCTTCTTGTCTCTGGTCTGTTAACGTCGCAGCGTTCATATATTGGAGCTTGAGCTTTTGCGTAACTCTTCTCAATCAGAAAGTGAGACTATCACACCCGTTGCTCTGACTCAAGATATGATTCAGAACCCACTGATCGCCAATTGCTTCTTAGCGTATTCACTTTGGGACTAGTCCATTCGGACATAACCGACTTGCCGCCTTCGATCACCGGCGCGTTTTGGGTGCCATCGTCCGTTGCTGATGCAGACCATGGCTTAGCCACGATTCAAAAACCACTCCTCAACGAGCTCTTTGCATACATACTGGGACATTGCGAACTGTTCTGCACTGTTGACTTGCTGGAGGCGCATCAGCCAATCATTTACAGCCAATCACCGCCGGGGCGTTCAGTCTTTCAAAGCTCATTCCTATCGTTCAAACACCCAGTCATGAGGTGACAATTGGAGCTCAGGTCACACTAAAACTAATATCTCTTGCCTCTACACTCAAGATCGAATCAATCTTCGTCAATCCGAGCCCGAATTTGACTATTCTATCTCGCAAATCAATCATCCTCCAAAATGTCTTGTATGTTGCACGCCCGCCTGCCCTCTTCCTTCCCTCCCTCGCCCCTTCAGATCGCGACTCCAGTCAGCTGATACTAGTTGGAAAACAGTACCCACGGAGGTAGAAGCGTCATTCACGACCATTATTGACTCAATCCTTGCCGCAAGTGATCTCGACACAATCTCAGAGAAACGTATTCGCCAAGGTCTCCAGCAGTCTGTCGAATATGATATTACGCCCCAGAAGGTCGGAACTACTATGCCCAAAATAACAAGGGAGACCATTGCTCACATTTCTTACAGACGGCCATCAAAGCCCTCATAATGAGACGCTTCGACAAGTTCGATGAGCAGAGAAAAGCGCCTCCACAGACAAACGGCCACGCCAGCGTCAAAGAGGAATCATCTGCTTCGCCGCAAACTTTTAGCCACACCAGTGTCAAACAGGGCTCACTTGCGTCACAGCAGACCAATGGCCACACCACTGTCAAAGAAAATTCACCTCTGTCGTCGGAGCCTACCCGTAAAGCCACTTCTCAGTCGCCCAAGAAACATAAACAAGAAAGTGACGAGGAGGAGCTCTCGGATGTCAAAAATACTCCCCCTCCTAAGAAGAAGAAGAAAGTAGAGCGCGATAGCGACGCCGCATATGCAGCGAAACTTCAAGCTCAGGAGAACGCTCGCACTAGATCTACAAGAGGTGGAGGGCCAAAAGCACCGCCACCGAAGAAGAACAAGAAGAGCCCGAAAAAAAAGACATCGGCAAAGGTGAAGGCAGAAGATGATAGTGACATTGATGCATCTGGTTCGGACGTGAAGGAGAAAGTCCGGAGCGGTGGATTTCATGCAAGTCTACGGGGCCAACCTGACTTTGATTGCGAGTATTGACTGGCTATAGAAAGAGCTTATGCTATCCCCGCCACTTTCAGCTTTGCTAGACAACGAAATCAAGGTATGTAACCAAGGACGCTATTGCCGAAGCGTTCGAGACTATACTAATGTTCCTTTATAGTTATCTCGGCCTCAGACAGTCAAGCGCATTTGGGCGTACGTGCGGGCTAAGGATCTTCAAGATCCCAGTGACAAGCGAATGATCCGCTGTGATGACGCTCTGAGAGCGGTATTCAAGCAGGACAAGGTGCACATGTTCACGATGAACAAGATCCTGAGTCAGAATCTGTACGTCCCTGACGAGTGAAGATTAATCGACACGACACGCCATGACAATACCTTACGATGGAACGTGGCTTAGCCGATCGTGGCTTAGCGGAACGTGGCTCCTTCATTGTCCGCTTGTTTGAGAAGGGCTTTAAAAAAGGGCGGTTACTGTACAGTCACCCCTTTGAGATGGCAATGCCTGGGTGTACTTCGAGCGCAGGTGTTAGGCGAAGAGACGGCTAGTCGGTGGCCTGTCTATGACTCACTCTACTGAGCATGACTGATCGTTGAATGTATTTGAGGAGACGTAGGAGAAATAGGGCTTGTCAATATGAAGAAACAGAATTTGCAGTATTTTTCCATCTTTTCTGCCCGCGGATGGGAACATGGCCCTGGGAAGGGTTTTCCATGTATTTGCCTTGGCTGCCTCTTCGCCCAGCTCGCTAGAAATCGGCGGAAACGTGCTCAAACCCGTTGTTACCCGATGGCTTTCAACCTTCGACACCATTGCAATTCCTATCCCTCGACTTCCTCGCTACCATCACACCCTTACGCATCATGCCGTCAATAATATCTGACTATTTCACTACGTTGAAAAAAAGCACCACGACGACCTGCCGGACTATAAAAAAGATAGACGCCATGGAATCATCGAAGCCCAATTGGCATTTTTGGGAGTGAATCTGGTGTTTACGCTCTTTCGTGTCTAGAAGGACAATCGATGAGTTGACAACAATAGCTTCCGTTTCCCTGTTCACTAATCGGAAAACTTTAGGACACTTCTTGGAGGCACAAAATACAAGATCCACCAACCTCTCTCTGGATGACAGAAAAGCAGCGTATTTCGTTGGAAGAGCTCAGATCCCACAATCTGAGAACGCTCTCCGCTCTTTACCCCGATGAGCTTCCAATTGGATCGGCGAATCCTGCTCTTCCTCAGCCCCGAAACCGGATGGATAGTGTACCCGACCCCCCTAAGATTTTCTGCCTATAAGTATGTGCGAGGACGCTCTCCTCAGATAGTCAAGAAGCTGTGCTACCCATTATGTTCAAGGCTCTCTGGATGGACTTTCTCACAAGACATAAGCCCTAAGCGGTTGCAAAATTTGAGAAGTCAATCGTGTCACTGCTGCTGTAATGCATGCTTGGGCCTTATACCCCGATCCATCTCTATTTCACAAAATTGGCGACATGGTCATTTACGACTGCGAACGCGGCTCATGGGAAGCCTCCCTGGCATCTCCCATGACCGCACCTTTTGCCACTGTCATACTGCGCCTAGCACGAGTCGGAGTATCACATTATCGATTAGAACGATGAAGACCGTCACGGATGGTTGTGGATCAACTTGCGGGGTAGTTGTGGTGCGGTGACAGAGTCGAGGTAGCACTGCGGCAGACGTTTTCCTTCTAGGCTGCCCGGAGAGGTGTCCGATATTTAGGTCAGATGGGGGGTTCCTGCACTCCATGATCATGGTGCACAACTTACATCTTACGGGTGCCTTTTGTTGTTGCCTCTACTGCAACAGAGCTTTTCGGGATTCGTCAAGACCGGACGTGGCCTAATCAATAATACAATGATCTAGTCTACGCCCTTCGATTTGCCAATCTCTTCGGAAACGTCTCTGGCCTTGCCTATGCCTCAGCTCTGCTCCGAAAATCGGTACGATCACGACAAGATACCACCAGAGCGAGGAGAGTCCTCTCATGCAACAATTCTGCAATGAAGCTTTCGAGCAAGCAACCCTAAGATGACGCGGATAGGCGATGATTGACTGGCTGGGGTTCGACGAAAAAGTTAAAATTCCGGACACGGTTCATACTCCCTGGCATACAGTCCTCCTGGTCCTACATGATAAGCGGGGGACTCGACGAGCCGGGCCACTCTGCTGTCATAATCTCCGCATCCCACAGAAAGTGGGGCAGGTCACGATGATTGGCCAAGGTTGACGAACACAGCGGTCTGTACCACGAGGACTGCTTGCTTTTTAAGATGCCATTCCACATCTCTGCTCCCTTCAGCTCTCTGAACTATTCCTCTGCTTCTGAGACCCTCAGCAGCTCTCATCTACACTACCTTCTGTCCGAAGATTCCCACCGCAGTCTAAATCGCCCACACGACAAGTCATCGCATCTTTTCGAAACCTTTCCACCTTTCGAGAACTTCATCTAGAATTTGCAGCTACAATCGCAAGCTCCTAAAAAGATAAAGTCCACTGGAGTACCTCAGCCCCCGCATCGTTACAACCAGTTCCGTTTCGGTAACCGCTATACCGCTCCTCCGGCTGCATCATAGGAAACCGCGTTTCAAGTAACATACCTCAAATGTCGCAGCATCTCGGACACTCTACATCTCGGAACATGGTGTCTGGAAGACCTAGACCGCCGCCTGAGCTGGCATCGCAGCAACAATATCTCCTAGATCCTCTGCCGGACTCTGGATCTTCTCAATCGTCAGCGCCATTCTCACAATATTCCTTGTCCCAGCCAACTTCACAGTACACTATGGATGGAAACCCACAAGAACCGGCGCTGGCGCCTATGCAATACCCTCCATTCCAGCAATATACAGGTACCCAGGCTGTATATCAAAATTTTCGACCTCCATACCACCTCACAGGGACTACCCCAAACGGTCATCCTGTTTCACATCAGAGATATAGTGAGAGGGACTGCACCACGTCTTTCAGAGGGGCCGGAGGTCCGGTCTTTGGAGACGACTTGCGCAACCACAATGGAGGCAACTCTGGTTGGAGTTCAATGGGTGATTCTAGTCGCCAGAATGTGCGAGGGTCTTTCATAGAGCCTTGCTATCCCAACTCTGATGGAGATGGCTACAGTCAGGCACAACAACACCTCACTGAGCATCGCACCATGGACCAAACAAATGCCTTGACTGGCCGCGATTCATGCAAGGGATTCCCAGTCCAGTATCGAATTGATGCCACAAGCGAAAACTTCGGTATGAGAGTCTCACCCTCTTTTTGTTCAGCCACTGACAATCATGGAGCCGGTGGAGACATTGACAACCAAAACTGCAATTTGGCGACCGCGGATAACAATATCGGTCATGGCAGCCAATGGTCAGACTCACAGGAGATGGGAAACCAAGCAAATCCATCCACGATTCCTCCGTCCGGTATTGACCTATCTCTCATAGATGGATCTTTCTCGGCGAAATACAACTCTTTTTTGGCAGATTTAGCCGAGACGGACCCAGGAGGAAGCGATGCGCAGAACGAAATGCTTCTATGCAATCCTGATCATTTCGATAATAGTTTTCTTAACGGCTCACCAACTTCCACGTTTTCCGGGTCTGGTACTGTATCGAGGAAAGCACGTTCTCGCGCTACATCTAACACTACACCACATTCTCATCGTCGTGGTCGTGGTCGTGATCGTGGTCGTGGTAGCGCTCATCCAGTCTCCTCTGAGCCTTTGGAGACGAGATGCAAAGCATGCGATGACGATCCAGATTGTGAGGACAAACCAGTCTACCGTGGCACTCCCGAAAGTCAGAAGACAAGCCTAGGAAGGCACATGCGTGAGCACCATTCCGATAGCAAAAATTGGTCTTACCAGTGTTTGCTAGATAAGGACGGGTCGGCCTGCAAGAAAGTCATCAGAAAAGCTCGCGGTAGGAGGAAGCATGTGGAAACAGTTCATCCAACAGAGTCCAGGAATTTGCCGCCAAAAGATGCAGCCAAGAGAAATTCCAACGTCAACACCAATGCAATGCTAGATGAGTGGTTTGACAAAATACCACAAGGGAGCAGCCCATGACTTGCAGTCACGGCTTCTATGCGACATGATATGTTGGGCGATGAGGTAAAGCTACCTTGATGTGTTGCTCTGCGAAGGTGTCGGGATAAATTGTGCATGTGGAAAGAGATGATGTTCATGTTCACGGATCGACAGCGCTTCGTTTTTCTGAGTTGATGAAAGAAGAGGTGATCAAGATAGTCTGTCTTTAAGAATTCACCGGAGTCGGGGTATCTATATGTTTTCATTCTGGACTTTAGGCAACCAACGTACAGCCTTGCTTTTGCGTATAAGCATAGTGGTAGACACTATCCGAAAGGCTTCAGCCATTGAGGTCAGCGACTCAGACTTTTCCGAGGAAAGTCATTGGCTGGGGAGCACGTCTTCGGCTAGGCTAGGTTGGTTGGAGGGACTAGGCGAGAGGACTGAGCGAGAGGACTGAGCGAGAGGACTGAGCGAGAGGACTGGCCGAGGGGACTGGACAAAAAGGACTGGCCGAGAGGACTGGACAAAAAGGACTGCCAAGGGGGACTGCCAAGGGGGACTGCCGAGGGGGACTGCCAAGGGGGACTGCCAAGGGGGACTGCCAAGAGGGACTGCCAAGAGGGACTGCCAAGAAATCCTGCCGACGAGTTCGACCAATGAGCAGGACTAAAGGCACTGCCATTGATAGAAGATTATAAAAGTGCTATTTGACACTTTTGTCGTCAAGAAATTACCCTGACCGAAGGATCTCATCAGCACTCTCAGAATCACCGGAACCCCCTTCGCACGCTCGTCAGTCAACCACAACAATCCTCCTTGACCTTTATGGAACGTCTTACCGCCAAAGCTCTGGCGGTAAGATCCAAAGAGAAGAGATCCGCAACCGACGAGTGGAGCAGGAAGCCGGAACGGCATGAAGAATTCGCGGTACGGGGTTCCACGAACCTTTTCCGCCACAACGTGGAGGCTTCTCGGATCGTCCGCTCCTGCATGCGGAAACTTCGCTGAAGACGAGGGCGAAGGACGCAGGAGGAGTGAAGTGACGGTTGGGGTAGATGGATGTTTGAGAGTAGGGAGGGGGGGGGCGTGGGATGTGGACGTAGAGGTACGGGGGTGGATGATACAACGACCGAGCATTTCACACAGTCGGCCTGAGATGACATACCACCGACCTCACTTCGGTTCCGCAAAGGGGGGAAACAGACAGAGAGAGAGAGCAACAACAGCACCTCCCGCGCAATTAGAAACGCCGCCGTTACGAGTCTGCGTCACTGTGCGTACAAAGACAGAGGATCCCACACTCGTATATCAAAGGATCTCGAAACGCCTCCCTGCTCACCAGCTTCCATTAAAAGACCCCCACAACCTCGAATATCTCCTTTATATGGCCCCAATCAAGCCCTGGCTCATTCTCCTCTTGCACCTCCTACGGCTCCAGCTCCTCCTGCTGCAACTCACTTTGGGTCTTAGCGGCGGCAGCCGACGGGGTTTTCCCTCTTCCCAAGACCTTTGTTGAGAGCTGGTCCGTGGTCCTTCGGAGTAGTCGGTATCGCACTTGTGAAAAAGGGTTATGCTATTTGCGGAATCGATCTTTGTGTCCTTTTTTGCTTGGGCGATTCTGTTATGGGTTTCTTTTGACCCAAAAATGATGAGGGTGTCCGCTCTCCTGCCTCGGATATGTTTCACATCGACGGAAGCCGTGTGGAGAGCAGTCTTCCTTGCCGGCAAAAAAAGGGTAGCAAAGGAGGTGCTCGCTGATGAACAAGCTTGATGCATGGAAGGAAGGAAGGAAGGTGGATCCTGCCAGCCTCACGGCAAGATTTGACCGACAGTACGGTCCAGTTACATAAGATAGCTTGGTAGTCTCACCGAAATCAGCATATCGAACAAGGAATGCATGGTTCTGAACTCATTGCCTCAGAACGGCCTCGATCAAATTCTCAGAATTCGGCCCGAGCTCCCATATCTTTACGACTTCCAAACCCTCCTGACCCAGCAGTTCCGTCCACTGGCCCCGATTGCGTTCCATGCTCCCAAACAGCGTCATCATGTGCATATCCCGCAGTCCCAGGTAACTCGACACTCCCGTGTCCGGTAAGACGTCTTCAACGATGAGTAACCTGCTCCGCCCACCGGGGAGCATGGCGGCGACCGTTTGCTTCAGTATGGTCCGGCATTCCGCGTCCGGCCAGTCGTGGAAGATGTGATGGAAGTAGTATGCGCGAGCGCCAATGACGGGTTGGGGATCGAAGAAGTCGTGCGCTATCGGTTCAACCCTTCTCCGTCCCAGGCTCTCCCGGTCGGCTTCGGCCAGCGCGTGCGCTTGGTCTTGCAGTATCAGACGGCCGGGGACGGAAGGGTGCGCGGAGGCGAAGGCCAGCAAGTCTTGACCCCATCCCCCGCCGACGTCGACGAGGAGTACCTCAGCCGAGGCTGGTGGCACGGTCGAGCAGAGATTTGCGACGACCGGATACTTTGTGAACCAGGCGGCGTCGGCGCTGGCGTGGCGCCGATCGACCATGCTGGAGTGGAACGCGCGCGCGCGCTCCGGGTCTTCTTCCAGCCAGGCCCAGAAATCGAGCGGGGTGTTGAAGGCGTGCTGCCAGAGTCCGCTGCCGTCTCGCGTCGGGTTCGCGAAGGAAGTCTGTTCCAGGAACGAGGGGAGTTTGGCGGCGGCGTTGAGGCCGAAATCGAAGCTGGGTCGTCGTTAGCGTCGGCGCAGACGTGGATGGGAGAGGTGGAAATAATAGAAGGACGGACAGAGTGGTTACGTTGTCTCGTAAAGAGGGTCTGGCACGGAGAGCTGATGCGATTCTTCCGGCTCCGTAAAGTTCTACGCCTTTTTCGGTGAAGACCCCCATTGTGCAGAGTACCCTCATGATACGAACTAGAGTGGGATGAGATAACGCTTAGATATTTAAACTGGGAATGAAAGTCAGGCCGTATCAGAACGCTTACCTATGAGCAGGCGATCTGCTCCAGTTGTAGTGGCCAGACCCAACGCGGTCACGTCTTCGTCCTTGATGGCATCTAGAAGGTTCAACTGGACAGCTATTCTCAGGGCAAGGGTTTCGTATGGCTTGGTATAGTCAGTATGGACAATCTCCAGCTCTGTATCGCACGGGGGATGGTGGACGCTCATGGATAGGTAAGGTCAGACTAGACTACAACAAAATACGAATATACATGAGACCATTTGTTCTGACCGACTGCATTCAGACGCCGATCGAGAATGCTTCAAATTTTGAACGTACCTGAAAAGAAAATCTTCTAATAGCCTCGAAAGGCGACTCTAATTCTGCCGTCAACTTTCTACACGTGGCGAGCAATTCGGCTTGTGCGTCTCGGTTCTGATTCTCGTCCTGACAAGCTTTGGCACCCGAATTCACCTGGTCGATCAAAGAGAGCACTTCGGAGGATAGCATGTTGATTGACCATTTATCCCTTTCAGATCAAGAGTCGAATGTGGAGGTGGTACGGGAAATAGAGAAAATGAAAGGAGATCTAAGGCGACAGCTAAACGAGAGTACTGTGTACAGTCGAGCGCGACGGATTGATGTGTGGAAATTGCCCAATGGAAAATGGTTCCTCCAGTGTGTAATGATGTAATGCAAGGTTACGTTGGCTTCAGCAGTGCTGTTCGTGCTTTGAATAGAGACACTCGACGGACGCGAGCCTGTACAATGAGTATAACTGTGATGTCATTTACTGCAAACGTGGGATGTTGAGATTAAAAGCGGTGGAGGGAGTGTGATCCAGATTGTATATGATGATGTAACCTTGCTGCTAAAAGGTAAGCGAGCCACATTTGTTTTGCTGCATGCAGCATGCAGTGGATCAGCATAATACGCTTGATGCGGTATTCGCGCCGACGCAGAAGGTCATCACTGCGCTGAAGCTTTGACTCTAAGACCTGTCGAGCCTGAGCGTGCAGAAGGATGGGTATTGTGGTCGATCAGGTACTCTTCGAAAGTTTCAATCTCGCAGAGCTGCAACTGTCTGTAGCCCAATCTCCTCTGTTCCTTAAATGTAATATCAGGAATTTCGGCAGTGATATTCGATACTCGCCGTGACTTCTTATGTCATTGCGTGCGGCCTGTTCTCGTTGCCGGCCATTTCCCTTACTCAGATGCCACTGTGCGAATCATGGCACCCAGATAGCATTTCTAGGCTTAGGCAGTATGGGCCAAGTATGTTTTTCTACCATACCTGCAAGCCTGTATTCTAATGGGATTTCTGGCAATAGGCTATGTGCAAGAACCTAGTCCAAAAAAGAAATTTAGAGAAGTTGTTGGCAAACTATTTGTCGAGTGCTCGACGATTCAACGCTAGCATACGAGTGAGCTCGCGAAAGGCGTGGAGCGGGCCGGAGCGGAAGATGTCGCCATGCCAGGTATGCAGTGTGGAAGCTGAGAACCAGCGCATGATCTGACTCGTTTCCAAATGGACAGTCTTTGGGGGATCCCGCAATGGCTGAGAAAGGTTTGCTTACGTGTGTTCCTGCTAGCAAGCTAGGGCAGGTAGAATGCATTAAGCCTTACTGTACCGGCGGGTGAACACCTTTGCGTCGTCATTGACGAAGTTATCTGAGGCTCAGCAGAGCCAGTTTGGACCCATTGGTTGACATCCGTCAGTACTGGTCGAGTCGTGGTAGAAATGAGCAACCAAGAGCCGGGCGAAGAGTCCCTTTTCAAGGTCATCGGTAATATAATCATCGTCAATTTGATGGAGACGGTCGCAGAGGGCCAAGTGCTTGCAGAGAAGACTGGATTGAAGATCGGAAACCTACACAGTTGTCTCAGCACGGTATTTGGTGGTCCATACCAAATATACTCGAAGTGTATGAGCTCTGATGATTACTACAGAAACCAGGTGAGAAGATAGTCGACTGCATGCCGACTGAGCATTAATTGTTGTACAGCCTCTTGTTCCAATAAATGAATGCCGAAGGTTAGCTTCGGAGGTACTCGAGCTAGCACACCAATCCGGGACGTCATTGAAGGCATATGAGCAGGCTGCTAAGCATATGGGAATGGTGCAAAGGCGTGCAAAGGCATGCCGGGGCTTCTGGAGACATTTCGGGCATCTATGGGGCAGTGCGACTCGAGAGCGGCCTGATGTTCGAGATTTAAGACGCTTGGTCAAATGTCTTCCAGCTACTGCAGAATTGCTGTATCCGGTCCAAGGCTGGGCATTCCCAAATTCCGCACCAGTGGTTCTTTAATCTCTATCATAAGGGTTTGTGAGAGTCAGTAAGGTGTTCTTTGTATTCGTGTACCAGTTCACCGGCAATAGACCGCCGCGTCAAATTTACGTTTCAGCGTATTCCGTTTCCGTGTAGCCACTCGTGTGGAACCTCCATTCCTATGATGGGACGTAAAGCACTGCATCGCCATCGATACACCACTGAACGATGCGCGCAGAGACCCACCCACAGTATGCTTGTTTGATCACGTTCCCCCTGAAGGACAGGTATGCCGCTTCAGAGACAGGTCAGATGAGTGCATGAGGCGTTTTAGTACGACGCCTTGCAGGCTCCAAGAATCCTAACCACGTAGGTGAGTGGGGATTGCCGTGCAGCTGATAGGAATGACGAACCTGCAGGAGGACTGCATGGTACATGCGTGCTATGTTGTGCCTTGTAAGCACGATGTAGATATTGACCGGAACCTACTCCAGATCCACTATTGGAGTCTCATACGTGTACACCCCACATCGTACATATACATACACCTTCTCAACCCGGGCTATTTTCTGTGACCATCAGATCAATCTACCTGTTCGTATCTACCCGGAAATGCCGGCTACCCGGTGATGCACGATCTGAAATCCGGTAAATCTGGGGGTGAGTTTTGGGGGATACCCCACCAAAAACTCACCCCGAGCCCACCCTAAATCGAAACCCGGGCGACTTCCCCCACCCACCCCGTTGCATCGCGTAGGCTTAAAGAGTTCGGGCAGACTTTATGACTGTCTAGTATAAATTCAACAATACTAGTTCAATTTTTTAAAAATTCTTTAGACTCTAGAAGTCTTTTTTTTACGCTTTATAAATTTAATTCTTTTTATTATACTGTTGTAAAAGAACGAATTATTGAAATTTCGGATTTATCGGATTTTAGACCGTGTATTAATCAAATATGAAAAAAGAAATTCCACCGAAAATGTACTCGTGGATTCCAGAAGTGAGTTACTTGATAGAGCGAGGACACCAATAGATCAAGCGACATGCCGCTGAGTGGAAATATTCATTGGTGTCCTCGCTCTATCAAGTAACTCACTTCTGGAATCCACGAGTAATTTGCCCGGTTCAAAGACCAGGGAAATGCGATTCATGAGTTGAGATAGACGTTTTGCTACAAGCGCACGAGGACCTCATACCTCATGCATTTGGCGATAAGGAAGTTGCGATCCGGGCTCTACGAGTACCGTCTGTTCCTATCGTAACCGTGTCCGTCTTTCCGAAATTCGGCTAATGGCGGCGGTTGCAGAGGTATCTTAATGCCGCTTCCTGCGCTGCCGCTGCGCTTACTTTCATTGAGGACGAAAAGTCAAATCACTGCAGTCTTTAACAACAACCTTCACCAACACCAGAATGAGCCGGCAGTGTCAGAATGAGACGGAGAACTCGGAGAAGCCTCGTGAACATTTGCTTCTTCGCCATCGCTTTGTTTCTTATCGTGTACCTCAACCGTCATCAACCGAACAACAAAACCTACGCATGGACTACAATTCGCTACAGGACTACTTCTACCACGCTACCCAAGACTCGCGGCATCTGTCCCGGCCTGGCAGGGAGCTCGAAGCCGGCACTAGTCGTGTCGCGAGTTGCAGCCGACGGCGACTCCAATTGGCTCGATGCGCTGGCTAATTTATATCACCTATGCGTTTACACTGCCGACGCACCGGCCGACATACACAAGACGCATTTGCAAGTCCCTGCAAACCGCGGGCATGAGGCAATGGCGTATCTAACGTTTCTAATCGACAACTACGCAGACATCCCTGCAGCCGGTGCAGTATTCGTACATGGCGCGCGCTGGGCTTGGCATAACGATGCCCCTGACTACGACAACGCAGCTCTACTCATCGCTCTCAATGTTTCTGCGGCGCTCGCGCCGTCGGGCTACCATAATCTGCGTTGCGACTGGAGCGCCAGCATGTGCTCGTCCTCTTCGGCGCCGCCGCAGGGCAGCCTGGAGACAGTTCTGAGCGCTATGCTGGAGCCGTGGAACGCCCGCGCGACATCTGATGCGGCGCTGCCGCGCGCTTTCGCGGCTCTGTTCGGTGGTGATGGGTCTGCTGTGGGTTTGGGCTCCATCGCCGATGAGTACGCCTCGTCCAAAGATGGTGGGAGACTTCTTCTAGGTCGAAATGATGCCGTCCGCGCGCAGTGTTGCGCGCAATTTGTCGTTGCGCGCAATCGTGTATGGCAGCATTCCCGTGACGAGTACGTCGCTTTGAGACAATGGCTACTCGACGGGAGCAGCGACAGTGGTACGGACGAGCACTCACAGAGTAGAAGTGTTGCACCGCGTGACGACCGAATCGCAGGCCGAATCTTGTCGTATCTCTGGCACATCCTGTTTATGCAGCAAGGTGAATCTAACGCTCAGACCTCGTCACCTGGTGCATACCGAGGTGTCGACCTAGAGCGGCTCAATACCCTAGCATGCCCGCGCGCTGACGACTGCTACTGCCGCTTATATGGGCGTTGCGGTCTTGAAGGTTGCAATACTCCGGGTCATTGCCACGGACAGTATACCTTGCCGCCGGACTTCCGACTTCCCGATAATTGGATGGCCACGCATTCGTGAGTCACACATATCGTGGACCTATATTTTTACGTGACGGCGGATTCACAGAGCTTCGGCATTATTATTGTGCCCACGCCTGGTAAGGCGCCGTGAATTTGTTTGACTGGATAATGATGGATTCGATAGGATAGAGTCTTCTGACTGATGGATTGCAAACAAGCTAATCGTGCCACAAACAAGCTACATAAGTGCGTGGCACCGTAGCACGATTAGCTCACTCGCTATGTTGTAAAGTAGCCACGCATACGCGAGATCCGAGTACCTACATTAAGGATGTGAACCTGGCCGGACAATATCTACGTCTTGCGGTAGATACAGCTATAACTACATTTTCACAGAACGCTAGACTGTATGTGCTACTAGGGTGCAAGTAGATACGGTATGTAAATTTTCACCTGTCTTCAGTAGGTACTGATCTGACCAATCAAAATGCGCATGACTTGACTTACTAAGCGCCTTAGAAATATGTTTTGCCAAGCAATTGTATTTCAATGAACCCCACTAAACGCATCGATACTCTTTTTACGTCTGCCAGATATCATTCACAAATGAGTACAACTCCCAGTTAGATGCTCAAGTAGACAGGACCCCTATTACTACATATTCCATTCCTTCCAACTCTCCCATTCCCAACTGCCATTAACCCGCAATGGCCTCAGTAACACAGGTATCCGGGACCCATTCCGAAACCGCCCAAACAATCATCGACTCGCAACCGCAAAATCACATACATGGGACCTATTCGCGAGGAAGAGGAGGAGGAGGAGGACCTGGTGGAGATAGAGGCCCGCACCAAAACCAAGGTGCGAGGGGTGGAAATAGACGAGGAGGGAGGGGGATTTGGGCCAATCGACCAAACGGAGGACCCAATCAGCGAGCAAGAGGCCTCTCTAGCTCAGCGATTCCCTCAGCACCTCCCATACCACCACCTCCCGGCGGTGGAGGCAGCTTTGGTGGTCGCCTGACCAAAGATGCCGAAACGAAAGAGGGCGACGAGAACAAGGAGCAGAATGGGACGGAGGACGAAGTCGAAGCTGAAGTCTGCTTTATATGTGCTTCGCTTGTGGTCCACAACTCTGTTGCCCCTTGTAATCACCGGACTTGTCATATCTGCGCCTTGAGGTTGAGGGCTTTGTATAAGACGAGAGCATGCGCTCATTGTCGGACGGAAGCCAGATTCGTCATATTCACTGATGATGCCACTAAGCGTTACGAAGACTTTGTTGAGGCGGACTTCCAAGAGACCGATGAAGTGCTGGGTATCAAGTACGAGCAGAAAGAAATCCACAGTGACACAATACTTTTACTTCGGTACAATTGCCCTGACGAAAGCTGCGACATTGCCTGTCGGGGATGGCCGGATCTTCACCGTCATGTCAGGAGTATCCACCACAAGGTCCTGTGTGATCTATGTACAAGGAATAAAAAGGTCTTTACACACGAGCACGAGCTGTTCACACAACAAGATCTGAAGAAGCATGAAAAGTTCGGAGACGACCATCCCGGGGCCGTAGACCAAAGCGGTTTCAAGGGACATCCAGAATGCGGCTTCTGCAGACAGCGGTTCTATGGAGACGACGAGCTGTATACGCATTGTAGAGATAAGCATGAGAGGTGTCACATCTGTGATCGTAGGAATCCAGCAAGGCAACAGCAGTACTACGTGAATTACGATTCATTGGAGCAACATTTCAGGAAAGATCATTTTTTGTGTGCAGATCAAGAGTGCATGGACAAGAAATTTGTTGTCTTCGAATCCGCGATGGATCTCAAGGCGCATCAACTCGAAGCACATCCCAATGGTCTGACCAAAGATGCCAGGAGAGATGCTAGGAGAGTCGACATCTCGGCCTTCGACTATAGGACTCCGCACCAAGACAATCGAGGAGGCAGGAGAGATAGAGAGGGTAGAGAGGGGAGAGGCAGAGGAAGGGGCAGAGATCCCAACACTGAGGCTCTCCCACAGTCAACCGCACAACCTTTGCGTAGAGATGAGCTCGCTTATCAGAGGCAAATGGCAGTCCAAAGTGCTCAGTCAGCCACTGCGAGGACCTTCGACGACCAAATGGCCTCTACCGACGCATACGCTGCGAGGCCCACAGGCCGAGTTCAAGACATAGTCACAGCACCTAGGAATCATACTACCACAAACAGCTCGTTTCCAGCCATAGACAATCTCCGTCTCGACTCCGCCGCTAATACAATATTAGCACCTGCCCAAGCCGCACCAGCAGTGACCCCACAAGAACAAGCCCGAAGATTGCAGCACAGCTCCGTCATGGACCGCGCTTCGACCATGCTCAAGTACGACCAACCCAAAATCTCAGACTTCCGCAGCAGCGTTTCGTCCTATCGCACATCCACCATCACAGCCTCCCAACTCATCGACTCCTTCTTCTCCCTCTTTGACGTTCCCTCGGCGGATCTAGGCAAACTCATCAAAGAACTTGCCGATATCTACGAAAATGAAGCAAAGCGCAATGGTCTGCTCAAGGCGTGGAATGACTGGCGCGCCATCAATGAGGACTATCCATCATTGCCAGGGCCGAGTGGTGTCTTACCTGGCTCTCCAGCCGCTGCTGCAGGTAGTGGAGGCCACCGAGTGCTCAAGCTGAAGAGCTCCACAGCTCAATCATCACGCTCGGCAGTTAGCAAACAAGGTAGCTGGGGCAATTCCACGGCCGCGAACCCATTCCCGTCGATACCTGCATCCTCGGCCAACAGAGCAGGCGCGGGACGCGTTGGCGCCACACCTTGGATTGCCCCTTCCTCCTCATCCAGACCCCCACCAGCATCCTCGCGACCACTATCCAGACCCTCAACCTCCGGCCAACAGAACGGTTCAGCGGCAGATGCCTTCCCCGCGCTACCAGCCGCTGCAAAGCCCAACACCATGATCATGGGACTAACGCGAGGGACTGTGCGGTGGGACGACGGGAGGGGAAGCAACAATCGTGCTAATCCGTGGGGGGCTGCGAATGGTGGAAGTGGGAGTACCACTCCTGCGGCCGAGACAGACGGAGAGCCCGAAGCGGGCAAGAAAAAGGGCAAGGGGAATAAGAAGCAGACTTTGTACAAATTTGGTTAATCACCTTTCTTGAATTGCAGCCCATCTTTAGACATAGACAACGGCGTATGATGCCCAGGATCTGCTCGGCTCGGCTCGGCTCTTAAACAGTTTTTTTGGGAAACCCTATGTGATATCTTCGACGGGGTTGATGATCTTATGTACATAGACTATATAGCGCGACGCTGGTAAGATACTAGAAGCGTCAATCTTAGCACGGATTACACGATAGCTGATCCATGGAATGCAACAATGTCTAGGCGTGGTCCCTTCTTAAGCCAACACTCCGGCGCAAACGTTGGTTTGAACACGGGATTTCAACTGCAGGACCATGCACATGGTCGATGTTGCTATAATTTAAGATAGCATCTGGATCATGGACGGGTGAAAGCGCAGCATAGATATCTTTATTGAACATAGATGAAGCTCGATCGAAGCCACATGATGACTTCAAAAGCGTAGAATTCCGAAATCTATGCCCGATTGATCATCGAACGAGCTCGAGCACAAGCGAAATGACATCTCAGACTCTGCCGCCTCGCGAACGATATGGCCATCTAACTCTCATCCCCCGTTTCGGACTGGAGAGCACCCGTCATTTCGAAGCGCGGCTCGGGGCTCCATTCCATGCTCTCGGCTGGTTCTTCCGGCCGGGTACCTCCACCATGGCTCACGGAGCGGTCCTCCGCCTCACTTTCTGTCCGGGCTTCAGCCTCGACCTCGGTCCCAGTGTCCGATTCCTCCTCGCTCTCGTCCGCCGCTGAAGCAGCATCCGCGTCAATAGCGGCCATGCGGTTCACGAATTCGTCCTGTAGTTTCTGCATCCAGGTGGCCAGCACCTTGCCGTTCATATTCCCTTCGTGTGCCTGTATGAGTTGTTCGCGTAAACTGAGGATCAGCTTCCGGCGCCTGACCAGTGCTAGAGTCTTGGAGTTCTTCTTGCGCTTCTCCATGTTCGACGTCAGCTTCTTGGAAACCTGCTCCGCGACACGCAGGACATCTGGAGGCAGATCGACGACTTTGGCGAGTGCAAGACCGTAATGCTCTTCTTGGACCGCACCGCTGGCAACCTTGTATAGCATCTTCATCTGATCTGCTTCGCTCATGTCCACGGAGAGGTGGAAATTGACGACGCCACTGCGCTCGGCAAGGATCTTTGCCAGGTCGCGGAAGTGAGTGGCGAACCAGACGAAGGCCCCACTCTCCACCAAAGCCTCTGCGACAGCGATGGCGATGGAGAGACCGTCCCGAGTGCTGGTACCTCGACCAAGCTCGTCGACAATGACCATGCTTCGAGCATCGATGTTACGGAGGATGAAAGCTGTCTCGCGCATTTCGGCCGCAAAGGTGGAGACATTCGCTTCGATGCTGTCGTCCATTGAGATGCGGGCGAAGAGCTGGTGGAAGATTGGGAAGGATGCATAGGAAGCCGGTACAAAGCATCCTATCTGAGTCATAACAGCCATTAGAGCGATTGATCGGATGTAGGTACTTTTTCCGCTCATGTTGCAGCCCGTGATGATCTGGAACCTGCTTTGCCGTGTGGCATATGCGTCATTGGGGACATACTTCTCTTTATGTATCTTCTCTCGGATAGGGTGTCTTCCACTCTTGATAGCGAGGGTGCGAGTCAATTCGGGCCTGCAGTAGTCCTGGGTGGTTACCAACTGCGCGAAAGAAGCAGTGACATCGAGGAGTGCAATAGCATCGCTGATCTTGAACAGAGGCGCGATCTCCGCACGGAGATTCTGGATAAATTCTTGTATGCTTCGATCGCTCAGTTGAAGCACCTCATGGTGAGAGTCCATTATTTTCTGGTTCCACTTAAGGAGATCCAGGGTCTGACACTCAATCATGTTCCTCTTTTTGAAGACGTTAATGAAAACATCTGGCAGGTTGCGGTCCTCTATCTCCGATGCAGCGATGCGGATGTAGTACTGCCTGGCGGTGTCGTACTTCATCTCAAGAGCTATCTCATGGGTTTCTGGATTTGGTCAGTTCCACAAGACAAACAGGCGGTGCTCGACCCACCACCCAAACCTGTGACGAGCTGGTAAGCGTCCGCGTTCGCCTCTTTGTACGTCTGTCTTGCAACGTCAAGAAGGCCGTTGACTCCTGACTGTGGAGAGAAGCCCGATCATTCAACGATCTTTTAAACCCGATAGGACAGCGGCTAACCTTCACTGCATATGTCCTCTGGTTACGTAAGTCCAGAGGTTGAACCTGGTATGTAATATCTTCATTGATGGTGTCATCGATCATGGCTTGCACGTCGGTATAATTTGCAGGAGAGCACAACTACACTATCAGCGCCATCAATCAAAGACAACAAGCATTTCCTACCTCGTATATTCCCACTAGCAGTTCGCTTCTTGTAGTTTCCAGTGCTTCGTAAATCGGAGGAATCGACTTCACGTATTGCTTAAGTGAGATGACATTGTTAATTGATTGCTCTGAGTGCTGAATGGAGGGTTTCGTAGGGATCAGGGTGATCTGCTTTTGTCAGGTTCCGCTGCTTCTATAGCTGGACAAAAACTGACCGCCGTTAAGACCCTGTCAACGTCCACAAAAGCTTTTAAAGCTGCCACGACTGTCAGCGCACGGTCAATGTGCTATCGAGAATTATCGTCATGCCTTGTCGAACAGCGAAGAAAACGTCTTCTCTCGTGGTCAACTCCTCCAAGGCATCATAGCGTTTCGTCAAGTAGGCGGCACTTGTGGACGGTTGGAGAACACTGCTCTTAAGGACTCGAGCGCCCATAGCCGTCTGGGTCTGGTTTAGCAGACCAAACAAACAATCTTTCGATCTGGCATTCTGCAGGTTCTGAATAAGCTCTAATGCGTGAATGGTTGAAAGATCGGTCATCATCGCGCCATCAGCCGGCTGGTATGTGATGCGAAGAGAATGGAAAGGGAAGGAGTACAAGAGGCTGAGCTCAATGTATTTGAGCACCTGGAACAACTCAGCCTCGATCGGAGAAGCATGCTAGATCGCTACCCACGGCAGCGATACAGCAAATTGCGTAATAGTTGCCTTCAATAGCAACTTTGAGAGCTTCCAGATCCTGCTTCATTGCCAACTGTTGAATGTATTCCATCCCTGTCGTCTCAGCCCAGTACTTTCTATCTATTGGGCTGATGCGGATGTGGGGAAGGTCGCCTTCAATGACAGAGTAAAGCTTTGACTTAGGCTGTGCGGCAGTAATCATGACAAGGACTTCAGTTGGCTCGAGACAAGCAAGCTTATGTATGGTCTTGACATAAGTCTGGTTGTCTGATATTTGACAGAGAACAGCTTCAGTAGTAGATATGTTGACAAAGGCCAAGCCGACGATAGGAGAAAGTCCTCTGGATTCGCTGATAGCGCAGATGATCTGCTGATCCCCACCAATGGTCGAGGCAGCTGTTCTAGGTCTACCAGTCCGCGGTCGACTAGTGGTAGCCCTGCTCATGCTTGTGCTTGGACGAGGGGTAGTACTTTCATCATACGGGCGTGATGGATAAGATGTGGTAGCAGAAGTATAAGATGTGGATGGACGACTACTGGCCGCCATGTTGGATGGCCCGTCCGCTTACCTGACGATGCTGGCTCGAGTAGGGATTTTACTCCTCTTCTCTGAGGAATTGCCGCTCACTTGCAGTCCGATCGTGTAAGTATGGAGACGAGAAGGATGGAGATGAAACAAAGTTGGTGAGGTCGGCCTAAACTTGACTCGGCAAGGGGCTGTTGGGGGGTGAAACAGTGTTCGGGTAGGGGTCGGCTCGGGGCACGTGGGGTCAAACGTTCGGACATAAGGTACTTAAATGTTTTGGCTGCCGCTCGCTAGTCTAAGCACTTTTCAAGGCATCGAATATTTTGGGTCTTCGAGTAAGGTACATCTTTTCTTGTGTACCTTTTTCTGGCGTAAACTTGTTTAACTCATCATGGCGACTACTCTACCCCCACCAAGCAAGCGTCAACGCACCGCTACAGCCGAGAAGGCAAGAGCGCAGCAAGATGTCGACACAATCCCTGACAACCTGGGATCAATCCGAGTGCAATTTCTGGATCAAGCCTCTGGCATATCAGCCGGTCCACCGGTCTCTGTGCCAGTCCGAGATGCTACGGTGAAGAATCTGGAGCTGCTGTTGAATACGTTGCAGAGGAACGTAGGTGTTCCCAGGACCACGAGTTGTTCTCCCCATCAACCGAAGGCAGAAATAGTTGCTGACCCTTCGCAGGATGCCTCTGAACGAATCCCCTATCGGTTCTCCTATCGCTCTGACTCATCTGATCCCACCCGACTCGACAACGCTCTTGATGTATCAGATGATCTCTACCATTCCCTTCTCAAGCCTGGCCTGAAGACAACCGAAGACTCTATCAGTCTCCAATATACCCCCCAAGCAATATTTCGAGTCCGTGCCGTATCAAGATGCTCCTCCTCAATACCAGGGCACGGGGAAGCCATACTAGCAACAGCGTTCTCGCCTTCGTCATCATCAAGACTAGTAACAGGCAGTGGAGATTCGACTGCTCGGATATTCGATTGCGACACTGGAACACCCATTCACACTTTGAAAGGCCACACGAGTTGGGTGCTGGTAGTCAGCTGGTCTCCAGATGATTCGACGGTAGCTACAGGTTCGATGGATAACACAGTCAGATTATGGAACCCCAAGACTGGCGAATCACTAGGTGCACCCCTCAAAGGTCACAGTAAATGGACCACCAGTTTAGCGTGGGAACCTTACCATCTCCAGACGCCTGGCCGACCACGGCTCGCCTCTTCTTCGAAAGATTCCACCGTAAGGGTATGGGACATTGTCTCTAAGAGGATCGAATTGGTGCTCAGTGGTCACAAGGGATCTGTATCCTGCGTTCGCTGGGGTGGGACCGGCAAGATATATACATGTTCGCACGATAAAACGGTAAAGATCTGGAATGCAAGTGACGGTACTCTCGCACATACGCTCTCCTCCCATGCCCATTGGGTCAATCATTTGGCTCTCTCCACAGACTTTGTACTACGAACGGCCTATCATGACCACACAGGTCATGTGCCACCAACGCAGGAAGGCAAGATTGCAAAGGCAAAAGAGCGCTTTGATAAAGCTGCAACCATTAGCAATGAGATAGTTGAGAGGCTAGTGACGGCCAGTGATGACTTCACAATGTATCTATGGGAACCATCCAAGACTACCAAACCTCTTGCTCGCCTTCTTGGGCATCAAAAACAGGTAAATCACGTTACGTTCTCCGCCGACGGTCTTTTCATCGCCAGCTCTGGCTGGGACAATCATGTCAAGCTATGGAATGCAAGGGACGGGAAGTTCATTGCTACGTTGAGAGGCCATGTTGGGCCAGTATATATGACTTGTTTTAGCCCCGACAGCAGGCTGTTGGTTAGTGGAAGCAAGGACACCACGCTGAAGGTATGGGAAATTAGGACTGCAAAGTTGAAAGAAGACTTGCCAGGGCATCAGGATGAGGTGTACGCAGTTGATTGGAGTCCCGATGGAAGCAAGGTTGCGAGCGGAGGGAAAGACAAGGCGGTGAGAGTGTGGAGACATTAAAACGTTTGGTGAAGCAGCCATTCAATGACACAAGCTCATCTATGTTGAGTCATGATTATGTCATCTTCTTGAACAACGGGTGCTACGACATAAGTCACAGTTCGGTTATGCAGAAACAGTAAGGGAGACCCAGCACCAGGTAGTGGCGACGATGTCTTCACTTGGCTGATTGCTGGTATGACGTTCAGACATCATCCCTTCAATCGCCATCTCCTCCCCATCAACGCCAAGCCATGGCTAGATACGGCTCCAATCATGTACCCGTTGACGTGATTCTCATCTCTGACCGCCATCATAGCCATCCTCTCCAGTAGCAAATATACCTCAGGTTCGTATAGCTGCTAGCGTGACACTTTGGATCCTGTCCTCTCGTCGCTGCCAGACTCGGCCTTCGGTCCCCGCCGCGACATCCTCCCCCAGATGGATGGGTCTCCGGTCCATATGTCTGGTCTGGAGTAACCGCTTCGGTCTACTAGACGACCGTCTAGATGGCCTTCCAGGTATCTCTTCACGTCCAGCCCCAACGATAGGGGTCGTGCCATTTTTTCATGATGCGCATCCTTGGCATAAGGATCTCGCTCCCTACCCGATGGTCCGGTCCGCTTATACGGATTGTTCATTATACACTCATCTTTTGTTGGGTTTGTTGCTCATTCAGGTTAGATTCAGGGGATGTCGGACCGGGATCAAGCACAACACGTAACCGTGGTCACACTACTCGCTTCTCTGAGTACCTTAGTTGGCTGATGAAAACCTCGCTAAGCTTTTCGAACTCACGCAGTAACCGATTTGATATTGGAGCTATAAAAGTATTGGATAGTTGGCTCGCGAGATTGCTAATCATGATTCATAGCCGAGGGCGGGTAGCGTAAGATGTATGAAGTTTCGCTGGACACGCCTTGGCTTTTCTCGCTCATACGCTTCGTGACGAGTTGTTCAGATCCAATGCAGAGCAGCTGACGCCCCGGCCTGATGTCTCTCTCAGCTCTGCGGATTAACAAGCCACACTCGCCCCAGCGACGGTAGATCTATGAACTTGGTTGGGCATCTTTTCCTTTTCTTCGCTCATATGCTTCGTGACGGCTTGTTCAGATCGAAGTAATCTTGGGCAGCTGACGCACGTTGACTTGAGAATTATCACTCTCAGCTTTGAGATTAGCAAGCCACCCTCGCTATCTTTTGTCTTCGGCCTGAGATCTCTCGGCTCTAGCGTTAGCAAACCACTCTCACCGCAGTAATCCTTCACGGCTAGGTTTCGTCCTTGACCTAAGATGGTCTCAGTTTTGAAGTTAGCAAAGCCACCCTTGCCTCACCAAGCGTTCACGGCCGTGTTTCGTCCTTGATTCATCTTGCAAGCAACATGCTTGCGGTATTCGTGGGCTGAGAATGCGGCAAGATTGGGCACACCTGTCACTTGTCTAAGATCATCTAAACACCCACAATCTAGGCCAGGTCGCTGCACGCTGCAAGTGACTTCTCTAATACCTTACGATATGCAACCACAGCTACTAGCTAGACTTGGAGTTTAGAGTCGTTCAAGACCCATATGCACGGTACACGAGTGCGCATGGCGACAATCCGTCCACGTCGTCCAGTACTACTAGCCCAGATGGATGCTTGGGTGTATCCTTGGGTGTCCAATCAAGCTATGACTTCTTGGATGGCACGCATCTAGTCCCCGCTGTTGGGGACGCCTCGTCTTCAGACGAAGCGTATCACCACCAGTCCGTTCTGTACGTGAGCGAAGACGGTTTGACAGCCTCCCAGCTTCCGATTCGCGATCCGAGTTCCAAGTGGTGGAACAATGGCTTTTAATGGTCTAGGATGGAAAGAGTATGGGAGGAATGATCTTTTGAATCGGTCTGAGCACTAAGTCGGAGGCGGATGTCCATTACCAATTTGATGTCCGGAGAGGCCACGTTCTATTGAGGGCATCTTTCCCTGGTCATTGATTTGTCTTATGCAGTCTTTCATCTGGATAGTGGCTGAACCAATATCTCACGACGCAAACGACAATCGAATGTCTTGTGTTTCTCCTGCGCGGTCAATCTTAAAGTGAACACTGAATCAACCGATATTCGTTTCGAAATCCAATATCGGTGTCCGACTCTACTCAGCAAGACTCAAAGATTTAGTGCTCCCTGAAACTATAAGGATCGAGATAACTCTATGGAACGGACTTATGCCGTTCGCCAAGGGTATCCGTCACCCTCCGGCAGTGCGTAGCCCTAGAGAAGCACCTGCGCAGACAACGTGTGAACTAGGACTCATCTTCAGAGAAACAAACGTTGTGAGGCACGCCAGCAACCATGGCATCAATAACTACCCACACATTCCTCATGCCTTTTACTTCCGATAATTTCTTTACCACTTTTTATCTACGCTCTTGCCTGCGCAACGGATAATCTTTGGGGGTTCGGTTGAGAATTAGGCGTATTCCATGGGGCTTTTGCGCACAAGTGGTAGGAAGTGGTACGCGATTGGTAGATTTTGGGCATCATAACAGGGCAGTAAGTCTGGATCATGCAATAGTGGCGTTGAGAAGCCCGTTTAAAATGCTTTGAGTTGTGATCCATTTGCGTTTCAGTAACGCTTTGGAGTACGCGCCTTTCATTCAAGGACTCCGTGAGTGATCTATCCCACCATGCTATTGGTCCACCCATCTCATTAGGTGTCACGCTTCTCTCGCTCTTTCTTGCCGTTATTCTTCATCCATTTTGCAATTCTGGGTCGTCCTAATAGAGCGGAGACATGATCCCTTCTTGTGAAGCCAATTGAATAGTTTCAGCGCGATAGAGCCACAACCAGGAAGAAACAGGAGATTTGAAAGCATTGCGGTTAGGGTCAGGCCCAACCATCGGTAGTATCCCAGTAGTACCTTCACCGCCTCCCGTTGATCTTCAGCAACGGCGTCCCTCAGACTCGGAGCTTATCTAGAGAGTTTTTTCTGGAGGCTTCTGGGCCTCCAGAAGAGAAGCTCTCTAACGAATTCGAGTTTGCTTTGGCTCCAAATCCCACGTAACGGGCGAGCGGGCAGGTGCGCACCACTGACATAGGGAGAAAGGTCGATCTGCGTATTGCTCTTAGTATCTGAGTAGGTAGTTGGAGATAGCTTTGATCTTACGTATTCCTCCATCCCGTCACTACTACGCATGTAATTCACGGCGGCTACTAGTCTCTGTAGAAAGTCTACAGTAAACCAATCCAGTGCAAAGATCTTGGTTTGTTCATCGCGCAGATGGACAGCTTTTGGCCCCGGGTCTTTGCGAGCATTACTGAGATAGAAGAGACGTGTGCAGAAGCGAAGACGAGTGAAGTCTGAGTTGAGGGCGATGTAGAAGCTTCGACAGACATGTGGCAGTGAGTGTGTCTCTGATAGAATGTAAATCTCTTCCAATAGCTCGACGGGCAGCCTCATAAAGGGACCAGGCAAGACACGCCCTGATGAGACAGACATGGTTCGCTGTTGATTCATAGAATGCGTATCGATATGGCACGGTGGTCACCAGAGTAGTGGACGATAGCTGGACAATATGCTACAAGTGAGAGATTGAAGACAAAAGTTTGATCATATCAGCGAGTGGCGACGACAGAAATGACAGAGATTCACAGAAATTCCAAGGCTTAATGCTTGGCGTTCCTGGCATAGAAACGACGCTAAATGTCCTCGACGTCAAGTCCTGTCATACAGCTATCAAATCGAAGGTCAGAAGAAGAGAGTACGCCGAAAAGAGGCCTCACAAGCATTGACGCAGCCATGGACTATCTCGGAGACGATGACTACCCTCCTCCTCCACCGCCCCAATCTCAATTCATGCAACCCACCGCCCCACCTCCGTCCCTCCCAGCCTACACCACCGATCCCTACAACGGCATGCCCCCACCCCCTACCGGCGAGTACCCGGACCTCCAGCAACTCATGCAAGCCTGTCAAGACCACGCCCGCCTCCACGGCTACGCCTGCGTGACCGCCAGCAACAATTACAAACGGGGCATCGCATACGTGCGCTGCGACCGCGGCGGCGACTATGTCAACCACTGGAAGCTGACCGACGAGACACGCGTGCGGAAGAATCGGAAGAAGAGATTGGTTGGCTGCAAGTGGAAAGCGAGAGCGAAGAGAAATTCGACGGGCACCTGGGTGTTGACCATGATGGAAGATAAGCACAACGGACACGATCCGTCAGGCGACGCGACGAATCATCCGAGTCTGAGGCAGTTACCGGCTGAGGCCGTGGAGGAGGCGAGACAGGCGTTCAAGGCGGGGAGGAGTCCGAAGCAGGTGCTGGAATTGTTGCAGCAGCAGTACAACCCGGCGGTGACGGCGCAGGATGTTTACAATCTGAAGGCGAAGATTAACCGGATTGATAATTCGGCGACTGCTTCCCCTCTTACATCCAGGACCGAGGCGGATATACCAACTGATCCGTCGCTGCACATGCAAAGTTCGTACCAGCTTCTTCTCGTCTTCGAGAATACGCTAAAGTAACGTTGCAATAGGCTCCACCCAAACCCTTTTACCTGGCAGCCCGCATCCCCTTAATGGTGTTGTATCTGCTGCTCACAAGTGCCAATGCACATGCTGCGATCATTGAAGGCCCAATCGTACCAGCATCCTCGATCAGCCCAGCATGATTGCAGTGAAGCTTACGAAGGTACACTTGAATGCTTCTTTCATCTGCTCTCTTCTCACCACTTTGAGTCGCATCGTCACCAATCTCGGCACCAGATTGGGTCACGAGCACCATTACAAACAATATTTACCAGACGACAAGCATTGCTAGGAGCGTTTTGCACCGTTAGAACTAGAGCTGACCGGCAGGGCGTTAAGAAAATGGACATGCGTGCATCTAGCTCTTTGCACGAAACCGTATCTGTTTCAACCAGAGGCGTCAGGGGCCGGGTTTAGCCAGTCTGCTCAGCTAGATACCCAGCACATGTATGCTTAGAAAAATGCAAAGAATGTTCACACGACACACATTCGTGCTTCAGAAATCTCGGTTCTATGTACTGCCAAACAGGGTATTATAGGCGAACTCCCAGCGCTACACGCATTCATGAGGCATGAATCCAACCTCCCACGCACCAGGCGCGTCCTTCACAACCACAAAGCCGTCAACATCCCGACCCCCACAGTCAACAACCCCACCCACGAATCCCCCTTCCTCCCCCCTCCATTCATCTTCGCCGCCAAATAAGCCAGATACTCGCCCGCCTCCCCCTTCCCCTCCGCCTCCGCCTCCAACCTCCCCACCTCCCTCCCAACCTCCTGCCCAAACTCCCCAACCACATTCCCAGCCGGCCAATACTCACACACGACCAACCAGCCCGGCACGCCCCCCTGCCCATCACAATCCACCCGCCCGCACCCCACACCCGTCGTCCCCTTCCAGACCAGCTGCGAAAAATGCCCCGTCGACTCGCTGAACCCGCCTCCGTTCCTGAAATCGTACCGACTGCCCTCCCGGCCCCACGCGTCGACCGCGTCCGTCACGTTCGCGTAGCCCTCGGCGAGATTCTCGCCCGCGGCGCCGTGCGAGTGGTTGAAGTGGCATTTCGAGGCCCAGGCGGTGGCGTAGGTGGCGAGGGAGGCGTTCCAGGCCAGGGCGGTGGCGTTGTAGTTGGCGCGGTAGGTGTTGGTGCTGTTGAGGATGGAGGATTCGAAGGTGCTGTCGGAGGTGTATTGCGCTGATGCGGAGGGTGTGGAGCTGGTGGGGGAGGAAGGGGAGGAAGAGGGAGAGGGAGAGGAAGAGGTGGCTGCCGCGGCGGTGTAGGTGGAGGTGGAGGTTTCGACGACGAGGACGGCGGCTGTGAGGGTGGATAGGAGGGGGATGAGGATGATGGGGAGGGGTGGGAGATGCATTGCTGTGGGCAGGTGTAGGGTTGGGAGGAGAGCGAGTGGCGACGATGAGGGAGAAATGCAGAGGTTGATGGCTAGTATGAACAGACGAGTGTCAAACAGATGAGGGCCATTGTTAGAATATATCAGCGACCAAAGACGAGGGGACAGCGGTTAGGCATCTTGATTATCATGACGCCCTTTTGTCGAACACGTAAATACAGGTTTTTGGTTTCATAAGTAGTGTACAATGAAACACGACTTTATTTGAGAAAGCTATTCATATGTACGGGGGTTTGAAATTGCACGTTTCATGGAGAATGATTCGCCGTGGTCTTTTGATTTGTCGGCGGCTGCGCTTGCAAGCGTGCAAGCCAGCGGCAATGTCTTGGCCATTGTGGATACTTTGACGTCGGCAGAGGGTTTTTCGTAATGGTTAACATAGGCTAGTTATAACACTCTGCGCGGCCTACATGTTCACTCGTAGAAGCCCTGGGAGGCGTATCGATCCGGTGTTTAGATGTACAAATGGCCTCCCCCACCTCGACTTCGGCTCATGATGATCCGCTCTCGCAGGAAGAGCTGTTACAATCGCGCTACGCGGATTGGAAACAACGATTCGATGGTAGGATGATGCCGGAGTTGCGGAAAAAGCACATATTCTCGGCGTCTTGGGAAACGTTGTGGCATGATGCATGGACCGAGTATGATCAATTAGAGAGAGTGAGACTTGAAGAAGGCTTCCCGAAGCAGACTTGGCAGGATGAAGTGGAACATGATCGGAGACTATCCGAAGGTATGAGGAAGTATAAATCTAGGTCTGTATCTTTGACAGCCTCCGATTGGTCGCAAGTACCTCTGGGCATGATACTAGAGAAGTACTTGGGTACGAGCATTCGCAGCGGAGACAGAGATGCGGCTGTAGCCCTCGCTAGATGGCGCAGATTTCGCGAGGTAGTTGCAGAGCAGCCACAGTTCTGCCGCTCTCTATCATTTTCTCAAAAGGTCTCATGGACCATCTTGACACACTGGTGGTCAGGAACCTATCAAGATTCAAGCTTGTCGAATGCCGCAATAGCGTCTCTCGAAGCCGCTGCTTCTTCTCCAGTCCCAATGATCTACTTCTTTGGCGAGGCATACCCAGACGCAGAAACATTCACCCAACTTCGAAAATCTGTGTATCACTCAATCATGTTCGATCTTTTCAACCGGGAATTCAATCCGCATCATTGGGAACCACACGTCAGGGGAATCCTACTCACCACTCTTCGGTTTACAAGGTCTAAGGCCGTCCAGCACGCAACAGCTCAGAGACTTGGTTATACGTCTTATATGAACATCAAAGGATGCAGGACATATGACGCCGGCTTCTACATGGGTTCAATGGACAAGCCTTGCCCTTGGCTACGCAGAGAAGGCGACCATAAAGAAATGCCTTTTTTCCTCTGGGACGTCGAACAAAGGCGTACTGTGATAGTGAACGATCTGAGCACTGAGCCAGTGTACTGTTGTGTAAGTCATACCTGGGGTCGATGGCGGAAAGAAGCTATTCCGATAGATGGAGTGCCTTGGCTTGTCCCACGGAATGAAAAGTTTGAAGTCGAGAGACTGCCTGAGCATCTACAACAAATTCGACCACAGATACGCTTCATCTGGATCGATCTCTTTTGTATTCCTCAGGATGGGTCCAGAAAGGCGGATGAGGAGATAAATCGTCAAGCATTGATCTTCCAGAATGCTTCTCGCTGCATAGCCTGGATAAATGACGCAAGACAGTGGAATGGGACTATGAAAGCCTTGGACTGGCTTGGAATCTCCTATTTGCATGCCACTACTTGTCCTGGTATTTATGACACTGACACGCTTCTACCTCCCCTGCGTCATGAAGCCGATACTACCAGCGAGCTGTTCTCATCGCAAAGCGATCCTGCCGAAGTGGAAAAACGGCATTCTGCCGGGTTGCTAGCAGCAACTGGCCCACGCGCGGCACTGTCAAATGATGTTGAGACGCTTGCGGAACCTGCGAATTGGTTCTCCTCGCTTTGGACCCTCCAAGAAGCAATGCTTTGTCCTAGTATCACCTTTGTCGCTCAAGACTGGATGCCATTGAACGATAGAGCTGGAACACCTGTACCTCTTGACACTTTCTTTACATTCATAGACACCGTAGAAAGTGTCTGGCGCAACGGAATGCCATATAAGGTCTTCACAGAGGGCACCATGACAAAATATTCGAAATATAGTATCTTCCTCCAATCCGACGAGCATTTCCGATCCGACAAGCATCTATACTTGAAATGGCCCAACGGCCCAAGACAGCTTCAGGACTTGTGTCTGATTACGAGAATGGACAATCTCCTCGAATCACCATCTCCAATCGGGCTGCTAATGGTGGCAAACGTTCGCCAATGTACAGGCAGCAGAGCACCGGCTATCATGTCTGCTCTAGGGATCACGGATTGGTACAACTCCGAGTCGGAGGCCCACACGGACTTAGTCCTGGATACCTACCCTTTAGCGTTTGTTAAGGAGGCTGCATCGAAGCTGGGTGCATCGTTTTACGAATCTGTGACAAGACGTCAGAACATACCAAAGTGGTATGATATATTCAATCGCTCACATAAGGGCTCTATGATGCCTTTCTCCGCCACCAACGGTTGGTATTCGCGCATTCTTGCAATGCCAATCCAGCACAGGTACACTCCAGAAGATCATCCGGCGGTGAAGACATGGACAATCAAGCAAGACGGGAGTGTGGGCATCAAGCGGGCAGGCATTGTAGCTTCAACGGAGTTTCCAAATCCTAATGACTCACAAATGCAGATTCACATCATGAAGGGTGAGTTTCTGGAGAAGGATTGCCGATTTGGTGATTGGGCAAAGAATCTGCCGGAAGGGGTATGCGCGTACGCTGTCAGCCTGCTGCAGGATTCCCAGAGGCAATATGGTTTGATCTTCCAAGGCTATCAAAAGATGTGGTTCTCAACCCAACGCCTAGTGAAGGTTGGCACATTCATGCTCCCTGAGATTGACTTACCGCCTACTACAGGCGTGGACTGGGTGGTCCGGTGACTACGAGCTGGCAGATAGTAGCGGTAGAAGAACAGGACTCTACGAAGTGATTTATCGCACAAGTTACCGAGCGATACAAGAAACATGAGCTTTCGTCTGACGGTCGTTCGCGCCGAAGATTCCTTCGTTAGTGCGCTGCGGGTGTTACTCCGAAATGCTTGGTTTACTTCGCTCTGGACTTTACTACGGCAACCCATTTCGACCAGGGGGTCAACCACCGAAAATCCATTTTCCATTTTTCCATTTTCCATTTTCCATTTTCCAATATTCGCTTATCCCACAACATTGCTCCACACCAAGGCAATTAATTTAGATTCTGAAGAGTGTAGATTATAGCGCGCATTCTATAATATAATTTAGAATTCGAAATCACATAAATTGACTTAATATTGGCGGAGTAATATTCAATTGGAGGTTTTGGAGCCATCTACCTTGACTGCAGCCCACTCCCCAACCAGTGGTAATGACTCCACAATAATCACAGAAGCTTTGGGCATGATAATTCCAAGTCTTCTTTCAATAATAGAACACTATTTAATGAATCACATCTGAGTGTTATAGAGCCATCGCTTGCGTTTTGATAGATCGATAAATAAATCGGGAGGTGGCTATGAAAAATGATTTTGCGATTTTACGATTTTCAAAAATTCGAAATTGCGGGGTTGACCCCCTGGTCGAAATGGGTTGCCCTACTTACAAGAGATGTTCCTTCGCGCAGACGCTTCGATTGTGGTCAAGGCTGCAAAGTCGTTGGAGCGCAAAGGAGGCAATGGCAACAACCTTGGGCTTGCGAATCTGATCGTCAACCGTACCAGTGTCTATGCTGAACTAACGCGCAGAGCCGTCAACGGCCAGCGTCCCCCCAAGAAAGAACACGCGGCAATTTTCAATCTGATAGAGAAGCTAGGTCCGTACCATAGGCTGTGGGAGAAATCCATGCTGCTGTTTGGCGCAGCTCGACACTGGCAGACACGAGATCCCAACGATCGCGTCTACGGCATTATGCAAACATACGGGTCCAAGCTTGGCCGGTCCTTCCAGCCCGCAGAACTTCGCCCTGGAGGCTCTCAAGCTCCTGCTTGCTACAGCTCAGAACACTCAGTCCACAATGTCTGCTCAGCTATTCGTCCACACAAGGCGTATCGAGTTGGGTAAATTGCTGACGGGTGGATTCCGATTCCAAACTCCCACAAGTCCTCGCGATCACCGAGTCCGATCGCAAGAGCCTGTGCGAAACATCGTTCGAGACGGTTCAAACGCCGACTCTCGGAGGAAAATCCTGTCTTCCAAATGACCTCGCCATGCTTTGGCAGCAGGCTTCTTCGCCGCAGGAATCCAACGCATTGCAAACCATCCTGCTGGTCGTTACAGATTTCAGCGAGCAGATTGTTGGGAGCGTTAGTCGACGGTGTGGATGAAGACATGGATGTCATGGCTGGTCTGATCGTTCACCGGAAACCTTACGAGACAGCGTGTGGTGGCAACGGTTTGGGATTGACCTTTGGGAATCAGCGCCCCAAGCGTCGGTGGAAGGGTCCAGGCGGAGGCTGGTACAATTTCGATGGCAGTTTGGCTTGGTCGAGCTTTAGTGGGACGCATGATCGAATCCAGGCGGTGAGGACTTTTGACTAGTACGTTGAGTGCGCTCTGTCTCGGCCGGCTATTCTCGGTCTCCGTGCGCGAAGTCTTAAGCTACGAGAACTTGAACAACGATGCATGGAAGCTCACTGTTGGATGAGAGCAAGCTTTGAAAGCCTCTTGCTTGTGATTACTGCATTGTTATCGCGGGTTCGATACTCCCAGTACACTCACCGAATCCTACAAGGCCGCCTTCTTCACCTCCGGCCCGACCCTTCAGTGTCAGTGTATTATAGTCTTTTAAGAAAGTCCTCTCGTCTCCACCGTGTAGCTGTATCTTATTATTCCCATTCGCACTGAGCTCCAACATACTACCGGACATAGTGCCTGGCTCTGTTCCGCTTACCGTTCCCGATCCCAGTAGATCGCCTACTTGCATGGGACAGCCACCAGCTGTATGATGTGCGAGCATTTGAGGGAAGGAGAAGAGGAGATATTTGCCGTTGGTACCGGCGATCGTGGTTGAGGTGCCAGATTTGGCTGCATAGATCGTTAGGACATATGGAGATACCCCAATGGAGTTGGCCATAATCGTCAACTCAACCTCTAGGTTCAGGTCGTAGACATTTTCTTCCTTCCCCTCTCGCATATATGGCAGCACTCCGTTCTCGTTCTCGATTCCGCTGGCCCTGAACGGCTCCAATGCATCCATCAATACGACCCATGCACTGCCACTTGTTCCGAAGATCTTCGAATTGAATGGCCCAAGTGGTACCATTTCCCATGCCTGTATGTCCCTTGCAGACCAGTCGTTCATCAGAACCAAGCCGAAGATATTCTCCTCCGCCTCTTTGATTGACACGGGCTCCCCCATCTTGTTGGCCTTGCACACGAACGCACCCAGCTCAAGCTCGAAGTCCAGACGTTTGGAAGGAGTGAAGATCGGCTTTGGAACTTCTGCAGTCGGGTTTCCCATGACCTGGCCATGCGGTCTGCGGATCGAAGTGCCAGAGACAGCCACCGAAGAAGCTCGGCCATGGTAGCCGACAGGCAGGTGCATATAGTTCGGGTGTAGAGCATTGTCGATGCCGCGAATCAGGGCACCAGCATTCTAAGCATGGTGCTTGCCGACGAAAAAGTCGGTGTAGTCGCTAATGCGGAAGGGGAGGTGGGTCTCGACATCTTTCAGTGGGAAGAGACCTGTCGTAGGGTTTTGTGACACCCTCAGCAGGACTGAATTTTGACCCTTCTGCAAAGACCTTTGGGAGAAAATGGCGAACCTCTCGATGGACGGCGCGCCCTAGTGCTGCGAAGTCGTTGAGGGCGGGTTGAGAGAAAACCTCGAGATGTGATGTGATCGCCCGACAGTCCGAGGAGCCCGAACATAAGGCGAACACGGAGAGATCAAGAGCATGTTCTCCAGTTGCTACTCCGACGTGCGGAGAAGATGAAACAGGTGTTGTGATTATTCCGAAAGGAATGTCGGCGAGGGAGAAAGGGGAGTCAGGGGCGATATCTAGCCAGGATCTAGGCGCCATTGTTTTGACTTTCGATGAGGCACTCTGTTGCCACGGGCAGCTTCACAGCTTCGCTCGGGAAGGTTGGAATTTTTGAAGTAGGCCATAGCGAACGCAACGTCAGCGCTAATGCAAACTTTGCGTTGCTGTGAATCGAGGAGGTCACGTATCGGACGCACTAATGCAAGTCACGTGACTAGTGCGCCAAGGCCCCGGATGCAACCTGGAAACAGACTAGGCCTGAATGATACGGCGGACGAGGGCTGACACTACGACAAAACCGAAATCAATTTTTTTTTCTTTGATTTTTTTCTCCTTCCCGCGACTTTAAAAAAATATTTGAAGAGATTTTTTTAAAAAATATTTTAGAGAGATACTTTAGGGGATTCTTTAGGGGGTACTCGAGGGGGATTTAAGAGATTATTCGAGGATATACTTTTAAGGATACTTTAGAGAGCACTTAGAGATGTGTGTGGGAAAGCGGTCGTACGCTTTCAAGCCTACAACTAGTATAAGTAACTGTTTAGTGACGGACTACTAGTGATCACCTTTTGGTCTAGTCGTAACGAGCATAACCCGCCCCGCTTCTCTTAGGGGGTTACTTGAGGGGTTTCTTAAAGAGTTACTTGAGAAATCACTCGAAGAAACACTCGAAGTGCGAAAAAGAAGTTTTCTTAAAAGAATTCACGGAAAGTTCTGCGGAAAGTCCCGTAGAATTTTTTATTTTTTTTGCGCGAACTTCATGGTACCTGGGAGGATACTCGGAAAAGTACCCGAAAGAGTACCCCGGAGAATACCCCGGAGAGTACCTCGGAGAATATTCCGGAGAGTACCCCGGAGAGTAGCCCCTAAAGAGTACCTTAATAAGCTTAATAAGTACTTCTCGAAGAGTTAAAAATAGTGTACGCGTAGCAGCTGCCTAAAAATATTCTAAAAAGAATATTTTGAAGAAATTTACTAGAAATCGCGAAGACGAAAATAAAAAGAGAATTTTTATTTTATTTTATCGTAGTGTCAGCCGTCGTCCGCCGTAAATAAGGCGTAGGGCCAACAACTAACAAGCAAGGTTGAAAGCGAAATGAAACAACAGCAGCACAGCGAATTTACGACAGTCAAGTGTCAAGTGTCCATGATGTGACGAAGTGAAGAGTAAAAGACCAATCCGACAGAGAGAATGCATAGATCTCTATGGGATCCATCACTCAAGCCGGATCGTCGTATACAGGAAGTATTCCATCTCAGAGTCAGACCAACAATCGCTGGCGTCGATATGCCTGTCTCGCTTCTCGCTTCTTTTTAGCCTTCTATGGTACCGAATTAATTGACTTATAAGGTAGTATTTCATTATAAGGTAGTATCGCATATCAAGGCTCCATCAAGCAACTGACTTATTAATAAATACTCTGGGCAACGTGCGAGCAAAGCAGAGAGCTAGTCAGGAAATTTTGAAAGCTGCGGGCCGGCTTTTGCTGGGTTTTCCAGTAAATAATCATGTCATCCTGCATCAAACATGTTCCTCCCCATAAGAAAAGAAAGTCATAGAGCACTTTTGGCCGTGCACAGGACCTTCTTGCCTATCAGTGCAGACTTGCACGTGTCGCACCCAGTCTATCATTAACATTGCTATATCGGTTGGGAAGAGAATGTCATTCTTTTGTTCCTTCAATGGATTACTTTTCCTGCTTTGGCTACAGGTCAATCACAATCACGCTGCACCTGCAGCCGAGTGTATACCATTGGTTCCGCTGTTAGATGCTAACGCGGGATCGATAAATAACTTGCTGGATATCTCATGTGCAACTGTATATGTGTTTGACAATATAACATTCAGTGGCGGCTCTCCAGGACTCATCGCTGGAAAGACCACGCTACTCCCCGGTGGACCACCAGCTATCATCTCACATCATACATTCTCCCTTGGACCATCAGGAAGTTCGGTTGCCGTCGACGGGACACTCACAGCTTTGTCACAGCAAACACCGACCAAGACTCCCGCTCCAGGTTCCACCAAAAGTGCTGGATCCCCTTCCACCACTGTGACTTTGTCGACGTACACAGTCGACGGAATCCCTCTAACTGGCAACCCTACAAGCCTCGTTTCAGGAAGCAACACACTTACACCCGGCGCTGCTCCCGTAACAATATCGAGCCATATTTTGTCGATCCCCATTTCTGCGAGTGAAGGACAGATCAGTGTCGATGGGACCTTGACTACTTTACCAACCCAGCGCCCAGCAAGTAGCCGAACTCAATCAGTCTTGTTGACTTCGCTATATGAGATCCTCGGTGTCACTTCAACTGATACTGTACCTCCTCCCAATCTTTCAACTCAATTGGTCACTAGTACTTGGACCTCCAATACTTGGTTGACAACCACGGTTGGTGGGCAGGAGACGATTGTGCCCGTTCTTGTGGGCTGTGCTCACTGTGGAGGTACCGGCGGAGGCGTGATTGTCTGGAATTACCCTCCACTCCCAGGTGTAACCTTTCAATTTCCAAAACTGCCAAATGGAGACATCGTGGATCCTTTCCATTTGCCCTGTATCCCGGTCCCTTTCATCAGCAGTTGCGCGTCTCCACCTGTCGACGATCCTCCTGTGGATGGCGCTGCTGGTGGACCTGATCCCAATCCAGAATCCCCAGATCCAAGGACGCCCTCTTTAGCCTCCTCTCCAGATCCAAGGACGCTGTCCTTAGCCTCCTCTCCAGGTTCAAGGACGTCGTCTCTGGCCTCTTCCTCTACTATGTCATCGACGACCTCTCGACAGCTATGTTCAGCTTTATGCTCTGCGTGTGCGAACAATGACCCTCCTTCATCCTATCCTTCGCCTGCAAAATTCAAGAAACGCGTTGTATCGCTTCCCCAGAAAATCTCTTCGAGGTATCAGAGTGCATCGAAACTAAAGAAGCGCGTTTTATCTTTACCTAGCGACGCACCGTGGAATGGAAATCTGGACTCTTTCCTCTACGACCAGATATCGATTGCAGAAGATGCTCACAATGATGTACCTCTCAGAATTCAAGGGGTAAAAGGCATCTCATCCTCTCTCGCAATTCCACTGCGGGCCCTCCCCTTGAGTATGGTTCTACAGGGAATGTACGGCTGCACCTCGGTGATTGTCATATCTAAAGGGCTTGTTTGGGGTTCACATTTATGGGAGAGTGAGGGCTTCTTATCGGGTGAAGATAATTTCAAAGCTAGCATCATCAATGTGTTAGGTTCCGGGGATGGTACTCCTGAAATGCCTGGTCTTTCCCAATTCACAGCAGTCGGTGGCCGACTCTCCCGTGCCACCAACCCACAAGTGTTCATCGTAACCCCTGGATTTGTCTCAGGATCAGGAGCCATGTTTCATCCCCAACGAGTGGGAGAAATTACTGATAAGCTCAAGGAGATTCTTGGTCAGAATGTACCCTTGGAGCCGATTCTGTATGATCCCGTGGACAAACCGCCTGAGCCGGATAGCGATGACGGCAGCCACGAGGATGACGAATGGACCCCTGACGGGAGATTTTTATTTCAGTACGACCCTAATCAGATGCAATGCAATGGTGTTCAGACGGCCATGTGGAGACTCTGGATCGAAGGCGAGCTCCTTAAACAGGGATCCTGGGATGCCACGAACGAACAGCTCGTTCCACGTCAAAAGCGTCGAGATCTTGAATCCGCAGGCGCAGCTGTTTGCTCAGCTTCCAGCACTAGCCCAGCTTCCCCACCACCCTCGACATTTGCCATATACCTTGCGCTGAAAAGCCTCGAGAAAGAAGTGATTCAGCCTAACGGATTACCCATAGAGTCCTATGTTGAACTCTACGACGAAGCCTGGGAAATAACTGGAGACTCCGAGCCAGACTACTGCGACACCCCCACCAGGTCTACGGTGATCAGTGGCGCAATACCAATCATCAATAACCCATACCCTACCACTACTATCACGAGTCTCCAACCATCGGGAACATCTGGACCCACGTGCAATTGGATCCCAAGCCCGAGCGACGACGCGGGCTATCTCAGCTGCAATTCCAATCCTACCCGCGTAGCCTGCCTGAGTCCGGACGCACCGGAGACCACATGCGGGAATGGGGACTCATGGGTTCTTCCAGCTGTGCGGTGTATTTGGCAAGGAGATTGAGGTTCTGTGCTTCGCAATAGAATAGGATGCGACCTCTGGGTTAGCACACCTGAAATCGAATGATAGTGCCGTCGTGGCTCAGCGTTGATAGCGTCCAGAAGAACGGCGCTGATGGTCCATAAAATTTATAAGAACATAATAATAATCTTAATCTGAATCGTGTTAGTACACCTTATTACATGTACAAGACAAATTGATTCTTTCGGGCAATGCACTCCGCGGCGCAAGCCAGATTGATCTTCACGGGCCGATCACGCCTTGCAAAAAGGATGGCCAAGCTTGACATCGCAATTGCGCTCGGATCAAGCTACCAGTTCGAGAGGTGTGTTCTACGGGCCGCCTTTTGTGATTCATTACGTGAGTACTTCTAGCTCGAGCATCTGTATTAATTATCGAATATCCTTCAACAAATCTCGATACGAAAGATAAAAAACAGAATCAGACATTGATAAAATCTTAGGAATCAGCTCATTGCATCTGACAGCTCTGACAATGGAAGATAAACCAAACGCTAACTTCGATCTACTTTAGTAGGATGCGTAAGTGTGTGAACATGATTCCCTCTGCCTTCCTTATCCGGAAACCAACAACTGGTTTCGGAAGAGATGTAGCTCAGGCCAATGTTCCCACCGAATCGGTCTTTCAGCAAGCATAACGGCGTCAAGTCGAACTCTCTAATCAAGGGTTGATGAATTCCGTAAGCATGTTAGTGAGCAGAACCCTCAAGTGCAGAGGTACTACGCTCACTCTGCCGTAATACGACTTGGATTTTCAATTTTTTTTTTTGCAACAGCTGCGCGCAGTGCAATGATTTCGAAACACCAGCCCACGCCTGAATCAACTCGGCCGCGAAGGATTCTCTTTTCCGAGCAAGGAGCGAATGGGGCTCTTCAGGCGTCTCTCAGTTTGCGCAGCTCAGAGAACGAAAAAAAAAGAAAGAAAGGGAAATCTCTTTATTTGAAGTATAGGTCATACATACATAGACTTGATGGTGCGGTCGGAGTGCTGCTTTCAACAACTCGGATGGGAATCCCAATGCACCAATACCCCAAACCAAGAAAACCCTCACGGAAAGCAACCAAAAGGGTGGCCGCTTGCAAAATGTTGAAAAGGTGCATGATGAAAGGTGCAAGGAGATTTTATAACTTTTGTGTCGGTTGATCGGTTGGAGGTAATCGCTATTGGTTGTTTCGAGACGACTGTTCGATGGCGTGGTTTCTTGTGATGATAGAGGAACTGATGAGCAGTGGGATGGAGCTCCTTTTTATACGTGCACCAGCATCGTAAGGCTTCGTCCACCAAAAGCCTTGCGTGCACCGGTCACGGCACGCAATCAGTGTTGCAATGATGCTCTGTATAAGTGATTTCACACCAAAAGGGACCATAGCTAATCCCACAAGGCGGATGCTAGCGTAGAAGAAGATTCTGGAATATGCAGAGCGTACCAATCAGTTACCCCCCAGGATTCAGGGTGCAATGCAATGTAGAGTGATATGTAGGGTGACTCGTAACGCAATGCGACCCTATTGGCTGGCAGCCGAAATTTCTGACAGCAGGCCTGCAACAACTGCTTCGCTGCCTGGATTTCACCCCCTTTTCTCACCCACCATTATCGAGTTGCAGTCTTTCATGAGTCACTGCAGTGACAATTGAATGGATAGTCAAGATAAAACAACGCAAGCGTTACTGTTTTTTCACCAGTGGTGTTTGATATCCCATTTCGGTACGTACACGCTAGTGGATGCTTGACAATCCCTTCGCTTTTTGGAGGTCGCGGCCCCCATCATCGTTGAGTCACTGCTTCCAGAGATAACCTCGCAGCTTTCTACCGTAGCGACGGTATCTTCCAAAGCGTGACCGTTTACCCCAAAGAGCATAACGCCGCTTTATCCAGCACATTATGGGAACCTAGGATATTTCCTCACCGTAGTCCTCGACGGCAAAGTGGAAACTTTGGGCCAAGAGCACCCGGATCGTGTCGAGGCTACGGAAATGCTCGACCACCTCAATCTGCAAGCCCGGCCAGAGGGCGACGAGGCAGTTCGACGGATCGAATGGCAAAGGTTGATGGAAGCAAAGCGATGTAGCGTCAATGGTTCAGTGACGAACTATGACTTAGCCATTGCAGATCCCCATACGCCTTGACAAGTCGTATGTCCAGAGGGGGAGGATATGAGAAAAATGGAGGGGGGTTGAGGGAGTTCGACTGATCAGCTCTTTTCAAATATCAATTCCTTACTGCGTAGTAGATATCATATTGAACACAAAATCCGAGAAACTTTATTCAACAGGTGATAGGAATCAACCACCTGGGAAATGTCACAGGTTATTCCTTAGAGAAGCGCTGACTTGTGGCTCCGTACATGGTGAAACCCAAGGGTTTCGGCGGTCACGGTGTCCGCATTCTGGGCCTAAGACTAACCCCGGCAGTAGAGAGACGAACATGGGACCTTTTCGCGAAGCTTCAGCGTAGCATCTGCTTCATGTGGTGACCTTGATCGCTAACAGGTAGAATGTATGCTTATTTGTACCCTGAATGACCCATCCAGGGCGTGCTGTCGCGTGGGAGTCAAATGGGAACTACGAAACGATCAGAACTGGTCAGATTGAGAGCAAAAAATGTGTTCAATTGCTCCAGGCTGTATTGTTGTAGATGTATCAAAAAAACCATCTCTTTAGTTGTGTTGAAAAAAGTGTGGTTGGAGAGCAATTACTTTCGCTCTGATAGAAAGTTAACTGAGTATTATCAGTGCTCGAACGAGTGACTTTGGTAAAGCAGATTAAGTCCAAAATCAGCAGTTGCGACGTCAGAAACGCCAAGAGTGTTAAGGCAAAAGCAAGAAGTAGTAAGACAAAAGCCAGGAGTATTAGGATAAAAGCATGAATTAGTAAGACAAAAGCAAGGAGTATTAAGGGGCAGTTAAGTGCTTCAAATAACCAATGATGACGAGAGAGCAGTCCGTTTCCACCACTGATTCCAACGTGTTCCAAGCTGCCCTCGATTTGCAAACCCATGGCTACAGGTTCGAGAATGCGCAAGAGTTCGACGACCTACTCCCCAAGGCAATCAGAGCGCAAGCCCACAGTATTCCTCAGTAGACCAGCTGGCTGCCGAGTCGAGAATATGGTCCACGTCTAGACCCGTTGGTTCCTGGGTGCTCGGAGCGGTTGCGCCTTTCGTTACCATGGGCGCTACCATCGCGAAGGGAATAAAGACTGCGTTTTGTAGAGAGGCTAGGAGTGACGGCAAGTCTGGGTCTAGTAGTTCCGCGGGTGGTAGACTCGGGGTTGGCAGATTCGCCAGCGAAAGTAGATTCTTGTTTGAGGACAGTGGAAACAACTTTGCCAAGGGTTGGATTAATCGCTCCCGCGACGACGGGGGCAAATTTCATTGCGATAGGCGCAATGACCTTGATGGCCTCGGTGACGAAGTCAAAGAAGCCTTCCTCTTGCAACTGCTGGGGTGGGAACTTCATCACTGCTGTAAGGGCAGCGTCTGCGACAAGTGCACGCTGGGCAAGAGGATCAGCAGCCAGAAGGTGAGCGGCTGGGCCAGAGCTAGGTTCATCTTCAAAGGCTTCGGCGCCACCGGATTGTTTCAGTATGTCAAGTAGGATTGGAAGACCGTACTTGGCCGCAGCGGACACGCCTTTGCTGGCCAAACGACTACCTGCTTTGATGACATCCAGGAGACTTTCTTCTGAGCCATCGTCGATGGCAGATTCCTGAAGGTTCTGCTGCATAGACGCTTGAAGATGACCTAGAAAGGCCTCGGCCTTATGATCAGCTGGCTGGTCGATGGCGGAACTGTAGAGAACAGTCGGACGGAAATGTTCTGACCAGGTGGTTTCAGCACTTTCTGCGCCGGATGCTACCTTCTGGTTATAATTGTGGAGTGAGTCAAGTGCAATTCTCAGAGCAGGTTCCATCATAGCACCCATCACATGAGGAGCCGCCTTGCGGATGACAGGTAGCGCTTTCATGACTGTATCCTTCATGTCGTTGAAGATACTCTCCTCCAGATCGGGATGCATTTCTGCCGATTGAAGAGCGCTGAGCGTTGCCTCAGCCAGGATTGCTCTTTCCATGGAACCTTCATGCATGTCTTGTGCGTCCACGGCGCTCTCAGCGCCCGTCGTCTCGGTCATGATTTTACTAGCGGCATTCAAAGCGAATCCCGCCAGCGCACCGATAGGGCCTCCGCCAATGAGACCCAATCCAGTAGGAAGCGCAGATGCTACAGTCCTCAGCACGGTCATGAAACTTTCCTCGTCTGCCTCAGTTAGCTGGCTTTTAGCAATTAGAGTTCGGCCTTGAGCAATTCCGCCATTCTGGATGAGCTTGGTCATAGTAGATGTAGGTCGCTGATATTGAGAGCGGGGTTGTGTTTGGGGGGCCTCCGGTGGTTTAGAGGCCTCCGGTGTTTTGGGGGCCTTCGGTGTTTGGGCCCCCTCCGCTGCTTGAGAGGCGTGCTGCGCTTGGGAAGCATGAGGAGTTTCAACGTTGCGGGACTTGCAAAAATCGCAGATCGCAGAGCCAGTCGCAGCCATGCTACCCGGAATGCTTGAGCCATATCCCGACGGCACAGGAGCGGATATAGCTGTATTTCCTGTGACGGGAATGAGATTCAAGGCAGCATTTGGCAAGGGTAATCCGAAAGCAGCGATATAGTCTCCGTAAGGATTGCCGTATTTCCCAATGACCGAAGCAGAGTTGAATGAACCTCCGTACACGTGAGCTCCAATGGAGACCAGGTCGTGTTGTCTGAGGACTGGAGATCCAGAATTACCTGGTCGACGGGTGTTAGATGTCTCCACGTAAATATGTGTCACTATACACAAGACTCACCACCAAAAGTATCAATCTGATACTCCAACATAGTGTCGGCTTGTGTGGAGAGGTCAAAGTCTGTCGGAAGGAACATTTCGTACATGTGCGCTCCTTTCTCGCCAGTCTGCTTGTCGGTCAAGTCACCTGGATAGCCAACAACACCGAGGACTATTTTCCCTTGAGAAGGTGTCTCCTCAAATCGTAGGGGAGTAATTCCAGTGAAGGGTTTGTCGACTTGCATGAAGCTTACATCAAAGGATTTTTGACCTTTAGTTGTGACCCAGCCTTCGGTTGTGACGATTCTCTTGACATGCCTGAACTGAACGTTTGGGTCCTTCTCCGCCTGGTGCCCATCGTATCCAATGTATGCTTTCACTTCCGTAGCACGGCCCAGCTTGTGGCTCCAGTCGTAGCTGCAGTGTCCAGCAGTGACAAGGACGTCAGGCTTGATGAGCCAGCCGGTACCCATGGCCCAGCTACCAGGCTTTTGGAACTCGTAGTGAACGAAGAGCTTTACAATCGCTGCATAACTATGTGAGCGATGTGTACTGAATAAAAGCAATGGTGATTGAGTTACATCGGTATTTGCCGCCAGGTGCAAAGTGCATTTTGTCGACCAAGACACGCTCGTCTCCGTCTCCGATGACGCTTTCAGAGCTTTCATTTTTCATGTCAAGGGAGAAGGCAGCCTCGGGTGGTGGTGGTTGCGCGCGAGTAGGCTCGACATCCCACACGGCGGCCAAAGTTCGGCGCACCTCATATGCCTTGATGTTGAGGTTGAGCGCCGCATCTTTGATGTCTTGTGACTTTGCAACGGTGGTCTTGATGACGGCCATTTCGAACAATGGAAATTGTTCTAAGGGTTGTAGGAGTCCTGTTCAAAGTTAAGTTCAAAAAAGCAGCGATGGAAGATGTAGAGACGATGTTCTCGAGATATTGGCTTGAAAATGGCCAAGAGGGGGGATTGATGCCGTATTTATATTCCGGAGGCCTGGGACCTCGCTCTTCCATCACACGCGCACATGCTTGTGGTGGACACGAACTGAACACGACCAAGATCGCAAAGGAGGTGCTCCAAATGGTCCAGATTTCCATCAAAAACAGATTAACTACTGTTTCTGGAAAGGGTGGTAGCCATCTTGGAAAGGGGGAAGCCGTAATCCTTCGAAATCGAGCGCTTCAGCCTAGAAGAGCCAGCCATCGATCAATATACTTCAGTCTAGATTTCGGGGCGGCTTCAGCGATCAACATTGTTCCTCCTTTTTCGGGAAGTTAGTATATTCTGGGACAGAATGGTGGTCGTCTCGTGCACATTTATCAACCGGGAATGGCAGGTGCCCCTAGCCGACATTGAAAGGTTGTGTCAAATTGCAGACGTGAATTGGCGCGTCCGTTAATTCATGCAACAAGGATTGGATGGAAAAAGGTCCTAATGAACCAAGTAAATTGGCTCAATAATTCCTCCGACTCAGGCAGCCATCTCGAATCGACGGTTGCCGTAAGCAGAAAGCTCTCCTACTGGGATGATCCAAAATAGAAGGGGTTGGGGGGGCGGGACTGCTGCCGGCCCTAAGTCACGAAACACCTGATCGATGCCTTAGCAGTTTAATCTACAGTATTGTCAACGAGCTCAAACAAGACCCCTCAACGTATTGACCCCTGACAGAGAAATTCAAGAATATAGCATATAACAATGAGCCCAATGCTGATTGAATCTATGTTGCATGGGCCTTTCTTGGAGGCGCCTTCCAGGGGCCTTCTAGTAGACTCGAAAGAGCACATCTGAATTGACGTATGATGTGACGACCTGCATATGCAAACGCGAGGGCGAAGAGGCCCATCTGATGGACGAGATGTGACTGATTCATTAATTAACGACTTCGCCAATGGGGTCCAAGAATCGGGTCGTGGAGAGCATAATGTTACTGGTAGATCATTCGGTCGTGGCTTTGGAGGCAGGACCTTTTCGGGTAGTTCTGACCCATGCCCGAAATTGAAAATGGGGCTGGATGATCCATCAAGGGACCGCCGTCATCTCAGGTAACCGATCTTTGATCCAAAATCAGGAGTTACTGCAAGCCCAGACTCTCTACGTACCTCCGGGATTCCCTCTTGGCCTCGTGATTTCCTCGAAGGTCCAGAGTCGCACTTCCGCTTGTCATGAAACGCAGGGATTGAAAGGTGTTGAGACAAGGTGCGTCGTAACGAGAAAGCCAACCAGCAATGTAGATCCGAAAATCAAATTTGCTTCGTCTTTATCCGAACTGAAGGAAAACAGCCTCGAGTCCGGAAAGGAGCTGATTGAGCCATAGGGTGTGGGTGTGGGGGTTACAAGTGGCCAGAAGTGCAGAACTTGAATCGGCAGCCGGATGCTCGAGGTTGACAGCGGTTGACAGCGGAGGGAGGTTTCGGGACGGTCGGTAAGCCGGAAACAGCTTGGCAACTATTGAGATCATATCCCGCTGACACAATGGATGATGATTCTGGTCAGAACGCTTTGGAGTACTTCGTCGAATGACGGAACGTAGCCGTACATTTCGTTTCCCCTCGACTGGGGCTTGCAGTAAGACGTGAGCTGAAAGCTGAGATCGAGACATGCAAGCTCGAGTTTCGCAAGAACTTGCCGACTTGAAAGTGATGGTGGAGCTCTGCATCATGAATAACAAGGGCAATTCACAGACCCTTTGGATGTGGGATGGATGTGGGATGGATGGGGCGAGCATGCATAACACGCATTGGTTACTTTGGAGCATGCTCCACTCCCATAGGCTAATACATGGAAATCACAAACTAGCCGAAACTGGCAAGGCGGTTAATTCAGCTGTCAGGGCAGCGAAGCCACCACAGCCGCATGCTCAGCCACGGGTCACTGCCTGATCTGACACAAAGTTCCAAGCCTGAGCTCATCAGCAAAACATTCCGTGTCAGGGGAAACAAGATGAAGTTGGCGCAAAAGGGTATGAGTTCTCAGCTCTCTCCGCGCTGTCATATTGCATGACACCCCAAAGAAATTTAAGGAGCAGCTTAAAGTTGCGGAACTACACATTTGCCTCTGAAGCTCGCATTTGGGATGTCAATGTGACAGACGAGAATGTTATTGCAGAGTCGTTCTGCTTTGATCCAGAAGTTGTCGCATCTGGAGAACCCCAATTTTATCAGGAAATTAGCAAGCATACTTGCTTTTTCTTTCGGAACAATGCAGGGCAGAGTGCGTATCAAACGCTTGGGAAGCATGAAGAGATAGGACAAAAGCAATGCTAACGAGGATGACAGGTTATCAAGAGAACAGCGGAGGATGTTTATTGGGCCTCAAGCCGTAGTAGCATTGCTAGGCCGTGACGTGAAGCAAGAATCTATTGGACTGTCAAGCGGAAAATAGCATTCAGAAGACAATCCGAGCAATTTTATGTTCACATTACTCGATCCTTGAGAGTTTGCCGAAGGACGGAGGGCCGTGAGATAGACCGCTATGCAAGCCCTTGTCCAGAGGCAGGAGAACAAGGGCCGGGAACGCACCGGTGCGCAATATGAGGAGCAGAAATGCTTGATTTGCCAGACCTGCTACCCACGACGCCCAATTGTGCCTCGATGCCTCACAAGGCTCAACAACGACAGCATGGAAACCCGCTAGACGAAAGCGCCATCGCTGTCACTGTCATTCGGAAGACTGTTATGGATTTGGGACATGCTTCCAGAATCTGCTGCCTTAGGTGTTGACAGGTCGGGTTGTGCTTGCATTTCGTTGGCACCGGCGTTAACACCATCCTTGTCGGATCCTGACCTGGAGGCCCCGCTGCGTGGTGAATGCTCCGAGAATGCGACCACGATCTTTGGTGTAAGAGGAGATATAGCTTGCTTTCTCAAATGATCCTCATCGTCTGTGGATTCCCATCCTATCTCCTTAGCAAAATCGCCAAATGGCCTCGTTTGAGAGAAGTATTCATCAGCGCTGTCTTCACTAGAACAAGAATGCTGAGCCGCCTTTTTGCTTCTAGTTGTTGGTTCACTGTCGTCGGAGCTTGCGAAAGGGTCGAATAACGAGGCAGAATCCGACTCCCCAGTATCATCATCAACCTCCTTTGGCGCAGTCGCCGTTTCCGGCTTCCTCTTAGCTGTATGCCTTGTTTTGGCTGTTCTTTCCTCCAAACAATCGCTTTCAGAATCAGTGTCAGTGAGGAGAGATTCGACAGACACGAGGCTCGTAGGAAGTTTAGAGACACGTTTGGCTCCGGTAGCCGTGAGATTTTCTTCGACGACTTTAAGAGTGTAGCTTCATTCCGATGATGGCCCCTAGGAACGGTTATGATAGCATGGCGACTAGCCAAGATCCTTGCTTCTGCAATCTTCGTTGATAGACGTGCAGCATCCCGTATTCTGGCGGCGATAAGAATTTTGACTGTTATAGCAGGGTCATCTGCCAATGCGTTGAGATTTCTGAGGAGCGCAAGTGCGTTTTCCAGCCCCTTCCGATTCGTCTCCTGCTGTAGGATATCGACGTGATCGACAACGATCCATACACACTTCCCTTTTGCTGCTACCTCGAGGATTTCTAGAAACAACGCCCAGAGTTCTTCTACATCGTTTTGCGCATCTTGAAAATGCTGTTGAGTCAGTTCAACCGTCCGAACTGTGAATTGCTCATGATGGAGTGAGATAGATTTGGAGATCAAAGACTGAATCAGGATAGCGGCTGTGGTAATCGCATTTCCTGTGGAGTGTCCTTGGCAAAAATGTGCTAATGCCATGGAGTAATCAAGTCGTGCGCAATCATCTGCTAGGCGTGTGGAAAAGACAGAAGCCCAGTCTAGCTTGTGGCTTTGGTACGTGTCTACCCATAGGATTCCGGACTTCTCAGTCGACATCCAGCTTCTCATACTAGGATGTCTCAGCAAAGCCACGCAGTGCTGCCAGTCATAGGCGGTCAGAAGACGGCTGCCTGCTCTAATATAACTTTCTCGCTGATCAAATCGCTGAAGCTGTGGGAAAGCCTCATTCCGGAATTCGAGCAGAGTCTGCGGATCTGAGACGAAGTCTGCTAAATAGACTTGCGGTGTGAAGACTGGCAGAGCAAGTTGTGCGTTTGAGTCATTTAGATCTGGTCTGCCGGTGTCGTTCCTCCCATCAAATAGTGCAGTCTGCTGCAAAAGCAATTCATCGAATCTTTGCACCCACCTGGTGTCAAAATCCTGGAGCAGGCCGTCTATTTCCCTCTTTATTTCTTCCCTAATCTTCATTCGGAGTTGCTCGGATCCTGACTCTCGCTGTGGCGATTCCCTCTCCTCTCGCTGACGTTCCCATAGAGATTGAAGAAGACTTTGATTGCGAAGAGTTGCATGAAAGTGGCTGGCGCTGGCAATTTCATTGAATCCTTCGGATTTGTGTGTCTATCTGAGAAACCACTTTCTGGAATTTTGCTTCCCAAGGAAACGCGAAGGCTTCAATCACGCTGGCGAGTTTATTTTGGCATAGCATCGAAGAGCCTTGCCCAGAAATTTGGAGAAGCTCGCATATAGCGCAGCCACAGCCCTGAGGAGTGAATATTAGCACTTGGAGCCAGCAACATTCTGTGACTTCATACTCTACCATTTTGTCCGTCGGCGAATATGCAATCAATTGATTTACCAACCCGAGCTGCTCTCCAATAGAGAGCTAGTGTGATTCGACATTTTGTTTGAGCCTTGAGTGATTGATGTTTGCGACTAGGAGAAGCTTCGTGACGCCCCAAGCCAGAGCCACGTATTCCGGACACTGGTTCATAATCACATCTAGTAGTTTTGAAGATTCCAAAGCTACCGTAGAGAACCTTTCCAGCCCCTTGAAAGGTGTCTTTCGAGACTTCTGCTTGTCCAGAGCTGCTCTTGCCAAAGTATCGAGTTCTGCGACATCTGCTCGAATTCGCCAGAGTTCCCCCCATTTCTCGTTGCTCGCCTGCTTCTCGTACACTACAACAGTCTGACGTAATTGACTCAAGGAGGTTTGTATAGGCTCTCTGGAGGCAAGATTAGGGCAAGGTCCGGAGTGGTTTTCATGTCATTCTATACTTACTGAGAGACGAGGGCATCACCCCACTGGGCTTTGAAACCGTGGACATTAGCATTGCTGTGGGACCTCGTTACTCTTCTGACTTGCGACTCTGGATCTGCGATTATTGGGCTCCCGCCTGGTAGATGTTTACTGTGCAAGAATTCTTGGCCCGTTGACTTTCTTCGACCAATGGCCAATTTCTCGAGAAACACTTTTCGGCGCGGTCTTGGCGGTCTTGGCAACAGTCCTTCCAACGACAGTCCGTCTTCCTCGTCTTCTCCACTCGACATCTTGAATTATCTGTATATGTTAACATACCACATTTAGTTTATTGACAGCATCGAATGCCATCGATCAGCATGACTTTTACGCAGTCGGAGAGTCAGGCCAGAATCGAGATTGGTCTTGTGGGGGCTCGAGGAGCCACAGCCTTGCCCCACGCGCCCCAAAATCGCCAGTGTCGTCGTGCATGCACCACGCAGTCATAGTAGGTATGCGGTGTCACATCAGCCTACCTAGTGCTTACTGGGAGCCTCACTAGGCCGGTAACCGTGAGGTCCCATGTGACAAGCTTCTGATGCCCTTTGTTGATGCCCAAATCAAAGGAGCAGATACTGGCATCCTTTTCTCTTTTTATTTCGAGACCCATTAAAGCGGGTCTATTGCCCACTTCGCCCCTCATGTTTATATTTGAATGCACGTAATCATGTAAGGTGTGCATCTAAGATGCGATGCTATCTCCGCTTTGATATGCAAGGCTACTGAAGTCTGGCAATGCCGATCTATGATGGTGTGTAAGCCGAGCGGGAGCAATGCAGTAGGGTCTGCCTAGAGTGCCCAGATCTTGAACAAGGCTGCAGTTTCAAAACATGTCTCCAATCTCCGGTCTTTCTTTTCTCTCTCTATTCACTTTGAGCCTCATATACTAGAGAGAGCGGTGAGAAGAATTTTACCGAGTTTTGTCCTTCTAATGGTTCTACTTTGCTTGGTTGTGCCACCTTTGAACTTGATCCCCAAATCCAATGTCATTGTCAATTGACACATCTAGCAGCCCCAAATCAATGCAGAGCAATCTCACACCGTCTATCACGCTCAGACTCCTCAGGTTGCCCTTGTATCCGCGCAGACTTGGATCCACAAGATGACTTCCGTTAATTCCGACGATTCACCCTCCTCTCAAAGTCCTAAAACCCAACGATCAAAAAGTGGCTCCAAAAGCACCAACTCTCGCCGTCTTCAAGAGCTGCCAACAGGCTACGGCTACAATGACGTCAACGGCGAAGATAATCCAGCAAGCGTCCTCCAGAGCGACGACCGAAATCGCTCCGCTTATATCCAGGAGTTGCAAAGGACCATCGAAGCCCTTCGCGCTCAACAAGGGGCCCGTCGAGATCGTTTCGCCCAACCACGAAAGTCGCAATTTAGCGGCGAAGGAGATGAGCGTCACCACTTTGCTCACAGTAGAGAAGACCGCATACATCCACACCAATTTGAAAATGGCGAAGAAACGGAAAAGGGGTGGAAGCTGTAGATAAAACGTTGGAAAAGGGTGAACAATCGCCACGGCTTTTCGGACATCTACGATGAAAGCGAGAAAATAGAAGATATCCGGAAGAGGGAGCGGGAGATACGTAGTGGGGGTATAAAGCCTTCATTTTGTTCCATTTTGGCGACAAGGAAACTGACTGCGTTAGGCTACGTCCTTTCCGTCTACGATGAGTATGATGTAGATGGAAAATTAATGCACGTCCTTCTAGCAATACACTCAACTCCTTTGCTGGACCTGCTACGCCAAGTCATTACGTTCTTTCCGGGAGATGAATTCGACAATCTTAGAGGCAAAGATTCGACTGACGACACTGTGACTTTCATGGATCCATATATGATCTTCTTCGCATATAGAGCCCAGCTACGCCAGACTTTGAAGGGCGACTTTGCTGAAGATGCCAAGCAGCATGTAAGGATGCTGCTAGACTTTTTAAAGTCAGAACATCGTAAGGCTCCTTCTTGTCTTGATCTGCCCTGATATGTTCCCTTCCTGAGTTGCAAGACATGTTTCGAAGGTAGTAAGGATGTTCGCTTTTGATATCACTCTTAACAGCTGCTTCGTGACTCCCTTTGCGCCTCGATGAAGAAGTGCTGACCCGGAAATGTCCGATAGAGGTGACAGATGCGAAGTTGACAGAGATCGAAGACGGTCGTTGTAAAAAGATATCCTACGACAAGCTGTTTTTGCTATACCCTCCAAACACCGCTGTTTACGCGTGCAAAGGCGTGGATGATCGTCAAATCGTCGTCTACTCCCGTTCGGTGACGAATTGGAACACTAGGGGTCCGAACAGGACGATGAGGCTGACGTGTTGGGAAGTAACGTTTGAGGGAGGAACCTTCAAGCGTGACTTCTCGGAATGGAATATAGAGCCTTATTCCGGCGAAAAGAATATCAGTAATCTTGAGCTTGTGCCCGTGTAAGCTGCTTCTCCAGAATTTTATCCCCTAATCCACGCCACATTTGAATCGCGAGACATGTTACGGGATCAATTTGACTGCCGTGATCTATTCCGCCACTCCTGCTTGATCCCAAAGGTGAAAGTCACTGACTGGGGAAATACTAGGCGATACATGGAGAACGAGAAGGAGCTGCATAACAAACTCGTTGCCCGGGGTCGACGCTACTTTGAACTCAACAATGGAGCTTCGCTTCAGGACTATTACGGTGATAGGTTCCCTCGGGTCTACAAGGACGTAAGCACTTTCAAGCATCGTCGAGAGACGAGAAATGGCTGATGAAATCATTTAGGAGCCCGTGCGAGTGGTCGTTGATGAGGATACTTACTGGCGAAAGTATCCTCCGAGTAAGCAGGCATCTGCCGCGCCCAGTGCGGAGAGGCGCTGATTAGTCATTTCAGGTGTGGCAACCAATGAGGGCCCTTCACGAGATTATGGTTTCCCTGAAGGAGAAGAGGATCTTGTGGATCATGACGGTCAGCCTCTCGAAGACACGCTCCTGCGATGTTTCCCGGAGGTCGGCGTTCTCTCCATGCGCGACAAGGAATGGAGTGGGTGCTCCTCATAACGTTAGTGAATTTTATTGACTATCATTGCAGCGCTAGTAAAGGTGGATGACCTTAAGCCTGTCCGATTTCGGGAGAAAGCGTTTAGAAGATTGGTCATTAGGGACGATTATAAGAGGATCATTAAAGCTATGGTGGAAGCATATCGGCTGGAGAAACCGGGCTTCAGTGATATAGTGAGCGGTAAAGGGCGCGGTCTTACGATCTTGCTCCATGGCCCGCCTGGCACAGGCAAAACGCTTACCGCTGGTCAGTCTAATAATCATCTCTGTTCTGCCTTTCAAATGACTCCAAATCCAGCTGACCAGCAAAAGAATGCGTGGCAGAGAAACAGGAGTGTCCTCTTTTCACCATCAGTTGCGGAGACCTGGGTACCGAGCCAGAGCAATTGGAGGTCAAGCTGAAGGAGGTCTTCGAGTATGCCGTCACGTGGAAAGCCATACTCCTCCTCGACGAAGCCGACATCTTCCTCCAAGAAAGGGACGTCCACGACGTAAAGCGTAACGCCCTCGTCTCCATCTTTCTCCGCGAGCTCGAATACTTCGATGGCATCCTCTTCGTCCGTCCCCCTCCTCTCGTCTCCTCCCCTATCCATCCAGAAGAAACCCTCTAACGAAACCCAAACAGCTAACCACCAACCGTCCCGGCGACATTGACGAAGCCTTCGTCTCTCGCATCCACATCACCCTCGGCCTCAATTCCCTAACACGCGAAGAGCAGAGAAAGATCTGGACCATCTTCATCAAAGACTTGGACCTCTCGGACGCCGACAAGCGCGCCTTGCTCTAGTACGTCACTGAAAATTTCGGCGCCGATAATCTGAATGGGAGGCAGATTAGAAATACGGTCAGGACGGCGCTGGCCCTGGCGCAGTTGGGTCAGCAGCATGTGACTGCCGAGCATTTGGAGCATGTGGTCAAAATCGGGAGGGAGTATGCCGGGTATGTTAATAGTTTGAATCGGATGGGGAGTGAGGAGTATGCAGTGGCGCTTGGGCGGAGGGCGCCTGGGGCGTGAGAGGTCGGGGTTCTGGCGCACGAGATGGCTGCCTTGATCATGCACTGCGCCCTCTCCCCCCAAATCCTCGAGTCGCCTCGCCGCATTAATTGCATGGGTCCGTTTTGATATCTTTGTACATGTGGCAACGCAATCCTGTACCGTTATCCATCTCTGTACTATGTGAGCGTGGTGGAAGGGTAGGGAGTTTCCGCAGCAGTCGATTCGTATCTGCATGTATGTATGTACAATGAGTCTTTGGAAAAGTCCAACCCGGCCGACGGGCCTACTGACTATAGATGGCACGCGTTGACGTGGAGAGCATTTGAGGCTAGATGTTGGGAATACTCGCAGGACGCGATTGCAAGCCCATCGTCCCCATCGTCCTCTCCGCTGTACCGGCGACGCTGAGCCCATACCGCACCGCCGAAAGAACATATAATGTCTCGCTATAGGATGTGAAGGGGGATACCTGCGGATCTTCTCTCCCTCTCTCCCCGTTCGCATCCACCCACCTATTTCGACCTGACCTGACCTCGCCCTGTCTGCCCAACTCCGTTGCTATCAACTTCTTTCTAGCGCCCCTCAACCCTTGACACGCTGGATAGGGATGGGTCAGTATGAAGTCTTCCCTCAACGCGTCACCTACCTACCTACCTACCAACCTCATACGTTCAGAAGGCGTCTGCGAAGCCGGCGTCCGTGTTGGAAGGATTCAAGAGACTTGCATGCATGTGCGAGAATATGAATGGAGGGCGAGACTGGATGGGGAAAGGAGTGAGTGACTTAGATTGCGTCCGTGATGATCCTGTCCGTGCAATGATAAAGGATGAGTGAGTGATGCCCGTTTCTATCTGTTCCCCGAAGTCCGTGTTTTTATTAATACTATATAATATGGCAGATCGGCACGATCGTGTCGTCCATTTAATTGTTTAAAAGAAAGAAAAGAAAAAAGGAAAGATTGTCCATAGAGACAGAATGGATAGAATTACAAAGACTATCCAACTACTTTACTACCCCAACTCACCACCAGAGATTATGGGCCGCCTGAGCTTGGATGAATTCATCCGAACGACAACCAGCTGCACCTCAGCTCAGTGTTGAAAACAAGAACGGTAACGGAGTCCCCATTCATACACGTCCCATTTTCAAGAAAGTATCATTCTCTCACGGAGGTACGTACCAGTACATGACAGTTTGGGTGAGACGCTGCTCACCCAACCCACCCTTCGATCACGCGTCGGGGATGATGGTGAAGGATCGGCCGGAAAGGATGCATAGACGGTAGGACAATTCCAAGAACCGAGGAGCATGGCGAGCGAGGATGTGTGGAGGGAAGTTGTACGCATAACCTACAGCTGATACACACGAGCCCGATGATGATTCGACATTCAGAACGTCAAGCTCGCTCTCCCTTCCCGGCAACCCTCCCACACCGGGATGACGTTGACAGCATGCACCGCTGTGCTCGAAAGAAACTCCCGAGCCTGTCCAACTCACTCAAGAACCATCGACTAAGTAAATAATACATGGACGCATGCGTGCAAACCCCAGCGTTTCCAACTTCCCAATCAAACGCCTCATCTCAGGCCATGACCGCCTGCCAGACCCCCGGTCGAGAAACTCTGCAAGGAATCCCTCTCATGCACCACCGGCTTCCCCAGCATGCGCGCCTCCGCGTTCTCCCACACCGCGCTCCGAGCCGGCCTATCCTTCGCCCCCTTTGAGGTTCGTCTGAATCCATTCCCGGAAACCGTACCACTCAGCAAACGCCCACCCCACACACACTCACTCACTCACCCAACCCTGCTCAGAACAATATCCATAACCATCGACATCGAAAAGCCCGATTCCCCCAAAAAACCCTCCGCTTTTTTCACACCCGCAAACTTCCTACACTACCACATGATGATAAAAAATCTCCACGAGACTCCTGAAAAACAAGCAAAAAAAAAAGACCATCGACACCGAAACTCACCTGGAAAAAACCATCGATGGGTTTCCGACATGGATGCAAGCCCAGCAGTAGAATTTCTTCTTCCCCCTTCTTCTTCTTCGAAACGGTGGTATGCGCACTCTACACTAACGTCATCTTATTCCAGGTAACTGTTACAATACCAGCCCCTTCGGCTATCGCATACACGTCGCGTATTACCACGGCTGGTAATTACCAGCCGCTAGCCACCAGCCACCTGTTTTACGTACATAGATATCCGTACATCCCACGAATCAATCATCAGTCTTTCAGTCCCTTTAATCAATTCCTAACATGTCTGGTATCCTACTTTCAACAGTAACTGACCTAAAAATCTCAATACCTGATATTAAAAACCCCATCACCAAACCCATCACCAACCCCTCCCCACCCCTCCCCAAACCTCTCCACTCCGCTCCCAACATCCTCCATCTCATCCCTTCACCTCCCATCCCCCATCCCATCCCATCCCATCCCATCCCTTCACCTCCCTTCCATCCCTTCACCCCCAGCATCCTCCCTCCACCTCCATCCCATCCCATCCCTTCACCTCCTTCACCTCCCTTCCATCCCTTCACCCCCAGCATCCTCCCCCAGCATCCTCCATTCCATCCCACTCCTCTCCCACTCCATCCCCACTCCTCCCCAAACCCCTCCCCCCAGCATCCTCCCACAGCATCCTCCATCCCTTCACCCCGACCAATCCTCCATCCCATCCCCACTCCTCCCCCACCATCCTCTATCCCATCCCATTCGATCCCATCCCCACTCCTCCTTAAACACCCCCCAGTATCCTCCCTCAGCATCCTCCATTCCTCCATCCCATCCCTTCATCTCCATCCTATCCCTCCACCAACCTCATCCCTTCACCTCCATCCATTCCATCCCATCCCATCCCATCCCTACTCCCCTCCCCCCTCCCCACCCCCTTCATCCCCACTCCCCCCCCACCATCCTCCATTCCATCCACCCATCCCATCCCATCCCATTCCATTCCATCCCATCCCATCCCATTCCATCCCATCCCATCCCCACTCCTCCACCCCCACCATCCTCCCCCAGCATCCCCCATCCCATCCCTTCACCTCCCTCCACCTCCTTCACCTCCTCCATACCTCCATCCCTCCTCCCTCCATCCCACCCCCTTCCACCTCCTCCACCCCCTCCACCCCTCCCCACATCCCTCCACCTCCACCATCCTCCATTCCATCCCTTCACCTCCTCCTCCACCCCCTCCACCTCCCTTCACCTCCCCTCCCCTATAATCTTCCCAACCCAACAAGTCCCCAACCGCGTACTTCTCCAATTTATACAAATACGAATCACACAAACTGAGATCAAAGACGCCTATAAAACCCGACCCGCCCACGAGCCCACCCTACCACCCACCGTAGCACTACCTCCCACCCTACCTCCCACCGCACCTCCCACCACGACCCCACCGTAGCTCCCACCCACCGTAGCTCCCACCCACCGTAGCTCCCACCATACCACCCACCGCAGCACCCACCCACGACCCCACCATACCTCCCACCCTACCACCCACCGTAGCACCCACCGTAGCACCCACCGTACCTCCCACCGTACCTCCCCACCCACGACCCCACCCTACCTCCCACCGTCGCACCCACCGCCGCACCCACCGCAGCACCCCACCCCCACCCTACCCCCCACCGTAGCACCCCACCGCAGCACCCACCGTAGCACCCACCGTAGCCCTGTGGCCGGGGGGAAGGGGAAGCCAAGCGCGTTGGTCTGTCGGATTGCTTGGGGGGGGAATCAACGGGGGCCGTTCTTGCCGGATTGGAGGCACTGATGGGTAAAAGAAAGAACGAGGCGAGGGTTCTTTGACGGGTGGAGGGGCGCAGAGAGATCGAATGGGGCGCTTGAGGGGCTGGTATGACCTTTTGATGTTGGCGACGTTCATGGGATTTGTGCGTGGCGTGGATGAAGACCGGTCGTTCAATTGAGACGCCTATTTCGAAGGGTTTATCAATGAGTCTATACAATACAGATTTCCTACCCATTACCCATCCCAACCCTCGCTCCATTATGGATACTCCCATACCAATCTAATAATATCCCTCATTACCCTCTGTTTCCCCAATGGTCCCCGCGTCCCTCTTCACTCGTGTCACAGTCGTATCCATCCCCTCCATTCCCTTTACTCATCATCCTCCCCCTCCCCAGGCCTCCTCTCATTACCTCTGACCCCATCCTTCCGGATCGGAATCTTGATCCCCTGCGTAGCGAAGCACTTGCTCAGATTCGTGCTTTCAATAACTCCCGGAAACTTTTTCGCTGAATAGACGTCAAACTTATCGCTGAAGCACGACGCAAGGACGGGAGCCGAGGCTGTATTGAGCGTTTGAGCGGTGGTGGGAGAGCCGACATTGACAAAATTCATTTTCAGTCTGTGATGCAAGGTAAGCTTGGGTGCGTGCGTGAAATAGTGGAGGTTTAGGAAATTCAGGTCAAAATACCGGAAAGAACCCTCGGTGCGCACACTAAGATCTTGCAGGATGAACCAGACCCCCATTTCATTGTTTGGATTCGTGAGTTTGAAAGCGCTCACGCAGAGGCTGCCGATGAGATTCCGCGTGAACATGCCACTCGCCTGAGAACGAGGATCGCACGAGGGAGCGCTAAGTTGTGATGGCGATAATAAGGGGCCTTGGTTTTGCTGAAGCTGCGACTGGTATGTTGGGGTTACCGGGGTACCCGTAGGCGTACTGTAGTAACCTTGTTGCTGCTGCCCGGGTGGCGGTGGCGGTGGCGGCGGTGGCGGTTGCGATGTTTGACCTTGTTGAGAATATTGGTGTTGGTGGTATTGAGACGATGTCTGCTGGTAGGCCGAGGCCGGTGGAGGTGGGGGAGGCTGGCTGTATGATGAAGACATTGAAACTTGCTGAAGGGTATTGGAAGCGTAAGCAGATGTGTCATCGACTGGTGGGGGATAGGCGGAGGATGTCGCAGCTGAGATGGAGGGAGATGTTGCGGAGTGTCGGACGAGATTGACTTCTTTTTGGGCGTCTGCCGACCAGAGATCGACGGTGAGGACGAAGTACGAGGTATCGATGTCACTGTCCGAGATGAAACTTCAGCTTAGGCCTGGCATGACCGTCGAGCATCTTCTGATCGAAAGAGAGGATTGCCGAATGAAAGGCCACTAACTTTATGTCCAATTCCTTGTTGGTACTAGCATCCTTAACCACAAGTCTGATACAAGGCGGTGGTGTGATAGGCCGTCTGTCCTGCACAACGCCGAGTCTCAGCCATGGCCGTTTCAACGCATTTGAGGCCTTCAGTCCCAACATTCGAGATCTTGCTGCTCCAATTGCCCCGACTAACCTTGTCTCCGAATCCACACATGCGAGCCCGGACAGGTTGTTGAACAATATCCAAGCTGTAGCTTTCATCAGGAGCCTTTCTGCCAACACGATCCCATCTTACATACCTGTATATCCGGCCATTGACCATTGTACTCGTCGGGGACGGTTCTGACATGTTTTGTGGGGGTAGGCTTAGGGTAGGGCGTACTGCCGTGGATGCAGACGAGGGGGCGGGGTATGATAGGCCGTTGCTCTCTTTACTGACAAGAGTTGCCACATCCATGGATGATGGTGGGTTCAGTGGTGTTGGGTGTAATGGATGTTGTCGCTCATGTACAAGGGACATAGCCATACAACAAAAGGGAGCCCCAGAAGCACTTGCTTTCCCAGCTCCGTATTGAGTGGGTCGCGCCTGTTGAGTTCAGCAGTGTCGGGATGAAGCGAGAGGATAATGTGGGGCTCGTGTCAATGGAGAGTGGTCTTGTGTGGATAATTGACGAGGCGGGGAACAAATGATATAGATGAGGAAATCTCTCTATCGAGCTCGATGTATGAATATACTTCTTTCAATATCTGTGGTCGTTGCATGGCAAATTGAGAGAGATTGAGGGAGAGAAAGATGAGGGAAGAAAGATGAGAGGCAACAGTCATGCAACAATTCAAGTGCAGGTGAGAATTAATTTTTCGAGGAAGAGAAAAAGAAGAGAAAAAGATGTTGACGTTGCGAAAGACATGCCAGCCAATCTCCCCCCTTGAGCCCCTCTCTCCAATCCCAGTGCTAGTAGTTTATTAGCTTATTACCTTACTTTAACTTTGAGCTTGTGGGGGGCGATCTGCATGAGAACCGAAATGGCGGGCTCACGCCACCGGCCCGTGTCCAGGGTTCAGCACGGAGGGGTGACCAAGTTGAGAATGGTGCAGTCATTTTAACGCCGACTTAACTCTACCAAGAATCTTCAACACTCTGTTCAAATCTCACCAACGATCAACGCGCTGCAGCTTATGCACCCACCCAACCTATCAAATTCCCCCGCCCCATCCCCACCCCTCCCCCCCACCACCAGAAAATCCCCATCTTCTTCAGAATATCGTGCGGCTTACTGAAGCATTCTAATTTCTGCTGCCTAATTGACCCAACTGTATGCACCTAATCCTTCCATCAGTCAGTCAGTCAGTCAGGTAGTACCGCCCATACGAATACGCTAGCTATGTAAATACCCGTTAAGGAAGCTGCAATTCTCATCTTCAACGTCATCAAACCACAGAGAGTAGTGCAAGTCCGAGTCGGAAAAATTAATTCATTTCCTACTCCTTCCCCGCCTGAAGCCGCTGAATATTTCTTGTGCTCCCAGGCCCAATCAGAGTACTCCGTTGGACCTCATTCAGAGATCGGGTATCTATACTACAAAAGTGTATCACGTCCTATCCCCACACATGGTGAAAAGAAATCCATAAAAGGAGACTGCGCCGGAATGCGCAAGCGTCCGTCCCTCGTAAATGCCCACTGTGAATCCAGACGCCAGATCCCGCGGGAGAATGAAAACGTCGCTCGCTCGCTCGCTTGTACATGCGGCTCTCAGCTTAAAGTACATGACCAAAGAAGCATCATAATATTACCAGAGCATGGATAGACAGAGGAAAGATTCACCTGCGTCTTGATCATTGCTTGCGAGTATGTCATTCCTCTTGGGCAGACGCTACGGTTCGGGGTATACGGCAACAGTGGACGATGTTGTTGGGCGAGAAGGGGGGAAAGGTGAAGGGTGATTGGCGGCGGTCGAGAAGGTGGAGGAGGGAGAGGCTTCAGGAGGCCAGCTTGACGAAGTGCTTGTTCCATATCCAGCCGACCAAGTTGTCCGAGTCATCTTGATTCTTCGCGAGCCAGAGCTCGCCCTTTTCGCCGATGACATCGAAGATCTAAGGGAATAGGTTAGTGCTACGTTCCATCGCCCGTCAAATGGAACGTCAAACTTACTTCTCCGGCAACGTAGGTCAGATAGGGATAGCCTGCCTCTTTCCGTGCACGATCAATGTTGAACTCGTAGACGCTGGCTGCCAGGAAGATGACATTGAAGTCCTTCTGCGCTTGCCCGGGTGCTGGAGATTGATTGCGTGGAGAGTCTGACATTGGCATGGCCGAGGAGAAGAAGCCAGAATATCGGGCCGAAGGGGAAGCCGCGCGATGCTGAGATGTGGGACCGCCCGGAGGATATGTACTTCCCGACGAATCCCTACCGACACGCGTTGAGTCTTCGCTGACGTGGCTAATGCTCGAATGGTCAACGCTTGGACGAGAATGAGCTGGCGAAGGCTCCGTGAAAGTCCGGGGGCCGGCAGTGATCATGCGTCCAGGAGTCGAGCTCACCGGTGTTGTGTTGTTTGAGTAAGAATGGTAGCTGCCGGGCACCTCTGGTGTTCGCGGACTATGGCCAGAGAGGGTGGAACTGGCCCGCATGCGGCGACTGGGTTCCACATAATTCCCCGTGGGCTGCCCTGCGGGTGCAAGTTGAATCCCATCGCCAATGGTAAAGAAACTTCCACTGCTCCGGCCTCCGAAGTCCGGCTTGGGCAGTATGGGTGATTTGTCACTGCTGACGGAAAGCGTACGCCGTTTTGAGAGTTCCACCGAGGAAGGCTGCCTCTGCGAAGTGCTATCGTCACCATTGAACGTGGTCGAGGGCGAAAGAAAGTTGGCGGCGTCGTTGAGCATGGAACCGTTGCAAACGCCAAGTGAAAGGACTTGAGCTTCGTAGAAAGCAAAGTCACCGGTAAATGCATCGACAATGTCTTGCGCCTTGCTCGGTACTTTATTATCATCAATGGCCTGGCTCAGCTTCCTCCGCCAGACAATGTGCCATTGCAATTGGAGCTGAACGAAATTGTTAAGACATGCTTCCACCAGTTTGCTTGTCAAAGAGAACAGCTTCGGCAGCTCGTCTTTGAGGGTATCGTTGACGGCTATGAATTGCTCGCCTTGCTCGATGGTTTTCTTATCTGGTTTGTCTCCTCGGTCTTTGATAGCTTTGAAACGCGCGTAGTCCATGATTCGCTTGTTGCGTTTCTGCGTCAACTTTTGAGGGCCTTCGTAAAGTCTCAATAGTGTCATCATGGGTTCAATCACATTCTTGCGAACAGCGGCGATCTGGCTCTGGTTAGTGCCGTTTGGCACGAAATCAGTGCGAGGGAACTTACATGATCCGTTAGGGCCGTCATCGACATTTCCCTCGTGGACATCCTGAATTTTCGCCACTTGCTCTCGACCTCCGGGTAGCTTGTCTGACCGACATCGATATGCGCCTCCATTGCCAGAACGAATTCGCAAAAGCGGCTCATGAAAATTTGAACGTCGTTGGTGTACATTTCCACGTCCCTCATCACGACCTGAAGCTGGAAGAAACATGAGCCGAACTTGTCGTAAACCGCTGAATAGGCTTTGTCTTCCACCATATCCGACAAGCCAACCTGTTGTCTGAGCTTCTCTGTTCGACGACCAAAGGCTTTGGAGAGGCCAATGCGAACATCTGATTCCTTGCGCTTTCTGTTATTTGTCACCTGCTCCATGATATCGGCACGCCTCTTGCTCTCGTTGATCCTCATGGAGATGCCTTTGATTTCTCGAACAGCAATGTCCAAAGCCGTATAATCAGGATGGTTCTCTGGCGTTGCTTCCAAGAGTTGTTCCAGTAACAATGGGTATTTGAGAATCCGCTGAACCGGCTTTACCAATAAAGAATCGAGGTCCCAAGCTGAAGTTAGATCGTGAGCATAAGCTCGGCATTCCTTGAGCCAGATTTGCACCTTGGGATTCTTCTGCAGTACTTGAAGCTTTTGGTTGGCAGCATCATGGTTTTTCAAGTACTCAGCATACACCTTTTCCATGTGCGCCATGTGATGGCCAAATGCCTCTCCAATGAAGGTCTTGCGGTCCTTGTCATCATCACTGAGCTCAAGTCCGTTTATTGAGGACTGATCATCAGTATTCCCGCTATATGACGTTGCATTGCTAACACGGTTGCTTCGCCACCGTTTCGACTTTGGCAATACATAGACTGATTTGGAAGCTCCCTTCAAAGCGTCAAGGAAATTGGTCGAAAAGGCGACGATCTGGTCAGAATTGCCGAACAAGGTCTTTACATCTTCTGCTGAAATGATTATGACGTTTGAGGTGCCTTTGTAAATGTCGTCGACTACCTTCATATCCTGGCCGAAGGAGTGCTCCGTGTCAACCAGCTCCTTGATAATATGCCTCCGTCTCGTCAAGCGCTTCTGGTCTGGAGATGGCGACGAGGTTTTCGAGGTATATTCCGTTAATACTGACGGTCCCTCCACACTCGGTCGGTCTTCGAACATAGAAGAGGAGCCCGATGGCTGCGCAGATGAATCCATTGATCTCGAGGGGCGTGATGAGTCGTGACTGGGAAGGGAAGGCACCATAGGGTCATTGGTGGGAGGTTTATCAGGGTAGGCGTTCGAAGTGACGGAATCAGCTGGGGGTGGCGGGGGTGAATGAATGGGGATTGGGGGTGGAGGTATCACTGGAGAGTCATCCTTTTGAGGCGGCATGATGTTAATTGCTAGTCCAAGTCCTTGAATCGGAGGTAATTGTGGATGAGAGTCCGCAGCTGGCTGGCCTGCCTGGTTAGGCATCTCTGCCAGTTCTCTCTTCAAAGTCTTCCAGTCTTTTGGTGGTAATGAAGGTTTCTCCTCTATAGGACTATCCACGGCTTCCGCTTGTAGATAAATACCACCGAGTGACGGCGACATGTTCCAATCGTCTGGTCCAGTTAGACTAGCCCTGGCTGGCTTCAGATCCCCTTCGTCGATCGCAAGTCTATTACCGGATGGCGTTGAATCATCATGCCCGCGTTCCATGCTTTCTACCATTTTCTCATCGTGATCTTCTCTCACCTCTTTTTCAGGAACCGGTGGTACCCTTAAAGATGTTGTCCGTTTTCTGATCTGAAATTTGAGCGGATCAGGCATCGAAGTAGACTGTTCATACCTTCTTTTCGCCAGCTCTTGCAGATACAGCTGCGTCACCTTCTTCGGGTCCCAACCCCCCTGACGAGCAAGGTCTGGAGACTGTGTCAAGATGTGTTGTTGGACATCATTCATCAGCTCCGGACTGACAACATTAGTGTCATGGTAATGATCTAGGACACGATTGATTGTGCTATAAGCATCACTATCCAAAGTGGTTCGAGCGGTGCGAGGTGAGGAGAAGGATGCAGGAGACCATGCCTGTTGCGGAATCTGCTCGCTTGTTGAAGTGGACGTGGATAGGTCGTTGGGTTGTGTAGGATTCGAGGGACTGTGTTCGTCGATTCGCTCCATCGGTGTGTCTCGGTCATCCCTTGACCTTGTAGAAGAAGTCCACGAACTCATGCTCCACCGACTTTCAGGCTCTTCACCTTGAGGTGCATCCTTCAGCTTTTCGTCGCGATGCCTCTTGAACGGCGCTTTATCAAGGACAGGAGTGTCACCAAGCATGATCTGTATTGATTCTCGATCATCTTTGTCGGAACTCGATTCTTCTGTCGCACTAGGACGTCGAGGAGATTCGGGACTAGGACTCGAGTCTCGCATGTGCATAATCTGGTCGAGCAAAGTCTGATGGTCTTGCGATGGATTTCTGGAGCTATTCTGCGAATCCTCCTGAGGCTCATCGTCAAAGAACGTGTCCACTGAATCGGATGTACCTGCTGTGATAGCAGAAGAGGGTTCGACATCGGAAGGAGGCGTTCCGTTTCCTTCTTGCACCCGACAGAGATTTGACGAGAATCGATCGTACGTGCCTAGAGTGGGCGAATCCTCCATGCTCAGATCCAGGACAGACCGTTCTGACAGAGGGCCAGTATTTATTGTTAATTCGCGCTCCGACTTGGGCAATTCCTCCGCTGGAGTTTGAAATTTTTCCTCCTCCACCTCTTGCTGGCCTTCTTGGCCGGGATCGACAGCTGGCCCGGGATGATCATGCTGATGTCCAAGTCCCTCAATTTCTTCGCTGGTGTGTGACGCTTCCAGCTGCTGATCTTCCTGAGCCATCGACATTCTCCGCTGCTCAGCCTCGACCTCTTGTCTCTCATTCTCCTTGACAGTCTGAGTGAAAGCCTGCTGGATTTTCTTCCTCCTTGCCGCAAAATCCACAGCACCAAGTTCTGGCGGCTTGCGAGGCCGGCTCTCTCGTGTGTTCCTTAGGCTACCATTTTCGGTGCTCGAATATCGATCAGCAGCGCGGGCACGAGAAGCTGTGGTTGACGCACTTGAGACTGGTTGGCGGGGTCTCGAGCTGCGCAGCGGAGGAGACTTCTTCGGCATCGGAGCTGAGATGTAGGCTGTAAGCCGAGGGCTAGTCGCGGTATGTTGAGCACCAACATCACCGCGCAGTGGGGATCTTTGTGGAGTGTTTGATCTTGGTTGCCGTTGTGGACTGCGCGGACGCTGATTGTTCTTCTTGGCTGGGACCAGTACCCTCGTCGGAGATTTCATATGTGTCCTACCTAATGCAGAATTGTTTCTCGTAGAAGGGGTAGAGTTGCCAGAATCGGACGTAGGACTTAAACGTCGCGTACTGATAGGTATTCGAGATTGAGAATTGCGTTTCGATGTGCCAATTGAGCTAGGAGAGGACGGTCGATCTTGTGTTGGCGAAAGATCAAGTCCATACATTGTAGACGCTGGTGGTCCGGATGGCACACCAGTGAAGTCACTCCTTGTCCGTCGATGCACGTTTGTGAGAAGAATGGGTATCTGCTTCTCCGTTTTGATCTCTTCCAATGTCGGTATGACCCCTGAGTACCAAGCAGAAGGCGACGACGGCGAGCCTTCGGAAACATGACGATTTCGTTCCTCGGGAAACATTGGATTAGGGCTATGCATACTTCCCTCAGATCCTCTCCTTCGACGCGTCGCAACAATGCCATAGCCGGGATCAGGTAGGGTAGAGCTCATTGCCAAAATTTCCCCAAACAGAGGCCTTCGCGAACCGTTGTCAACATATGGAGCCAGATCAATCATGGATTGAGAAGCAGACATCTTGGGGTCAGAGGGCTCAGTCCGTTGAGGCCTCGGAGCCCTCTTTGATCTGGGACTTGTATTCGCATCCTCATTCGTCCGCCCTCTTCGAGGGTGAGGTCTTGCATTGGTAGTGGACCGTGATGATTCCGAAACCAAACCCATTCTCGAAGAGGCATTTCCATTGCGGAATGACAAGGACGAATTCCGAGGTCTTAAGCTTTGAGCACTGGTTGATGGGTTGGAGCCTGCAGACGGAGATCTTGAGCTAGACTTCCTTGGTAATGGCAAAGTCTCGTCAGGAGTTTGGTTGAACTTGTCCACCAGGTCCTTCAACGATGTCTGCCGATTTCGGGCAGTGTTTAGGGTAGGGCTGGACTTGGCGGCGCTCAAGGGAGATCTGTCGGAGGTGGGAGAAGAATGATAGTCGTGGGTATTGATGCGAGACGGTACAGCATGCAGGCTTTGCCCTTTGGCTCTCGAGACAGGGCCAGACCTCTGCTGGTGGCCCATGCTACCGTCACGGCGTTCCACTCTTATATCTCCCTGGCCCAGTCCATCATTCAAAGCTTTCCCGAATTGATGCTGATGGTGCCTGTAGAAGTCGTGAGGATCGGGAGAGTCCCTCCCAGTACCGTTGACCCTAGCGCTAGAGGTGCTCTGTTCGAAGGAAGTCGACACTCTGGGCCGTTTCCCCGAGGGAGTATAGGCATAGGCAGGTAAAGGGGGTATGGATGGAGGGCGTGATGTAGGATCGATGTCTTGAGCTGCGGGGTCGTAGGAGGATGACGAGGGACTGTGGTGGTTTTCTAAGGCATAGGACGACGACATGCTGACCTCGGGTGAGAGATGTAAGACATCAGTGTTGTGTCACCTGTACAACTCGGCCTTACCAGGCACGTCAAATTGATGGCCCAGAAATGCAGGGTCTTAGTGTAGTGTGTCCGGATAGTTGTCGCACGAGACAAACGCGGAGAAAATACGTGAAGCTGGAAATCTATCGCGCGCAACAGTAATGTGCAGGTGGAGTGATAGGTTGATAAGGCACCCGTGAAGGAAGACGTGGTTATGGCAATTTGTGAGGTGGAGTTGGTGAGTCGTACTGAAATTGATTATGGCCTGTACGCGAAAGCAAGAGCATGGTCCAATGAGATTGAGCCTCTTTTTGATCCCACCAATCCGCTTGATAACAACGAGGATTCCTTGAGGTACTTAATATTTAACGGCCAGCTACCCAGAGAACGTCCTCGACTTAATTACCCTGCGCTACTGCCCAGCAAGCAATTAATAATAATGATTGTTGTCACTGCCAAATGCTTGTTCCGCTACTGAGCAGAATTCACTGCTGGGCGGGCCCGAAACCACGGATAGAGTACGGTACGGTGTACGAAGCAAGCCACTTGCAGGGATCTTGCTGGCAATGCTTTACCTTAAACACCTGGCGGCCGCATGCCTTAAGGTGGTGACCATCAGCTCCGACTTCTGAGGTTCCCAAAGAATTATTTGCAACGACGCTCGCGACTCAAGTTGACAGTCCCGGATTCCTGCCTGCTACCCGGACTACGGTACGAGTCCAGTGGTACTCTACAGAATGTCCAGTGGACAATGGATACCACACTAGCGTACTTGCGCTTCTTAGAAGCGACTTTCCTTCAACGGCCATTCGGCGGATTAACCAGTGGCCGGTATGAATCTTATTCCCTTGAAGAGCTGCGTCGGGAACAGAAGAGAGAGTGTCTCTTGAGAGTCTGTGAGATACGCTTCAACGCAAAAAGTATTGTACCAAACATCCGAGGCCACGGGCGACAGTGCAGCAGCGAGAGATAAATCATGTACGCGGGCCCGCGTTTGCAGCTTCAGTCAATTGAACTTTTCAGTCAATGAAGATACAGTCTGGCCTACCTACCTAGGTCCTTTGTCTAGGCAATCTGCATCACGTCTTCTATGCTCAAGTAATTCAACCAATCCCGGTGGAGTCCTACCCGTAAGCTGACTAGCTTTCGACCTTTGACGCGACTCAACGCGTCAAATCATCTGCTTTTACTTTGGTTTCTCGTGTGAGCAACAACCATTGAAAAGTTTGAATGAAGGTTCTTCATTCAAACATATGGAAAACTTCTCTTCTGCCTTTTATTGGAGAAAAAGAGGGTGCACTCCCCCACCTTCGGTTATGTCTTGCCATCTATTGCCCGCTGCTCAATAAAACTCTGAGAACGTGTGGTGCGCATGATGGGCAAGCGAAAACGAAGTCGCCCCTTCGACGAAGATCACAAGCGAGCTAAAGTCGAAAAAAAGATCATAACCCCTGTAAAGCATCCTGCGTTGAGTCTTTATTACCGCAATATCTTGACTTTGAGAGACTATCTACTCTTGAAGCTGCCCACAACGTCCAAGGCCAGACGTCGCAAAATTGTGTCCATCTTGCCTGGCACGGCCAACTTTCACCACAGCGATGAAGAGACCGGTACCTTGTCCCAAGATAGATATTGTCTTTCTCAACTCTTGAACAATACCTTGGTTTGCACAGTCCACGAGCAGACGTCGCGACCTGAATCTTCTAGGGTGAAAGACTTTGCAGTCTTCTCTCAGCACGTTAGTCCCACTGCTGGGAGCAGTATTGGCGGCAGCACATCGTCGCTGTCGGATCTTGTCGACTTTGCCATATGGCTACTATTTCATAAAATTCATCGCCATGCTCATAGACCGCCCCATATGCTATGTCATGGCTTTCAGCGTGCGAGTAACCCGCGACAAACCAATGAAGATCATTGTGCAATCGCTGGCATCCCAGGAGTTGTATCGCACTACCCCAATGCAAATGTAAACGCGCTTAAAGGCTCACCCTGGACGGAGACATTGAGCTTGCTAGGGAGAGAAGGTGACCGCATAGTGCTTGATCTAATTCTGGATTGTGGTATATTCCTCGCCGGCAACGAGGGCCTAGGTAATTATTACCAGCTATCAGGTAGGGATTACCCCAGCGTCCTCTTATTCAAGCCTTAAGCTCAATGATAGACGCAGGGACTCCGTTGACCGAATTACAACCTCTGAGTGCCTCAAATTCTCAGAGAAAAGTACTCACTTCGAAGCCAGAGCTCTGCAAGACATCTATATTATGTCATGTCGCTCAATCAACGCACAAAAATCCTGCTGCCATTACTTTCGTTCGAAATCGTATGTTCTACGCACGCGCGGCTTTAAACGCCAAAGGAAGAGTTACCTTTGGCTTGCGACATATCCGTAAGTTCGGAACGACTGTACAAACGGTCGGACTAATGTGTAATAGATGTCTTGAATCGATATTCAGACAGTGGCAATATAGAGCACACAGCCCATGTGATGAAATATTTGTTCCCGAGGCAATTTGGGATGCACAATGTCTTTACTTGTACAGTCGACTCAAAGGAAAGCATTCAGCCTTTCAAAGACTACACTCTTCGAGAGCAAGAAATCGCTCAGTTGGATCGCCAAAAACTACAGAAAGGAAGCGCTGAAGCTTCAAGCATTGCCGTCAGACACCGAGTACCGAAAAGGCTTCGAGGTGAGGCGCTGGATCTTGTCAGAAAGTTGCAGAGACTACACTCCCGATGCTCGTATCATGATCTCCTGAAGCATTACTGTCCGGCAAAGGTGAGCAGGATAATGCGTTTTCCTGCCAATGCAGCTTGATAACATCGAATAGCGAACAGGCCCCCGTCCCAAGCGGATAGTGGTTGCTGGATCAGCAAGAACCATGCCCGAAAAGGTTGACAGTCAAGTACCAGGCCCTTCATCGTGCACAGTCATTAATGCCGCTGTTCCTCAAATTCGAGCGGAGCCTCCCAATGCACCTTTGGTTTCGCTAGCGACCCCTCAGTCTGATGTATCTGCATTTTGCCAAGCTGTACTATCCAATTTAATACCGGACAGATTCTGGGGCGAAGGAAACCAAGGACAGGATAATAAAGAAGTTGTGATGCGGAACACTGATCGTTTTGTTCGATTGAGAAGATTCGAGAGTCTGTCATTGCATGCGGTGTTTCAAGGCTTAAAGGTAATAGGTCCCCCAAATCAAAAGCGCGGAGTGAAGCTGACACCTGCAGTTGACATGTATGACCTGGTTGAAACCAGCTCAAGTCAACCATTCCATGAGGGTTGCAGCTTCCGATGTTGAGAAGCGCAAAGAAATATTTTTAGAATTCCTCTACTACGTGTTCGACTCTTTACTGATACCACTGATCCGCTCCAATTTTCATGTCACAGAATCGAATGTTCACCGGAATCGTCTCTTTTATTTTCGACACGACGTGTGGCGGGCGTTGACGGAGCCCGCTATGGCGAACTTCAAACTCACTATGTACGAAGAGATGAAGACTGCGAAAGCCAAAAACTTGCTCGACGCACGCGCTTTGGGTTTCAGCCAAATCAGACTGCTCCCTAAAAGCAACGGAGTACGGCCCATCACAAATCTTCGCCGACGCGTCACCAAATTACAGAACGGCAAATTTACCTTGGGCAGAAGTATCAACTCTGTCATGGCACCTGTGTTCAATGTGCTCGACTTTGAGAAAAGGAAGCGGCCAGCTCTTGTAGGCTCAGCTCTTTTCTCAGTTGGGGATATGTACCCGAAGTTGAAAGCTTTCGCACAAACGATTCACGGGGGCAAACCACCGTCGAATTTCTACTATTTCGCAAAGACAGATGCCAAATCATGTTTTGATACTATCCCTCAAGACGACGTAATAAGGCTCATAAAGCAGATAGCTTCCGAGGAAGGCTATAGAATCGCTCGACACGCGGAGGTCAAACCTTCCGACACTCATGGTTATGACTTTGCAAGGAATAATATCGACATCAAGCCGGCGCGCAAATTCGTTTCCACCGCGAGAGCGGCCACAGACTTCCAAAGCTTCGACGATTTCGTAAGTGCTGGTCTGGGAACAGCAAAGAAAAATACTGTTTTTGTAAACAGCATCATCCAGACTTTACAGAAGAAGGAAAAGACCTTGGACCTTTTGCAGGATCATGTCGAGAGGAACATTATCAAGATTGGCAAGAAATTCTTCCGGCAAAAGGCTGGTATACCACAAGGCTCGGTCCTGTCCAGTCTGCTTTGCAATTATTTCTACGCGGAGCTAGAAGAAGAATGCTTGGGGTTCTTAGAACGGGATCAGAGTATCCTGCTCAGACTTATTGATGATTTCCTGCTTATAACAACTAACAAAGATCACGCGAAGAAATTCCTGCAGGTGATGCATGACGGAGTTGAAAAGTATGGCGTCGAGGTGAATCCGGTCAAAAGCCTTGCGAATTTCGACGTCATCGTCAATGGCTCTCAGGTGCCTTGCTTGCATGAAAGAACTGAGTTTCCCTACTGCGGTAACTCAATTAACACCAAAACACTAGAAATCACTAAAGACAGAGATCGAAGGAAGGGTACAGGTAGTTGATAGCGCTCTAAAGCTCAACCGTGTTTCTCTGCTAATGGGTAACAGTGCTAGCGGATACATTGACCGTCGAGCCATCAAAAGTCCCGGGCAAGGCTTTTTACCGTAAAGCGTTGAAGTGTGTACTTTTCAGTGGGCAACGGCACTGGCTGACAGTAATTGCAGTGCCTTGAAGATCCAGACACACAAGATGTTCCTCGATACAAACTTCAATTCCACTGGTACAGTCTTGTCGACCATCTATCAGAATTTTGTGGAGGCAGCTATGAAGTACTATCGGTACGCCAAGTGCATGGGAGGAGGGAAGCACCCTCACCCAGATCTGCTCATAGGTGAGTCTGGTCGAGTCCATATCAGAAAGGCAGAGATCGTTGTGGGACGTAAGCTAACGAGATACATTGATGACATATGCAGGTACCATACACGATCTGGTTGAATTGGCGTTCGTACTCATCAAAGGCAAGCACAAACGTCAGACAGAGCAAGGCTATAGCTGTACGGTCAGCAAATGCCAAGTAGAATGGTAAGCGGCCCCTGCTTCAGCTCCAACCCCTGCATGAACACGCGGGAATCCCACATGTTGCAAAATCGTGCCACATGGCTAACCGAAGGATGATACACAGGTTGGCGGCAAAAGCTTTCCGCAACATCTTAGCAAAGAAGCAAAGCAAATATCGCCTTGTCATCCTTTGGCTTGATGATGCGATTCGGCGGACGAAGCCGGACAAAGCCAAGGAGATGTGGAAGCTCAATAGAATCGTGAAAGAAGGCGATGCTATATTTATAGATTATAAGTTTTAGAGATAATACTCCCTACAAAGCACAATGAATGCTGGTCAATGAGCCCTGCGGAATGCACGCTTGTAATCTTGTTGCCAGCCACATATGCACCAACCCCCACATTGACAGTGCCCCCACAACAGAGATTCTCAATATTCCTGTCGCATTTCTGCAATTTTCTCCTCTTTACTTTGATGTACTCTTTGGACAGCTTGCAATTGAGGTTCAACGAGACATTGAAGCTACTGTTGCGAGTGGTCGTATCCTACATCAATTGGATCGCCCGATACGAAAATCCTTCGTCTTGGCTCTCGCGCCCGCGTTTAAGATTACTCGTACTCCGGAAAGGCTGAAAATATGCCCGAATCTCTGACCCCAAATTTCACTGCTCTCTCCGTTGTTGACCTCTTAGGTGATGTCGATAACCACTACCATTCTTACTGTACATACATACCTGTCACTATCCTAGGTGTTGCCCGCCATTCTTTACACGTTCACCGTCATTCTCCAGAGGTCGACTTCAAAGCGCCCTCATTCTCATCCTCAGAAAGCACCAACAAAACATTGCATCCCCCACTCTACACCGCTAGAAACATCACTCGCTTCCCTAAGAGCTATACCACACATCCAACGCATACATGCCAACGCTCGCTGACTCATGTTGCGGTCACACCTGACGATGAAATGACCGACGCCCCTGGCTCTCCTCCCGGTCTGACCGGATCCAAGTCTTCCAAATCTTCCTCATACCGTTCCTCTTCTTTGTCCGGCCCAGACGGCATTCTATCTGATATTACCCACTTTGAAGACATTGGTCTTGACGGAGATCATCTCTTCGGGCGGAATCTACATGGCATGGAGAAACCAATGCGGCCCGTAGCCGGCGCGGCCCCCCCAATGGCTACTATGCGAGAGCTCACAAATGCTGGAAAGAACCGGCCTTACCCCCTATTGCAAGGTCCGAAGAAAGAACATTCCGCGACTTATTCTGCCAGTCTGCCAATTCCAGGACCACCAAGAAGAGGCTTGAGGAGCCCTTCGACTCCATCATTAGCTATGGCAGCCATGAGCAATCGCACCCTGTCTCGGAGCCCATCTCCCAATAATGTCTGCCCAGTGTCCAGACCCATGTCCAACCCGGCAGCGCCTCGGAGACCAAGTTTAGCCCCAATAAAGGCGATGAATCCGCAAGCCAGACGTGGCTCTTGGCAGCCAAGCCGGAAATCTATAAAAGAGCTAGAAGCGGAATATAATGATTCAGACGAAGACCTTCCCGATGATGCGAGTCTATGGAATGTACCGCTTTCTCCTCGACCCCCCGCTGAGCGGACGACCTCAATATCTGCGTCCAATTCGCCCAAGATTTCACCTTGCACAAGTCCGGAACCATCCAGTCCTCTTCACACTTCCTCCCGTAATCATTCCTCGCAACCTCCAAGGACCGCTCCAGTCCTCAGAGCAAACTCACCACTGGCGGGCAACATGACTTCTCCACCCTCTTCACCAAGGAAACCGAAGACCTTGCTACGAGGTGCTTCTACAGGAACAATGCCCGATCATTTCGGTTTTGCTGCATCACGCACAAAATCCTGGAACGTAGCACTATCGGAGCTCTCGGAAGAAGCTAAATCGCTGACAGAGGCATTCGAGAACCATGCTGTCTTGGCCGAACAGCAACATGAGGAGGCCGTTCAGAACGGGGAAACGTCCTTCAGACCAAGCCTGGAAAAGCTGTCGAGGTCGAGGACGAGCACGGTGGAGCTTCCCCCTCTCCGAAAGAATAACGTTATGATTGATCCACTGCCTATAAGCAAAGAAAAGGAGAAGGTGCTTAGCAGGACGCGACCAAGCTGGCTGCCTCCGAAGAGCCAAAAAGAGGAAAAGAAGCACTTGAAAGAGTACCAACGAATGATGGAGTTTTCTCTGGAAGCCGGTACGTCGAATGCTTTGTATTGATCCTTTTCTGTGCTAATGTAGAAATTCCAGAGAGGAAAAGAGCTGCGAAAGTTGCTGATTCTCAATGCGCCAAAGACGATACCAAAAGCGCCCTCCTTCGAATATGGGAGGAACATGTACTTCCGAATTGGGATCAAGTGGTCCGAGAGCCCCGCACTCGTGAGCTTTGGTGGAGGGGAGTGGCACCAAAATCACGAGCTCAAGTCTGGCAGAAAGCCGTTGGAAATGAGCTTGCGTTGACAGAGGTCACATACAAAAAGGCTTTGCAAAGGGCCAAAGACGTGGAAGCACGACTTGTAAAGCCGGGCAAAGAAGAGCTGGATAAAGAGAAGGTCTGGTTTGATGCCATCCAGAGGGACGTTAGGGTCGCTTTTCCGGAGCTCAAAATCTTCCAACCGAGCGGCCCATTACACGGTGATCTGGTCGATGTTCTGATGGCTTACTCAATGTACCGCTCGGACGTCGGCTACAGTCACGGCACTCATGTAACATCCCACCTAACTGTCAATATTCCTACAGACCAGCTAACATCATACCAGCTCATCGCCGCTCTTCTCTCCCTGACCCTTCCTGATCCCACCTCCGTCTTCCTCACCCTTTGTAACCTCCTCAATCGCCCCCTACCGCTTGCCTTCCTGACGGGCGATCCATCTGCAACGGCCAAAGCCTATTCCCTCACTGATGCTTTGCTCTCTCACAAATTTCCACGTCTTCACGCCCATCTCTTCGACCCAGCACCCACTGGACTCGGCCTCACAGCGCACGAAGCGCTTGAACCTATGATGCGCACGCTTTTCCTAGGTCCTGGAAATGGATTAGGTGTGGAAAGAGCGGTCAGAGTGTGGGACGTCATGGTGTTCGATGGAGACGGAGTCATCATAAGAACAGCGGTGGCTGTTTTGGGCGCACTGGAAGGGAAACTATACGGAGGCAAAGAAGAAGTCCTAGGGGTACTTGGTTGGGGAGATAGCACGGGCAAAGGTGCGTGGGATGTTGGGGGTGAAGAGAGCTTCATGGCATTGGTGAGAAATGCTGGCAAGGAAGAGAAGGGAAAGGATATGTAATGAGCTTGATGATGGGTGTTAATATGAATGGGCCTGGGTGTATATAGGTTCGATTCCTTTGCAGGGTACTGTGCGTCTTGGATGAACGCCAGCGAGCATAGCGTTTTTAATAGATAACATTGGCTGATAAAATGGTTCTTAGGTCTTGGAATAGTAATTCTTCCTCGGGCGTGTCATTGTGATTGGGGATCTGGAATCTGAGAGTGATCGTGAGGCTAAGGTACCTTAAGCGAGGTGAATCTGGGAGCGGGCCACACCCGGCACTAAGATAATATGTGCTGGGGCGCGGGCTTCCCAGTAGTGAAAAGCTTGCCGAGTACTGGTTTTTGACTATATTGGATTCTCAGAGAGACCCCCTAAAACCCCTCGGGTCCTTCAAGAGCTCTTTAAGGGCTCTCCGAAGGCTTCTGTCGGAGGGGCTGTCAAAGCAAGCTCGAAATTTGATTATTTTAATACTATTTGATTAATTTCGAGCTTACTTTAATAGCCCCTCCGACAAAAGCCTTCGAAGAGCCCTTAAAGAGCTCCGAAGGGTTTAAGGGGTTTTAAGAGATCTAACTTCTAAGAATTAAAAGAGCTTTTAATTAATTCTTAGAGGGAGACCCTCTAAAACCCCTCTTCCCTCCGAGAGCTCTTCGAGAGCTCTTTAAGAAACTTCGAAGGGCTTATTTAAGGGATTTTAAGGAGTCTAATCTCTAAAAATCGAGAGAGCTTTTAATTAATTCTTAGAGGGAGACCCCCTAAACCCTTCTTCCTTTTAAGGGCTCTTCGAGGGCTCTTCGAGGAGCTTCGAAGGGCTTAAGGGGTTTTAAGGGGTTTAACCTTTAAGAATCGAGAGAGCTTTTAATTAATTCTTAGGGGGAGACCCTCTAAACTCCCTTTTTCTTCGAGGGCTCTTCAAGAGCTCTTCGAGAAGCTTCGAAGGGCTTAAGGGGTTTTAAGGGGTCTGATCTCTGAGAATCGAGAGAGCTTTTGATTAATTCTTAGGGGGAGACTCTCTAAACCCCCCTTCCCTTCGGGGGCTCTTCGAGAACTCTTCGAGGAGCTTCGAAGGGCTTAAGGGGTTTTAAGGGGTCTAATCTCTAAGAATTGAGAGAGCTTTTAATTAATTCTTAGGGGGAGACCCCCTAAACCCCCCTTCCCTTCGAGAACTCTTCGAGAAGCTTCGAAGGGCTTAAGGGGTTTTAAGGGGTCTAACCTCTAAGAATTGAGAGAGCTTTTAAAGTATTAAAATAATTAAATTTCGAGCTTGCTTTAATAACCCCTTTAATAAAAATCTTCGAAGAGCTCTTAAAGAGCTTCGAAGGGTTTAAGGGGTTTTAAAAGATCTAACCTCTAAGAATCGAGAGAGCTTTTAATTAATTCTTAGAGGAAGACTCTCTAAAACCCCTCTTCTCTTCGAAAACTCTTTAAAAACTCTTCGAGAAGCTTCGAAGGGCTTATTTAAGGGATTTTAAGGGGTCTAACCTTTAAGAATTAAGAGAGCTTTTAATTAATTCTTAGGGGGAGATCTCCTAAACCCCCCTTTTCTTTGAGAGCTCTCCGAGGGCTCTTCGAGGGCTTCTGCCGGAGAGGCTATTCTCGCGAGCTCGATAAATCTTAGTTTTTAGTATATCTTTACGAATACTTTATCAAATTTCATTTTCGCTATATTAATTAAAAGCGTATAATTAACTCTATAACTCTATAAACTTATTTTATTATTATTTATTACATAACGTTAAAGAAATTAAATAGAATAAATTAATAAAGTTGATGTTCGAGGTTCAGCCTTATAATACTTCCTCTTTTAAACGTACCCGTATGCACCCGCTTTTAGCTTAGAAATGAAGAAATAAGATAAGTTTTAGCTTCAAAATTGTCACGGTACGCCAAGGCCTCCTCCAGAGCCACCACCCAATTGGGCCTAGCGTGGCTTGGCACCGCACATATCTGCCTTGCAGGCACATAGAATAATCAACATCTTTTACACCACCATGAATTCATGACCCAGTCATCCATTTCCTTGACAATTGGTAGCCACACCTAACCCAGGTCCTCTTCCAAGTCGTCTATACCGTCACTCAACCCGCAGTCACGATATACCGACAGTCAGCCCCCGCGCTTCCGCTACGCAGCTAGATTCAGTCTACGCAAATCAGCCAATCAGTCAATCCTTTCATTAGGCCATTTGACATCACATCATGTCTTCCAACAGCCAGATAATTCGCGGCTTCACGGCAGAGCAAAATCACTCCTTCACGAATATCCTTCTACCAGCGCTTCAAGTAATGCTTCGCCAGGCATTCGACAAGCATTTCAACCCACTGCAGCCACAGCAAAAGCAGTCAGTCATAATGCCAAAGCCGGCACAGCCATCAGAGCAGGAACAAGAGCATAGGCCATTGCAACAGGCAAATGTGGAGAAAACTGCGGAGAAGACTACGGAGAAGAACAAGAGCACGGACAGCAGCAGTCCTATTCAAGCGGGCACACTCTCTACAATTCCACACCAGGCCACTATGCAGAATTGCGGAGAACCTACCCCTCGCCTCAGCAGTACTCCACTTTCTACCTCGCCTCTCGCCTCTCTTCTCACTCTCGCCTCTCCGCTCGGCTACATTCGATATGCGAAGGATATGGAGGCTATAGGCCAAGGCTAGGTGCATGGATATATGGACGGCGCACGCTTGATGTAGCTATCCAGAGATGCAGCCACGAGGACGTGTCTTTTTTTCATTCTTTGCGGGCATGTTGTCACGGTACGCCAAGGCCTCCTCCAGAGCCACCACCCAATTGGGCCTAGCGTGGCTTGGCACCGCACATATCTGCCTTGCAGGCACATAGAATAATCAACATCTTTTACACCACCATGAATTCATGACCCAGTCATCCATTTCCTTGACAAAAATCACGGAATCTAAAGATTTGATTAGTCAACTTTAAATTTATGGTTGTCGAACATTTTGTGATTTTAGTCTTGAGTAATGAGAAAGCAAGCTTTCCAACTAAAGTATCGCCTGCAGGGTTTTGAGCTAAGGTAGATGTAGCTAAGAAGAAAGCCACAGAGGTTCAGCGAAGTCCGTGGGCCATGCAGAATCCAGAGTTTGAGGTAAGATAAGGTACGAGTACGACCCCACCTCGATATCTGGCTCCCTTCTCTATGTATACTCTTCATCTCTACATGCACATATAGCACATATATTCATTCATTCCCCATCCTAAATACTCCGTAATTACCATCAGGTCTCGCTCCGAGCATGTGCAACAGAATGAAAGCCAGATACTGAATCATCCACATCAACCCAACCCCTTCTCCAACCTCCACACAACCTCACCTCTCCCTCCACAACCCCCCAATCCCACCCTGCGCCTTCCCGCAATGTCCTGGATCAGCAAACAGCTCGAATTAACCCCCACTCACTTTGTCTACCTTATCCTCTCTGCCTTTCTCCTCCTATACGCCCTCTTCTCAGCCTTCATCCGCAACCGACTCCACCTCTCCGAACCCCCACTGGCCACTCTAGTCGGCATAGCCTTTGGACCCCAAGGCGCGAACCTCATCAGCTCTGTACGATGGTTCTCGGACGACATCACGCAGGAGGCAGCGAGGGTTGTGGTTGGGCTACAGTGTTTCACCGTCGGCGTGGAGTTGCCGAAAGCGTACTTTTCGCGCCACTGGAAAAGCGTGGGCATGATGTTGGGGCCGGTCATGACCTTCAGTTGGCTCATTACCGCCGGCTTCGTATACGCTGTGTTGCAGACCAAAGTGACGACGGCCCTCATCATCAGTGCGTGTCTCGCTCCTACGGATCCCGTGCTGGCGGCCAGTGTTCTGGCCGAGAGCACCTTCTCTAAAAGAGTGCCGAGGAGATTGAGGCACATGCTCAGTGCCGAGAGTGGATGCAATGACGGCGTTAGCTTTCCCTTCCTGTACATTGGCATCCTCTTCCTCGTCGAGCAGACGCCGGGAGCTGCGGTCAAAGAGTGGGTTCTTGGGACCGTGCTATGGCAATGTACGCTCGGTCTACTGATCGGCCTCGTCATCGGCCACTCTTTCAATCGAAGCCTGCGATTCGCGGAGCGCTGGGCTTACATCAGTCCCGCGCCTTTCCTTGTCTTTTACTTCCTACTCGCCATCTTCTCGGTCGGGATCGGCTCAACCCTGGGCGTGGACGACTTCCTCGTGGCCTTTGGAGCCGGTTACGGTTTCGCATGGGACGGCTGGTTCGCGAAAAAGACGAGGGAAACAAACCTGCCCGAAATACTAGACCTGCTGCTGAACTCGAGCATGTTCGTCTACTTCGGTGCCATCATCCCGTGGAGGTCCTTCACCCCGACGGAATTTACACCCTCGATCACGCCGGGCCGATTGGTGGGCTTGCTGATCCTCATCCTCCTCTTCCGCCGCATCCCCATCGTCCTGGCCATGAAGCGCTTCGTCCCCGACATCCGAACGTACCGCGAAGCGCTCTTCTGCGGCTACTTCGGCCCCATGGGCGTCGGCGCGCTTTTCCTCGTCATCGAAGCTCGCGCCATGCTGGAGAACGGCACGTCGATACCGGACGCGCACCCGCCCGCGGAGAACGAGAACAAGCAGGCTATAGAGACGGTGTGGCCCGTGGTCTGCTTTATTGTCCTGGGATCGACGATGGTGCATGGGCTTTCGGTCGCGGCGATCAGCGTGGGGAGTCATTATGCGCGGAAGGAAGGGGAGAGGGCACCGCTGATTGGAGGCGAATCGGATGGCTTGTACGGTATGGTTCATGAGGGAGGTGGGGGAGAGAGCGAGCCGAGTGTTAGTGGGGATGAGGACCCTGATCCCCCTGATCATTATTGATGGGGGTGTGAAATGCATAAGTAAGACATTCTTATGTACAAAGAGAATAAAAAACCCCCCGGCTTTCATGGTGGCAGATCCACTATCTGGCTCATCATCTCAAGCCATCACGCCCGCACAGGCCACATTTGCCAAATACATCAACCCTCCATATCCCTCGCCCTCGTCACCCCCTCAACCTGTCCACCAACCGGCGCTCCGCATTCCGAGCAATGAGCCCGCTCCATCGGCATGGCATGCCACACCCTCCAATCGCAAACTACGGCACGACACGGTCAGTCGGTAACACGTACAACCCGCCGTATTACAAACTCACCGGACGGCCATTGGCGTAATTATACCAGTGACCGGAGCGCGTAGCGAAGCCTCGCATCGCCGTCTTGACAGCCGCCATCGCCTCCTCGGTAACCTGATCGTGCCATTTTCGGCGACGGAGCCTGATGGACTGACTCATCGATAGCTGCGCGTAGGGCATCTGCGTTCCGGAATCCCAGCGCACATTGGTCTCTGGTGTTCCACTACCAAGTCTTTTGCGGAGTGGGAAGGATCTTGGTCTCTGTGATGTCCCGTTTGTCGTTACAACTGTGGCGGTGTTGTGGTATGAGGAGGTCTCGGGGATAGGTGGAGGTCGGGACAGCTGAGTTGAGACACCATCTATTTTCGGCTCTCCGTCCTGTTGCAGCAGGCCAGTTGCGCGGCCGACTATCGCGCGAAGCTCTGCAATGCTTTTGCGGAAGACATGGAACGTCACATGATGTGCATCAATACCCGCAATAGCTACACGGTTTTCGATCGAGCTGATCAGACCCGGCAGATGGTCATGGAACGCAGCCCGTTGCTCTCTTCGGAGCAGCTCCCGTAGGCCTCTTAGCGTTGCGATAAGAGTCGTTTCGAGGATCGCTTTAGGATCAGGAGTTGCCGAGTCGAGGATTGGCTCGAGGCTGGAGGTAAGCAGCTGGAAGAAAGGATATTGCTCGGGGTCCATTTCTTCCACTGATGGAATTGTACAAGCCACCGACGGCAGTACCGACGGACAAGCGATCCAACAATGCATAACGGGTAATGATCAAACGAAAGGGCTGGGCCAGTGTAACGAATGTGCTGTGGCCATGAGCGTATGCTTTCATGCCCAAGAGTATCTGAATGTGTTGACGACGGCAATATTCATCATCGTCACGGTCGAGGGGGAGCATCTGCTCTCAATCCTGATCATCTCCATTGAGAACTGTAACAGCGCCACTCCAGAGCCTTTAAATCGTCCTGTTGTCATTGGGCTGTGGTGGGATCTTGATGAGTCCAAATACTTCCTGCCATCTTTCATCTGCAAATCCCAACAGCATTGCTGAAGCACTTACGCGTGGCCGCAATCCATGACAGTGACCCTTGAACAGTATCCGATACTACTATGGGATGGGATGATAGGTGAAGAGGCTTATCCACGTTCAGAGCTTGCGGGCCAAGAGCGACGTTTGCACGAATCTCAACATCTTGGATTGATTTGCTACCGGCACCTGCAGGTCTGCAGGAAGACTTATAACCCCTGTGACTGGAAAAGTCCAGTGCCGAGGTAGCTAATCGAATCAGTCAAATTCGAAACCATCTTATTTAAGTCTGTGCTCAAAGTCACAAGAATAGAAAAGGATCGCCGGTCACAGCTAACCTCTCGCCACTATCTACATCGACCGCAGGCATATCAACGTTGGCGCCGCTCAGCCTGGGCGGCTCAGGAGCCGACTGCCTTCTCATCCTTTCACTCTTTGAAAGGCTCATTTCTGCGTAGGCCCAGTCATATCGATCGATTTGGTCTCCGCAAAGATACTTCGCAACGGGAGAGACTTCGACCGGTATATGTGGGCCTGGCTCCGAGAGCGTGGGGTAGGTTTTGACGGGACGGGAGGGTATGGGGTTTTTGAGCCAGGAAAGGATCTCGGTCAGGCGGGCTCCGAGCAAGAGAGTAGTTTGAACGGCTAGAGATCTGAACTTGGTAATGCTTCGAACGGGCCGAGAGGCGATGCAGCCCATTTTGATGCGTGTGGCTCTGGGTGAAGAATTGATCGCTGGTATGATGGAACGAGAATGGGAACTGTTTGACGCTCTCGGCTTGGGTAGGGGGGTGAGTATCTTCAAGGCGAGACGAGATTGTACGAACGATATCTCAGATGAGCGTTAACAGTACAGATGCGAGAAGTATATACAAGTGCTCAGCATTTGGCGCCATTGTTGTGGTGTCTCTTTATTGGACAAGGTTTGTTGTTGCTACTCTTGTTCATTTCGTGATCGAGGCTTTGTGGATGACTTGTCGATTGTTTATTGTCTTGTCTCATCAAAGCGTTCCTCGGTGTTTTCCCCTACCTCCCTTGTCTCAAGATGAAAGACAAAAGCCAGGGGTCCGGTCACCCAAGGCGCATTTTCCGAAAACTTGGCAGTTGCCGTGGTACAGGCTTACCCAAGCTTGAGATCCCTGCGCAAAACGAGAGGTCATGTACCCATGAAACGGTATACTAGATCTCCATGAACTTGCAGATACCAATTTAGGCCGGCGCTCCAAGACTCTGACTTTTTGGCCAGCTTGCCAGACTCAATGGGGGTAATGGCTTGCTTCAATGAATGACTTGATGAGAGTCGCTACGAGGTTGGACACGGTGATACGGAACAAACCAAAGGTATAGCGTTCACACATGGCATCTTCAGGTATCAAGGACAATGAACGCGCACTTTCAAAGCTAAAGACTACAGCATGGGTGCACTAACTCGAAAAGTACAGCGTATCCCCCTTGGAATAATGCACCGCCTGACTCTTGACCCTGGGGCCCTGGGCATACTGCACCTTCTGATCCTTGCGCGAGGCCTGCGCGCCCTTACTGCGGGCGTTCAGCTGCGCGTACGCGTCCCCGTACCTTTCCGGATCGACCGGCCGTACACTCTGGCGTGCTTTGTACGGCGTCGGCGCGCGCTTCTGTCCGCTGCGGGCGTTCAGCTGCGCGTATGCGTCCCCGTACCTTGCCGGATCAACGGGCGGTACTACGGACGGGTGTTGATAATGGGGTACGTATAGAGGGATGTTGGGGTCGAACGGGCGGGATAGGCGGCTGTTGTTGGGCTTTCGGGGCCCATCGGTCTGCCTTCGCGGCCGGGGGACGGCGTTCGAGGGACGGGACGGTGCGCAGCCCATTTCGGTGGTTTGGTTGAGGAGGGTTGTTTGGTGTTTCGGTTGGAGGTTGGGGAAGTTGAGGATGCGGTAATGGTTTTGAGAAATTGTACAGAGAAGGGAAATGGATATGGTGTGTAATAGCAGATGGGAACTGGGACAGCTAAGTACGTGGTTTTCGTCAATGTGTCGTCGTCAGACGGTATAATGCCAATCTTCTTTCAGTCGACTCGCTGTCTTTGTTCCGAACAAGCTCTCCTATGTCTCTCCTGGAGATCTCATTGTCTCTTGTTTCCCTTCGGTACATGTCTCATGGTGAAGACAGAATCTACGATGCCGCTCATCGCGTGAAAAGCTTTGTACTCGCAAATATGTCAATGTTCCTTTGCCAATGTGTCTTGCACAATGGTGCACATTGGCCTTCGTGCACATTGTTCTTCACAACAGAATACGAACCTCATTGTAATTCGCAGGTGTTATACTTGCCTTCTGTTGCCATCATATATATACCTTCCGCCTCTTGTTCTTCAGCTCCTCAGCATCACTTCCACCGCATCCCTCCCAACAGCTCGACACCGCCAAAACCAATCTAAATATATAAAGATCGCAGACAGCAACCAAAAAAAGATGCCATCACTCCGCACCCTCGCCGCTCTGGCCGCCGTTCTGGCAACGGCCACCGCCAGCTCCACCACCTTCACGAACGCCGCCGCCAAAGACATCTGCTACATGGCGGAAGTGTCGAGCGGGACCTTCCCCGGGACCACCCCCTGCGGGCTCGGCGCCGGCATCGCGGTGAAAGCGGGCCAGACCACCACCGTCGCCCTCGACCCCGCCTTCAACGGCGCCCTGACCGCCTGGACCGACGGCGTCCGGGGCGCGCGGTACGAGGTCAACTTCGCCGCCACGGCGGGATCGACGTGGTACGACGCCGACTACCAACTCGGCATGAGCGACGGCACCCTCGGACCGTCCGACCACCGCCGGCTCGCCGACGGCCACCCCTCCGCGTCCGGCGAGCCCGACACCCTCGCCAAAGCCAACGCCGCGTGGCCCCAGACGCCGAACCGGGCCGCCCTGCTCGCGTACCCGGATTACATCAAGCAGGGATCCGACGGCGGGCTGAGCTTCGTCTACTGCGACGGCGATGCGCCACAGGTCGTGGTCGAGTTCTTCCAGGTCACGGCGGAGTTCGACGCCTATATCGATGCCGGGAGCGTGGCGGGGGTGACGCCGGCGGCGGCGGATGCGGAGGCGGTCAGGATGGCGGATGCGCAGAGTTTGCAGGTCGATACGCAGGATATGCTGATCGTGGCCCACTAGGGTGAGGGTGAGGGGTCTTGGGTGGTCGAGTGATGACGTCTTGGAGTTTTGATCTGTTTGTTCCTTTCCGGTCCTGGGGAGTATCCGACACTGGTACGGTCTTTCAATCTGGTAAAGCACGTTGGCTCTTCTTTCTAACGTGGTATAATTCCATTCAACGGTATATACATCCGTTTGCATATTCTCCGTCATAGTAACAATATGAACTTAGCAAGTACTGCTCGCAATTGAAATCTTAGGATCTACGAGTCATGCTGAATTGAATTTGTGATCCGTGCTTTGAGCATTGATTTACTATCACACTTGTAGTTTGATATCTTGATGACAAATGACATATGATAAACCGAGACTTTGACCGATTATACAGTGATGCGCGTAGGCCGAAAAGTCAGGTGAGGTGGTGAATTCCCAGCACCGCCGAGTTTCAGACCTATATACCGTTCAACATTTAGCGTGTGCTGCTGTCAGAATCCGAGATGCTGAAGTTATTCAAGGGCGGAAATTGCTAATGTACTCATATGGTATGGGTATGGTTGGGGCTGCTGTGAGAAGAAAGCGTGCAAATTTCGACGGGAGCTCCTTTGTGCGACTGTTCGACCGTGGTGGTTGATGAATGGATCGAGGCCCAAGGAATTGTTCTCGATGACGTTCAAGAATGCGCTCGACCTCGGTGAGTCCTCCGAGGGGAACCATGACGATTGTTCTGCTCTCCAACACTAAAGGTATTGTGTAGCACAATGATTACCTTCTCGTCCGATTGTCGCCATCAAAGCTATTGTGCTCCTGGGATACATATAAACAGGAAGGAAGGAACGGCCTTGCGCCGAGGCATACCTGCACCATCGCCTATATCCAGCATTCTCCCATTTCCCGCCGCATCGCAGTCTCCACCACTACTACGGTATACTCGACATCCGCAAGCATGGGCGCAGTACACGTCCTCTCAAGAGCGGTTCCTGCATCGGCTCCCAAGTGTCCACTGGGGTGCGCGAATCCTAACAGCTGCCATCCGATTCTTCTCGGTCTTGGCATCCTATATGTTTTCCTCCTCCTCGTCACGCTGTTTGGTTCTACCGGCCGACGGAAAAGGTCGACCGAGCATTCGTCCACAGGGGCAGACTGCATGCCTTGACACTGACAGCCAGGAGCTGTTCCGTTTGTGATGTGAATCGCTTAGAGAGCGGACAAAGGCAGGGAGGACGGCAGCGTTTCTTTGTCTTGTGTGGTAGGTTGTCTGAGATAATACAATCGCATCGGTATTCCTTTGTCTGTTCATTGTCGTCAACGCGTTTCACGACCTAAAATTGCCGTGTCAAAGGAGCTGGACATACATGTAGCAAAGAGACTTGACGTCCGCGATCACCGCACTTGCCTTTATGTTCCCTATACCCAGAGCCCACATCTCAACATCCCCTCTTCATTTTAGATTCCCAAGTCACCAACATCAATCTCCATTCCCCAAACCGACCCCAAAGTAAAAAAAAACAAAACAGCCACAAAGATGGGCTGCGGACATTCACGACCGTCACGAGAAACGGACTCCGGATATCGCTCCACCAACGCCAAACCGAATCGCCGCCCCAAATGGGCAGGGGCTCACAGCTCCCAACGGAATAATCGCGGATATGAGAAGCTGACCGCAAGAGGAAAAGGCGGGGTGAAATCGTCCCGGATGAACAGGGTGAAGGTCGACGAGGACGGGGTGATTTGGTACTACTGATCACGGTCGCGGCGTGGTGCGAGCACGGACGTTGCGAAAGTCTCGTGGAGCGAGGGAGACTGGATCATCGAGCCTTTTGATACTTTTGCGAGATGGTGCAGACAGGATTGTTATGGCTTCTGTAGCACGGTAGAGAACAATTTGGATCGCTTAACCCTTTTTTCAATGTACCCATGACTTGAAAGACGATTTCGTGAAGTGTGGCATTGTGAGCGCGAAAGGTGAACGTAGGAGATGGCGAAGAGATAATTGTGAATGCCAAGTCTGGACCATCAGGAGCAGGGTGAGGGCCTTGAAAGATTTTGGAGAACGGTGCCTGGAAGGATATGAAGGCAAGAAGAAGCATATATAGAGCCGTTGATCTTCGAAGCATATCGAGGAAAACGATGACTGGACGTGGACACGGGTTCAAAATTTACAAAGCCCCCTCTATCCTTTTCTCCCACCTACATTCAAGCCGTTTCAACCGCCGTCCCAGCCAGCGTACCCTCAAGCTTCTCATCCACCCGTGCACCGATAAACCCACTCCCAATATTCCCCAACCCCTCAACCTCAATCATCCACTCCCCAATCCAGCACGCCTCTCTCTCGAAAAAGGCTCCGACTCCATACATGGTATCGGCGAGCATGCTCCACGTCAACTGTCCGGTACGGGCGTCGCCGTGGTTTTCAATGGTGGCAATGGCTCCACCGTAAGACCATGAGACTGTGTCGATGAATATGAGGCCATCGCCGTGATTGAGGATGGCGGAGTGATAGATGGAATTGAGTGCAGTAAGCAGAGTCTGGTAAGTGACGGTAGGGGCGAGGGTAGGTGCTGCTGCGTAGCCGATGAATATGAGGGTGGTAGGGGAGTTGGGCACGTGATAGGACTTTGATCTCTGGATGGGACTGTGGAGTGTCAGTCTGTGGGATAGTTTAAGACTCGAGAAAACTTTGAAGATTTTACGTCGAGGCATCCAAGAGACCTACTTTGATCCTGTGGCGTTGGTAATTGTATTGCTGAGAGGCGACGCAAGGAGGGTCGAGAGATTTGGCTGGGCATTGGATGCTGCCAAAGCTGATAAGACAACTCTCGCAGTGGTCAGTAGCACAGAGAGACGAAGGAACTTCATGACTAAGTTGGGATAGATGGGTGCTCATCAAAGACTGCACCTGAAAGAAAGTGGAAATGGGGTGCATTAGTAAAACGCACGGGCAGTGCGGTTATCAAACCAGTCTCATGGGTCTTAGCCTCAGGGTCTTTCTGCAGGTACAAAACGTACAATATCAGACCATGACGCATCTCGCGAGAGGCGGAAGATGGTCTTGGAAGAAAGGCGCTCGATCCCCAAGATAGGTAGGCGCCTTCCTTGCCGGCAAATTCGAGAGACAGCTTTGTTCGTAGTGACATACAGCATGATTTCATGAAGTTTAACAATGCCAAAGTCTCTGCTTCGAAGTACAGCGTAGACATGCTATGATGCTTCATAACGATTGTCTTTCCGCAGCCACCCTAAGAATCAGTAACTGAAAGCGGCAGTCGCGTGTGAGGCTGCTTATCAGCGAACGGCTACCGCCAGCTTGGGCCAAATCGTCGCATGGGCCTTCAGATATAGACCGATATGAAGCCACTACGATTTAGTAGGCGCTCCAGGGTCCAGACCTTGACTTGCGGTCCGATTGCAAGGCTCGCCTCCTACTTCTCACTTGATGAAAACCCTGATACCCTGTGACTCCATTTTATGGGATAGACTGAAGTCGTGGGCATCTCAACGTCGCTGAGATCTCTCTCGGACAGCTCAAAGCGGAATTTGTTCGGTGTGAAGATGGCTGCAATAGTGAATTAGAACTTGCAGTATGCGAGGTTATTCGGCAGAAAACCGCGTCAGGAGCCTGCAACGAAATGCATCAGACTGCGGATTGATGCGTACGGTCGGTCCTTGAAGCCTGATCAAGTGGAGGTACGCCTTCAAGTGCAGAAAAAAACAAAGGGAGCATCAAAGAATTCCACGAGAGCTGTTCCACTCTGTATTCCCCAGTTGGAACAAGCATTGGCATGATTCGCCAGAGATGCCGGGCATGCACGCTTCAGCCGAGGACTCATATGACCCCTGAGTCCAGACTGCCAACAACAATATACTCGCCGTAAAGCTATGACGACCAGCTCCCTTGAAAACCAAAAATGGACCTCAAATTTTTGTTTCTGGACAAAGAGCCCTTGCCTTTGAATCATCGTAACCAAACAGAAATGGAGAAATGCCCCTGGCAATCTAGGGCAGATGGGCAAAAGCCCACTCTAGCGTTGTGAGGCTAGCTAGGCCTCAGAGATGAACATCTCAACTCCTCGGTATCAATGCCCCGCTTTAAGCAACATCAATGCTGACGATCTTGATATCTTCCTCCGGTTTCTCCTTGTAGACTCTGGCATTCTCGATCCGATGCACCACATCGAGCCCTTGCACCGCTCTCCCAAAGATTGTGTGCTTCCTGTCCAACCAAGGTGTCCTTTCTGTCGTGATGAAAAATTGGCTGCCATTCGTATTTGGCCCTGCATTTGCCATGCTAACCGTGTAAGCTTTGTCGTGTTTGAGCGCAGAGAATTCATCCGCAAATTCCGTGCCCCAGATGCTTTCACCACCAGTCCCATCACCTAGCGGATCGCCACACTGGATCATGAATTTCCGGATCACGCGGTGGAATATTGTATTGTTGTAGTAGCCGTTCTTGCTATGAGTGACGAAGTTCTCCACAGCTTTGGGGGCAGCTTCGGGAAAAAGACGGATGTGGATGTCGCCATATGTTGTATGTAGAATGGCTGCGGTACCACTCTCCGCAGGCTTGGCTTCGACTTGTTGGCGAGAATTGAGATTCCTGGGCTTTTCATTTTGAACGTCGCGAGAAGACTTGCTGATATCGGTCTCGTTGGTGAAAATATAGAAGCGGACTTTTCCTGAGCCAGTGGAAACGAGCATCGGATCTCGCTCTTCGGCTTCTTGGAGGAGAGGATTGGCGCTGGCAGCCATGGAGACCGTGACAACACCTTTCTTTTGAGGTTGACCCTGGTAAACAGCCAGATTCAATGGGCGGAACGATTCATCCTTGCCGTAGACTTTGACGACGCGATTGGTCAGGGTATTGATGACCTTCGATCCCAGGAGAGAGCCATAGATGATGAAATTACCTGACTCGTCGAATATTATGTTGATCTTATTTTGAAATGCTGGATTCTCCAGTTCCCGTTCAACAGCTAGTCGCCTGCCAAACTCCACATCTTCGAGCTTCTGCAACGCCGTACCGGCTTGTTGCATGTCGGTGACAGTTGATAGTGACTCGTCATACGTCCGGTAGAGCTTGCCAGTAGCAAAGTCAAAGACTCTGACCTTTCGATCAGGAAAAGAAAATGTTGCAAACTGTGTACCAGAAGGTGAGATGGTGATGGAAGTTGGCAAACTTTTCGCTTTCTTGAACTCGAACAAGTCCGTTGAGCTTTTATACTTGAAAAGATTGTCCGGTTTCTCGTAGTTTCCCCCGGGGCCCCAATATTCAATCATACCATTATCATCAGCAGAGATAGCACAGTCATAGCCATTGTTGTACGCAATTGTTCTCACTGAGCTTTTGTGCAAACTGGTAATTCGGTGTATTGAAGTCTGCGATTCACCCCTGCCATCATATATATTGATTATATGGTCGGCCTCATTTGAGACAGCAAGTAAGGGTAGCGAGGCGCCGCGCCTATGGACCCAACATATTGATCTAGGTGTGAAGTCCAGCTGGAGAATCGCTAGCAGATCTAAGCGGTGTGTTAGCGTGCAATCTTCGCAATGGTTCCAAGGACTATACCAAAAGTAATGACATCGAAGATTTTGATCGTCTTGTCCGCTCCAGCGGTAGCAAAGCTGCGTCCATCCTGGCTGACACTGACACTCTTGATTTCTCCAACATGCGCCCTGAACTCCTTCACCGACTCTATTCCTACAGCAACCTTCTTCCAGAATTTGACGACCCCGTCTACCGAGCTGGTAATTAAGAAGTCTGTAAATGGAGTAACCGTGACGAAAGAAAGCTGGTCTTTGTGCATCAGAGATTTGGAGTAGCGCGGAGAGGTAGGGAGGGCGGAGATATATAGCTTTTCGTAAGGAAGCTTTCGACGCTTCTTTTTTGGTGCGGTTGAAGGCAGTGCCGGACCAAAGTCGTCCTCAGAGGAGCTATCTATGTAAAAATCAGCCAGGTGAGTAGAGGAAGAGCTTCTATGGATATATGTACCATCGTTTTGTACTGAGTCGCTGTTGGGCTTGGCCGGAATTGCATTCCCGTCTTCGAAATCGGCCCGCGATCGTTTGTGTGCATTGTCTGGGGATTGGATCTCAGTCTCCATCTTTATGTTTCCTGGGAAGTACCTAGGTTCACAATGTCTGAGGTCCCTTGAAATGGAGACGCTGAAAGCGAAACCCATGATTTACCGAAGATAACCCATGAACAAAAGACCTAGCCCTAAATTCAGACAGTCACCAGCGAATCAGAGTATCATCATTGAGAGAATTTTGAATATATTAATTTACACACTAGCTTCTAAAAGGTCGACTGAGCATGTCTAATTCATGATATTAAGCCTCTCCCATCGGGTTTCTCGACCCAAACATGGAGATAATGAGTGCATGATATGGTACTGAAAGCCCCATTCCTACGCTCGCTTAAGCAAGCTATTTGTCTGCTTAAGCTCATTGCCTGGATCCACCCTTATTGACCGTCATCTCGGTCTTTGGTTCCAAGGCAATTTGTTTTTGTCTAGAATGCCTGGGAGTCGATTATCTCATGCCTGTACCAGTTGCTGGCTCTAGAAACAGTGGTGGCATCCTAGAATGGAGACTTGAGGGCGGAAGCACAGGTCTTTGGAATATCAAGCAACGGAGGTCAGCCGGCATGAAGCTATGCTTGAAAGCATTTGTCCATGCTTCCATCAGTACTCAAGCCGAAGAAAGGGTCTTTGCCCTTGATATCCGAGGTAGCACATATTGCTCTACTTTTCCGGCGCATCGGGTAATCGCTCTATCACGTATTTTCCCCTGGCGACAGACATAATCGGCACCTATGGCTGTCAGTATATCTGACAATGCATCGTAAAATGGGAAGAAGGCTCCTAGTAACACTTACACCTGGTATTTTCCGTATCCTTCTTTTTAGATCCCTATCGTTTGTGGCTACAATATAGACTTGAATTCGAAGGTTAGCGTTGCATCAAAGATATCGTTGCATCAAGGATATAAAAGTCAAGATGTTGGCAAAACATGCCTCACGCAACTGATGTTCGAAAATTCATCAGGACTGAACACTCTGAGATACAGCTTACTTTTGTGTTTCTGAACCCTTTCCACCAAGCAATCATCGGCATATATACCCTTATGATCACATTTTAATCTCTCCCACCGCTCATCTCTTGCAATTCGCAGCGCTATACGATACTTTTGCCCTAGCTTTTCTAGTTCTGCCCTGCACACAGGGTGAGCATTATCAAAGACTCTCAAAACGTGGGAAACCTACATGACGCACCCGGTGATGATCGGTATGCATTTGGCGTAGAGACAGTCCATCCTGATCCACGTAGAAACCGTCAGATGTTTGTGGCCCCAGGACAAAGGAATCTAGATGCCTCCCTACATCGTCGGCAAAATCTCGAGTTTGTGCTGAACGGTCAAGGATAAGAAGTTTGTATCAACAAGGATCTAGAAGTCATCAAAGTAAGAAGTTGAATGATGAGACATAATTGAGGATGAGATGGAAAATGAGATCGCATACGGAATATGGTGGGACGAGAGCTGCGTAGACGTTCGGAGTCAGCATTTCCGTCTGATTCGAGTCGGGTAGTACAAGACACATGTGCTTGGCTTTCAAGACACCGATGCCGAGGAGAGAGGTACGAAAAGAGGATACGTACCTGTGTTGTATTGGAAGAAAAGAGACGAGGAAACTTGAGGTCTGGGAGGCGTTAGAGAGGAACGACTGCAGGGAATAATTGGAGGCCGACATCTCTCGAACAATCTCATCCTTGGATTTGCGCTTGCTTTGGATCACGGCCTTGTCTTGATTTTTCTTTAAACGAGCATCTCTCTGGCCGATGATTCTTTTGACCTAGAGGGAGGTTTGAGTTGGAATCTCTGCAATACACGAACTATCACCTACCTGGACGAACTTGCGTGTCTTTTTAGTTACCCCCATTACTTGGTAGTGATACTACTTTGATGTTCTTCTTAAATATCAGATGCGACTCTGGCAGCGAGAAACGAGAATCACAATTGGAAGATTTCGATATTGGCTATTTTTAGCTTTCGTTCGGACCGTTGCCCCCCGACTTGCCCTGCAGCTGGCTAGCGTGAAAAAGATGCCGGGAATCAACACAGCTATGGCCCATGCTCTTTCCGACATGCATGTCCCAGCATCTGCATCAAGCATGCAAATCATTCTCTAAGTCAACATACAGGACACACTCATTGTACGCCATTCGACAACTCGACACTCGCTTCTCAACGAGTATCAGCCATATTGCAACATTCGTGCATTCATTACACTACGTGGACAAAGACTTACCTAATTGAAACAGGGGCCGCCTTCCAACTCGATCGGCCTTCTCATCCTCCCTACTCCACGTTCACCACCCGAATAATTTCTCGCAGCCTTACTCGTCGACCATCATATAATTTGCAACCGTCGCTATCATCTGATTTGGCAAATTCAGCACAAGCATAGGATACCAAGCGAAAGAAGGGCCCGACTTCGATAAATACAACTGTGCGAAAGGCAGGGTCAACGATGCGGCTTCACCGGAAGCCTCAGCCATGCTTCATATCAGTCCTCTTTGTCTCTGTCTTTCTCGTCAACCATGTGGCAGCGCAGGACTTAGGCGTCAAACTGCCGGGCGCTTCCTCCACGACAGACACATCGTCCACTACGGCATCATCTTCCACAACCTCTACCGTATCTTCTACTAGCTCTTCGGCCAGTGCGTCCTCAACCGACGCAGCGGCTCTAACGGGTCTGCCGAAGCTAGCCCAGGACAACTACCCGGCTCCCACAGTACCACCAACTGCTGACGCGCCTTTCATGCAAAAGTCGTCTCTCCCGGATGGAACCGTATTCATATGCGTCGGTGCTGCTCTCGGCTTCATTGGCGTACTTGTCCTTGCTTGGCGTGGCCTTGTTGCCTGGTCATTACACCGATCCGTTCAAAGGGCTGCGATCGCACAATCGTCCAAATACTCGCGTGTGGGAGATCCAAGAGCAAACAATGGCAAGTCAACTGGCCCGTACTTTAGTCCAGGACCTGGGTCTACGTTGAGTCTCGACCATCTAGCGGCAAGTGGGAAAGGAGGGGGAAAGACACCTTCTTCAGCTCACGGAAGCCTTTTCTTCTCGCCTACGGCAGGTACTGGCATGCAGACCCCAGGTAACCGAGGGTCTAGTTATCTTCCTGCTGGGTATTATGCTGCTGGCAATTCTGCGCCTGGTGGTGGATCTGGAATGACGCAGGTTGGGGGTGGAGGAATCGGGCTTTCAAATCTTGCACCTCAGAATCATCGATACTCAAGAGCAAGGTCGACTGGGCCAAGTCCACCCGGGTCCCCCAGTTTGCCACCAAGCAGAGGCGCAGACTCGACGCTTGCAAGACTCAGTAGTGCGGGTTTGACAATACATGCCAGCAACAGCAGCCTCAATTTGTCCGCAGCACCCCAGGGCCGTGCACCAAGCGCATACCTGGAAGACCTTTTCGAGAATCATCCTCCGGGAACCCCGCCGCCAGAAGAGCACGGTAGAGGAAGAAGGTTCTAAGGGCCGTTCGATTGGGGTTTGGGGGGTTTTGAGCATATGTGTTACGAGGACGTCACATGGGAGGTGTTGGGTGGTCTCTTTACAGGAGATTTTTGCATTGTGGCATGGGCCTGGCGTTCTGGGCATCGTGAATTGAGGAGAGCCGCCTTAACGTTACTATAATTACCTACTCGTATAAAGCTAAGACGTCTCAGCAGCAGACTTTCGCGTGCTTATGAAAGTTGAGCAGCTATGCTTGCTGATATTTCAATTAATGTACATATCCAAGTCATTCTACTTCCTGTCATTCGTATAAATGTCTGCAAACAAAGCAAGATTTTGAATCGCTCTTTCTCCATGAGGTTCTTGAGTAGTTCCCTCGCTCCGCAGTTTCCCGCTACTCATTGTCCTTCGTAGAACTTCAAACTCTTTCCGCGGCCACACAAAGACACCTCAAAAGTCCTTCATCTGATACATTCCAATGTTCTTAGAACTCAGAGATCATGTCCGCCTTCAAGAGGGTCAACGTGAAGGGTGGCATCTCAAGGCAGTCAATATTGGCTCCTTTGCGGGAGGCTCAGATTGTCAGCTCAAAGCCAGTATTTCCAGCAGGTATTGTAGCTGACCGTTATGCTTGAAATTGTTTTTTGACTGTTGCTAGAGATCCTGTCCACCATTCTCGATTACCTACCAGTCCCAGGCCAACTGCGATTTGCTCGCGTGTCGAAACGGATGCGGGAGATGGTCTACGATGACACGAGATGGGTGCAAAGACTACAGCTAATGGGATGCTGGGACGAGAAAGAAGCCAGAAAGAGCGCAGAGGCCGCAAGACGTAAGAGATCTGAGACGCTGCAGAGCATACACGAAGAGGAAGCCAAACGTGCTGGAATTGGGGTCAATGGTACAGCGAATGGAACGAACGGATCCGATAACCCAGAGGGACCCAGTGTTACCCTTTTCGACGCTGCGATAGAAGCTGCAGAACACGAAGGGAAGACGAATGGTGGCCCATTGAAAGTAGCGCCACCCAATGAAGATGGATTCGATGCGATTGAAACCTCTCCTCGAGGAAGGCCCGCAGCCTACAAATCGCAAGATACTGCGTCACGGATAGATATCTTCGCTCATGTCTATTCGCTCCGGGGGTTTGCACGGCAAGAATACGGCAAGGTCTATGGAGCTCTGGCCCCTTTCTATCTAGACGCCATACGCTGCGAGAATCACACGCATGCTACAGTGTTCCGCACCTACCGAGACCCAACTCAGCAAGCCCGGATGCTCTTCAACATCAGCAAATTCTCTAACAGTGACATGTCTGAAGGATGGCAGAAAAGGAAGGAGAAATTCGATGCTTTGGTCGGAGCCTTCGAGATGGCAGTCTCCAAGGAGTTTGAGCAAGCTTTGGACGCTGGAGATGTCGCTGGGAAGATGAGAAAGTATGCACATGTGCTGGCCTATCTTAATGGTGGCCATTCGGGGGTAGAGCTCTTTATCTCAAAAAGCTCAATCATTGGCTCAAGGTACAGGTTGGGGAATGCCCTGGATTGCCTGAACCGAAAAGGCCCTGGCAGC